CAAGGCTGAAAGGAGAGCAATAGCAGCAAATAACGTTCGCTACAAAATCTGGAAGTCACTACTAGAATTTACAGATTCTTTAATCAGGTTAAAGCACGTTCAGACTACAGTGCTATATCCCATTTCGGAGGTTACTACAGTGGAAGAAAGAGGTACTCGGAAAGCAAATGTAATGCATTTTCCAGACTTACTTCCCACCCATGACTTCTACAAGCCTATGACAGATGGCGAGGCCCAGCCCAGTTCCACCAAACTTTCTTGTAGTACTACTATCCCCTTGAGAAAATGACTAGTCGACCTTGTTGCTCACTAGTCAAACCGATTCTAGTTAATAGTCATTTGAACTTCAAACCATATCCTTGCCTCAACAGCTTTCCTCCGCTCGGTAGCCTCCTGAGTCACTACCAGATTTACTTCAGGATCCAAGAGAGATGAGCGTCTCTATAACTCTGCCGCTACTTTCTGATTTTTGAACCTACATCTCCATCATAGAGGAAAACATGTGGTCCGAGTTACTATGTGTGAAGGGTGTGAAGTTCTCTCATCACCCTCAGGTAAGGATGTCGCAGACACACAGTTATCACAATCATTAAAGCAATCAGATGTCACCAATCCACCACATGATGAAACACGTTTCCATCTGATCCGTATCTCACCTTCTTCAGTAAACTTGATCGCATTACTCATTAAGTTGCTGAGCACCTGTCTGAGGCAATTCGTTAGGTGTGGGTTCTGCTATAGATGGTCTAGGACAGTAGACAGTGGGCCTGAGCTCTCTGCATCGGCTGCTACCGATATGAGGTAGAATCATGAGCCATAGCTCCAAAACTTAGCTGCAGCTCTGCTCACTTGTGAGCTCCAACAAACATACGTCGGACGATCTGATCCGAGCGAGACCCATACTCAATTTCGTAGCAGGAGACAGCTACAGCTGTACACTTTGCTAACCCGTCCCTGGAAGATTTTGACCCTGCAGCGTCCACTAAAAATCCTCACACCACCAAAGGAATAAATTCCTCAACAATCATACTAGAGACAGTGAGGACTGAGATGAAAATCCACCACCTCTGCTGTACAAACACTTCCTGTTTTGCGTCTTCATCAACAACACGATGTATTCGGTCTCAAGCACCTCCCGCGGGATCGATGTTTGGATCCAAAAGCTGAAACTCTCGTGGCTTCAATTCGAATTCGTTCTTCGATTCGAATTCACAGAATTCAAATTCAATTGAATTGGAATTCAATTAAATTCAATTCGTTCTCAGAAGAGTAGTTACCTTCTCTACTTTCTTGCCTTAGATTCTTCGTTAACTCGCTTCCGGCTCTCCTAAGCCATTTAACGCAACTTCAACCCCTAAACAAGAACAAAGATATGTGGAGTGGATTCGCTACGCGACGACCTCCCAAACTTGCTAACCTTTGGTGAACTTCTGCAGACCCGGTGCAATCGATCAACAAATCGAAGCCACCAACGTGAAGAAAACATTGCCTTCTGACTCGGCTGGATCGAGACTTTGCCCGCTGCAATTTTGATGAGTTCCATACAGGAGTTTACCAGAAAAATACCTCCTTCTACTAGACACTCCTCGCACTCGAACAGTGTGAACGAGTCCGGAAACGCTCGTAAAGACACGAGCTCTTAAAAACCAGTTTGCAGCATATCAAGACCTCAATTTGCTACCCCCTCTCCGCTTCTAATTCTGAGAACGACGAGCTTCCTCTGTAAACTGGTTCGTAAGAAGGAAAAAGAAAGGGCCAACAGCTAATCGATGTACTTCATCTAGTCTCCAGAAATCATCAGCCGCACACAGCTAACCCACTCGGCCAGTCGCTACTGCAAGTCCAATCAGTCCGCCTCAATTCCTCTCATCACCATCACACCCACGACGACGATTCCAACTCACTCAAATTTTATGAGCTTTTACAAAAACTTCGAATGAGAATTCAATCACATGTGCTACAGTAAGTATCACCTCCTTCACAGTTTAGTTGTCTCCAGAACCTCCTCTATACAGAATGTAGAGGCTTTGAATCTCTAGGTCTATCAATGAAATCAAATTGGACTTTTGATGAAAACCCTTAACGTCGAACTCCAAACTCCGACAAAAAAAATTTAGACTGGAAAATACCGTCACAACATCAGCACCAATCCGTACAGGAAAGAACCAAAACCTGAAAAGAACCGAAACCTGAAACGATGACAATGATCTCAAAATGCCACCAAAACGAGTTCATCGAGTGAAAAGTATGGGATTTCCTCATTGGAAACCCGTCGGTCTGATTACTTTACTGGCAAGAAACCGTCATCGTCACAAACATAGTCAAGCCAAACCCACTCCACACTCGGAGAGTACTGGTCGATGCTCAAGGGCACTACTCCCAAAGCGAGTCGCCTTCGTATCTATACCCTATGACTTGAAACCCTATGCGACTACCATTTTTAGTAATAGACGGAATCACATGACAATAGTTACAATAAATTATGTAACTAAAGTTACATGAATTACTGTAAACAAGACCTCGTTAAGTCTTAACAATATCTCCTTTGATTTACGTCTTGAGATATGAATCCTCTGTTATCAATATTATTATTCTTTTTAAAGTTATATAAGGTTTCCAAACTTATAAACCTTTCAAAGTAGAATTTAATAATATTTAAAACATATTTAATTAAAATTTTATCCAAAAAAAATTCTTAACTTTTTTAACTTTACTTGTGATTTTTACACAAAATCTGGATATTTGCAAAATGTTTTCAATAATTTTAAGTAATAACTTTTATCAAAACATCAACTAGAGCAAATTTAGCCTCAATCTTGAATAGTTCATCTTTTTAAATAAAAAACTGCAATCTCAATAAAGTGATATAATATGTCAACGCGCTTTTATACAATGATATATATGTATATTTTGCTTCAATCATATAATTTGATTCAAACTAAAGTTTTATTTTTAACTACAGTAATAAAAAGTTACAACATCTTGCTTCAATCTCAGCTAATTGATTAGTCTATAGAACAAAATAGACTGCTTTGTCACTTAATTCACTTTTTCATATTTAGCTTATTTAGTTTAATATATTTTTCACTTTTGCAAGATAAATCTCCAATGAAATGATTTGACAGAATTGCATCCCCAATTTCTGGAATTGATTAAGTTATTTCCTTCTACAAATCACTTGCGGAATTAAATCATGTTTTACAAGATCCTATATTAGCTATACATCCTCCTTGCATTTATGCGGGATACGTCGCAAGTGCGATTGGCTTTTGCTTATGTCTATCCAAAATAATAAACAGGCAGCAAAAAAGTTTGAAAAATATGTATATATTTTTTTTTCCTTTTTTGGTAAAGCCATATATCCATCTACTTCATTCTCTTGTCTATATACTGCTCATAATTATCATCAAGTTAATGTACCAAAGCATTGAGTAAGTCACATCAATTATGAAATAAAACATAATATCTTGAAACTTTCTAATTCATCTTAACTAAATTTCACATGTACGTGTTCACCTTGTTTATAATTAGAATAACGTGAGATTCATTGCATGATAATGAGATACATGAGGTCTAATATGAACATTGAAATCTAATATGCTCATATATTAATCCAAACCCAAATACACAAATATTTATTCAATGTGAGATTCATTGCATGATACTGAAATACATGATGTCTAATATGAATATTGAAATCTAATATGCTCTTGGATTTAATCCAAACCAAATACACAAATATGTATTCAATATGGATGAATTATCCAAATCCAAAAAGACAAGTATGTATATAAGATGAATGATTTATCCAAATTTCTCATCTTGCATACCCATTAAATCATGATAATTATCATTATGATCTAGTCTCGTCTAGAAGAAACATCCTTATTGAAATATATATAGAAGAAACATCCAAGAAGTATGTTCAAACGTGCTTATGTGTATTAATTATGAAAAATATAACATCAACATCAATTGTATTATTACACAACACAATGTTCACAAAACTCAAGTGAAATTTTGCTTCAACAACACAACAAGCTTGTGTTTTCAAGTAATTAGTTATCATGATTCTATACCTAAATGTTATACATCAAATAATTCAAGTCAAGGTTTAATAAAATTTATTTCTTCATTCAATATATTTTCCTCTGTAATGTATGAATTTTTTGGTTTTTGTAATCTAATCATCTATCTTAAATTCAAACATTACTTGTTTATAACTCAATTAAAATATTCTTGAATCTAATTTTCAAAGAGATAAAGTAGTATTTTTTAATATCATATATGAACACAAAAAATTCAACACCTTCAATATAATGAGTTAGATCATTTTTTTAAACTCAACTTTTCAATATTACAAAAATATAAGAAAACGCTCTAATATAAATATGATAAAAAAATACTATATAAAATCCATGCATTATCAAACTATTATAGTAAGATGCATAAAAAATAGAAAAAATATTATATTTATGTTTAAATATTTTTACATAAAATATTTAATATGTAAATTTATTTATTGAATTAATTTAAACCAAAATGTTTCATATGAATATTTAAGTTTATTTTAACATTCCAATATGGTATTAAATCAAGTTTTTGTCTAGTATTCTCAATTCTATGATAAAAAAATTACACATTGTACTATCCTTTTTGATAACATGAATACACAAAACATGGATTACATTTATTTTCATCCTTTATATGCAGGTTTGAATGTCGCAAGTAGCATGGCAGTACAGCGCATGAAACCATTAGATTTCATGATTTTGTAAATCATGAAATCAATAAATGAAAATTAGCAGGAGAGAGGGAAGGTGGGCGGGCTAAACAGAGATTTACAATGAGAGTGGTTCGAGACCTAGCTAGTCCCTTTCGCTGTTCCTTTGCCGCAAGGCTCTGTTTGGTGCTTCTTCTCGTGGTTTCGTCTCCGCCTGTGGTTTAGGGCTCTGGAAGTGGAAGTGGAGCTTAAACCCTAGCTAGACAAAGAAGTGGCGGGGTGTGCATTGTCCACTTGGTATCGCGATGTACCTCGCGCAATCGACCATGATTTGGTGGATGGGCGAAGCTTCGCGCACGTAGTCAAGCTTCTTGTGCGGTCGTAGTCTAGAATCTCATGGAGCGGCGGAATGTGGAAGTGCAGCTGCGGGATCTGCTCGATTGTAATGTGCAAGGATCTGGTCCAGGAAAATTCGAGCTCGGTTTTGGCCTGTAGAGAGAAGCCCGAGCGATCGAATTGAGTTGCGTCGATCTCTTCAACGGGGTCGCTTTGCCTTGGGCATGGGTGTTGGAGCCTTTGATTCTCAGGCGCACTTAAATTGGCGAGGTGGGCCTATCCCGCGGAACAACTGAGAGTTGTTAGTGCGGGGGAAGTCTTCGGATTTCTGTGTTCGAATGGCTATGGCTCTTCGATCTAGAGTTAGGTCCCAATTGTACACTTCTACAAAAGAGTGTAGGAGAAGCAGATGTCCATCATGGATTTTTGGAGCGCAGTCGGATTACCATTCCAACCAACTGACCGGCAGAGGGTACGTGCCTGAGTCCCAGCAGTTCTCTGGAAATGTATCTGGATCGAAATCGAGGTGTTTTGTTCAGCTCGGAAGCAAAAACATTGCCTCATCGTCGGCGGAAATCAGGCTGGCAATTCGGGAACCCCTGCAGCCCAGGCATATTTTTCAGAGGTCTTTTAGTTCAGAGACTCATGTAGATGCAAAAGCTGAGGAGGATCCAAAACAAACCGGGAAAAACGTGTGGGAATGGGAATTAGCCCCTGGCGATCTGGAAGTGCTAGAAAATAATTTGGGATCGGCGAGTTCTCCTGATGAATCAGTAGGGAATCTATATTTGAGATTAGCCTATGAGTATGTCGTAACAGGTGAAAGTCCTGAGAAGATTCTCAGGTGCGCTGAGCAAGCTCTCAAAATTTTTAACAGCAAGCCGGCGGGAGAAGGGGACTGGGAATCGGGGCGGCTGGGCTTGACCTACCATATGATCGGATTAACTTACATCAAGACAGAGGAGTTTGAGAAGGCTCTAACCTACTTGCAGAAGTCGCGTGCTATTCTGGAGGACTACATGTCGAAACAACCCCCTGCCGATCAGGGAACAGAGGAGTTGAGAATCACAAATTTCTCCAGCAGTGTATTGATAGGAGAAGCACTGTCCAGTATGGGAAAGCCTGACGAAGCTGTTACACATCTAAGAGTTGCTGTCAGGGAGCAAGAAGCTCTTCTGGGCAGCGATCATGTAAATTTGGGAAGTAGTTATCGACTAATTGCCGAAACTTTGACGAACGCGATGAAGTACGACGAGGCTTTGCCTTCTATTCAGAAGGCCATCGAAATTCATGCCAAGGCGAATGGAGATGAGTCCGTGGAGGTAGCCGTGGACAGAAGGGTCCTTGCCGTGATTTATATCGGGCTTGAACAGCATGAAGAGGCTCTAGCGCAACACAAGCTCGTGAGGAAAATCCTTGCCGGGACAGACCTCAGTAGCCAAACTGTGTTCGTTGACATTGCTACAGCCGACACGGAGATCACGTTGGGGAAGTATGATGATGCCATTGCATCACTGGAGACTGCAGTGAAACAGGTGGAACACGGTTCTGCAATGCATGCCTTGGCTCTGGTGAACCTCGCTAAAGTCCATGAACGTCAGGGTAAGAAAGATGATGCGGACAAGTACGCCCAGCAAGTAATCCAAATCTTGGAGAAGAAGGTTCTTACGAACAGCGATCCTTTGGCAGTAGCAGAAGGATACACGGAGCTTGCGGCTTTGTACGAGAGATTGACTAAGACAGAGAGAGCGATCGAGATGCTGAAGAAGGCACATTCCATCTATGCCCCTATTCCACATCAAAGGCACGCCGTTGCAGGAACACAGGCACAAATTGGTATGTTGCTTCTCTTCACAGGAAAAGTAGCGGAAGCTGTTCCTCATTTGGAAAATGCTGTGGAGACTTTAGAAGAAACCGTGGGTGAACAGAATTACGCTCTAGCAATGGTTCTCAATCAGCTGGGCGTTGCGAATTTGGAGCTCGAAAGACTGGAGGATGGCATCACACACTTCGAGCGAGCCAAAGGAATTTTTGATGAGGTCCTTGGCGCGGACCATGATGATACGATTGCTGTGGCTCGAAATCTTGTAAACGCGAACTTTCTACTTGACCGGTATGCATTTGAGTCTCGGTGGTTGTCAGCGTATCACTGATTACAGTTTGTAGCAGGCCTTCGTGTCCCACCAGCCTCATGAGATAGGTCTTTGGCAATGAGATGTAGCATCGTTTTTCGTTCATTTAAATCTTGTGTGTTATCTGACGACCTTTGACAGCAATTCGAAGCACTGGAACACCACTTAGGGGTTTCCAGTCATCTGTCATACTATCCAGGATGTGGGGTTTCCCTAAGCACTCCAAGAGTCACCACGACGTAGCTGATGCGTAGATACCTTACATTCTTTGCTCTTTCCTTCCTTACCTTTGCTTCTATCTTGCAGTCTGGACGAAGCCATCAAATACCAGGAGGAAGTTGTTCGTGCATGGGAGAAGAAGGACGACGAAGACGAGTTCAAGGGAATGCTAGGCGATGCCCGAATGGAGCTGATGCAGTTGAAAAATCAGAGACAGGAAACCTGTCAGCCGTGAATATGCCGCACCCACGGCCATTAACCTTGGACAAACCGGGTGCATTGTCAATGATAAGGCTAGCACCCACAATACTATAGAATGTGACTTGACTAACCGTGCTGGTTAGGACAACTACCAATTTTGATCTCATTGTAGCGAAGTATCTTCGACTCAAGCAGGACGAAGATTTTTGTTTAGATTCCAATAGCTTTGTAAATGACCTTCGTCTGAGCTAATAAGAATACAGAAACGTTGTGATTTGACTACCTGCTTGTTCTAAAAATTCTTCAGCTTTGAATCGAGATTCCAGCTGAATTTCAAGTGACAGAGCGCAGCATTTCGTCTGAGCTGATGAGTATACAAAAACGTTGTGATTTGTCTACCTGCTTGATCTAAAAAATCTCCCGTTTAGAAAGGAAAATCCAGCTGAATTTTAAGTGGCTGAGCGCAGAATTTCTTCACTGACTACGGCTACATCAGTTCTTCATTCCGTTCCTGATGAGAATCTGCTGTTTTTGAGATTATATTGGATGCTGATTGCATGTCCTTAACTGGAAAACTATCTCTGAAATATGGAAGTAATCCTCCCGTAAGAGAATTACTTCAGAGAACTTGGCAAAACCTGTAAGTGGAACGAGGTTTAAGAGTCAACGAAATTCGCAGTTTTGGCTCATAAATTTGACCAAAGTTGTTGGGTATCTTCTGTCATAGTCCTACCAAGGAAGATTTATATTCGTGCTGAACACAAACTCCTGCAAAAGTTTATCGGGAGGGAAATAGAAATGGAATGAAGAGGATTGTAAAAAAGTAGGCTCGTGTTTACAGTATACACATACTTTTGGAGATAAGATACAAGGAGACTCATAATTGATCCTCACTGTAAATTCCTCAACTTTCAAACACCTTAAATGTTCACAGCATATAGAGTTCACTACTTGCGATGACCTACAAATCTGAAGTAAAAGAGATTCGGGTTTCCCCTCGAAGTTGATTAACACCAGCTACTCACGAGATAAAGTCTTTTACTGTAGGTACTACGACGATATTAAAACCTGCCACACTAATTTCTGTCCTAGTAGTTTACAAAACTTGCGATTGGGTCTCTCACTTAAAAGGCTAAAGCGGTGCCCGGCACGCTCGAAAAACCTCACTTCTCATGGACTCCACTGTTGCGTGCTCATGTGTGTAGCGCTCAGGACCATAATACATTCCCGTCTTCTCCAGAAGTGCTAACCCCGCTAATCTACCAAATATCGAAGAATAAAGCTGCAAATATTCGAAGTCCTGTATTATTAAGGCAAGTCAGTCGTCTCCAAGAAACATTACAAATGAGAACTTGGTATTCGCAACGTTTCAAACCAATTCTGAAACAAACTCTCACCTGCATTCCGCTCAAAAGTCGCTCCAGGCGGACAGACGCAACTGGCACGGTGGAGCCGGGAGTGAAAACCTCGCCAGGATAATAGAGAACACCATCACCAGGCGGTAGTCCCCGCCGGAAACGGATCTGAGCCGCATATCATCCGATATTAATGCATTGAGGCTGCTGACATCTATTTCAGGGCAGGCAATTCAATATTTGGAGACTTGTGGAGTGGAACTTACCTCGGTTGATGGTGTTAGGGCTTTTTCGTAACAGTTCGCACCCCAATATAGGAATCCCGTACCACCTTCTTTCCACACACGCCACAATACTGCACGATGTTGAGTACCTCTCATTCCCAGATGCCAATTTGGATGAGGATCCGAAGGTCCCATACAAACGTACGTCCACCACTCCTACACACGAAAATAGTTCAGAATGACCCGCTCACTGAACGCAGCCATTGTACATCCAGTACTATTCATTCCACCTTAGAACAGGACACAAACCAACAACGTAGTTCCACGGTGGAAGCTAGACTTGCCTCCTTATTTTCGGGCTGCAATTCCGCCACAATGCTTTGGACCAGCTCTTCCCGGCCTCCAAGCACCCATTCACTGCCGATGCACTAGTTCAGTTACAAGCCAGCGCAGCAACCAGAAGCAGTTCTTTACATTCCATGTACTCTTGCTCCTCAAATGAAATTGTTGTGAACTTCTTGTCTTAGAGAGGCTGCTCCGTGGACTGTGTTAAGAGAAGATTCCAGATCCACAGCTTTTGGAAAGCATGGAAATATTGTTTCAATGATATAGAGCAAATGTGAGCCTGTATATATTGACTATTACACGCATTCCTCCCCTGCCCCGCCCTGCCCTGCTCGGAAGAAGCCGGGGTCCCGAGTCACGTCACACACCAGGGCAGCAGCGGGCTGCCCTGAGGTGTGTACAGACTAGAATACACTTCCGGGTCATTGTCAGGCAACTATGCTACCATGCGAGCTGGAGTCATTTGATATTCACCGTAATAATTCTTTACAAGCTTCTTGAAAAGGTATCACTTTTTTACGAGCGAACATCTATCTGTAATAGAATGAATCCGTTCACCTGGTACAGAAAATTTGAGTATGTGGTCGCAAATATGTCGGGACTTTCACAAAAGCCTCAAAACTTCCTGGAACCACTGATGCATCATTCGGTCCTGGAAAAAACCACACATTGCTTCGTCAACTTTCCCTCCTTCAAACGGTAATGCCTTCTTCATTATTGACATCCACCCGCGAGCAAGCATAGATGAACAACACCTTCATGAACTGAAAAAAAGTTCAATGGTAGATGTTGACTTCTGTGGAAAGAGGTGCTTTCGGAGGTGTTTGACAACAAAATGATTTTCACACTCCAGAAAATCGTTCTTCCATGGGGGACCTTGACTGTTGAGTGTTGATACCATCCTTTCTCAAAACAAGAAGAGCACCTATGACCAATCAATAGATAACCAAATATGGATACTATGTAATTGGTTTAGAAGACAGCGGTGATATACAGAAATAAGATTGGACCTGTGAAAAGAGATCATTCTAAGTACTACACACGAATAGAAGATAAGCAAGGCACCAAGGGTCTTTGATGCGAATAGAACTAATGAGCAGCAGCAGTAAACAGTAGATTCAACACTCGAGCTACCAGATGTCTGTGTCTTATCTAGTGCTTCACGTGTAAGAAGCTTGCTCTTCAAGACGGAAAACATACAATGACTTTCCACTGCACATATATAATGAACTAAGAGACGAAGTTCAGGCAAGAAGTTCCTGCTCTTCACAACTCCTAATGTCTACCCACCAAAACAATCCTCGAAGCCAGCTATCTAAGGCCTCAACCTTAAGCTGTAAAATGGATTACAGCTCCTTGTAAGCTGATTCTTAGGTACACCACAAATGTTGCAAGAACTACATGACGAATCCTATGTGCTTATACAGATTTGGGTGAGAAATTATCAAGGAAGGAAATTCTTGAGGTAGCCTTAACTCGCTGCTCGTAATCACGGTATCACAATAGTACTGACATACATTAGATTCCAATGCATAGATGCTCAGATCAAGGTTCTAAGAGCATAATCCATCCTGAATTCAAAACGACCAAGCTTAAGAACTCCTAGAATACTTAAAGGTTGCGTTAATTTCCAGGTTTTTGGCGTTGATCAAATTTACTTTGAAAATCCGTGAACTTACAGCACTTTGGGACTGATACTTGTGAAGTGATTGGATTCAGAAGGCCAATCGGTTCACAAAACTCTACCGCTTGTTTTGTTAGGAGTGGTCCATTTCACAAGTCTGTTATGTGCATGTGTGAGAGCCAGTATTTTGAACGATCCAGAAAGAGGAAGGGAAGGTGTCATTAACTTGGATCAGGATGGTAGGTAAAATCATGTTTCCCTTACAACTTTGCTCTCCAGGACCAAAGTCTGTACGCCATCAACTCAAAACTATATAAATTACAATACATGACACCTACAACACATAACCATGACCAGAAAGAACGTGAGAAAACTGAAATTAGGACAGCTGGAGAGAGACAAGAGGGTCAATCGGAGAAATTTGTGACAGCTTTCTTATATCGAAATGTATATTACCGCAATAGTACGTCGTCAGAACTCGCGCATCTGGAGCTGTTGACCTAATTTCTTCCGCCATTCTATGTATATGACCATACTGCTCCAGGCTAAGCGGCTGAATCCAGGAACAAAACTTTTGTTATATTGGTATCTGGAAAGCTTCACATACAATGCGTTATCAAATATAGATTAAAAAGTCAATTTGCCAATTTCTTTCTTAAGTAGTCCACACAGAGTTTACTCGAATAGAAAATCAGTAACTTACCTCATCCCACAGATAAATATACGCTTTCTTCCAGTGATCTTTAGTTCTCAAGATCTCCAGCTCTCGCTTTAGGCTTTCTTTCGCAGCATCCGAGCTGAACACATGAATCATCAGAAATATTCGTGTAGTCTACAATCTTTCAGAATATTATAGAGAAAAAGAAAAGAGATCATCCTCTATACATGACTAGCCGTTATCAGTATACCTCAATGTTGTGATTTCATCTAAGAGTCAACCCACTAGGATGTACTCTCAGTGATCAATTCCTCAGGTGTTCACACCTATGAGCTGTTGGATTACTGAGATGTGCAGGTGGTGATATCAATCTAGTTAAATGCGAGTTTGAATTTGATTCAAGGTGGTGAGTTCTAAATTGGCAAATATAGCATCAAACTCTACATGAGGGGTAAAATTGAAGCTATGGCAGGTTGAAAAGATTCCACATGACCTGCTGTGGTAGAGACATCTAGAAGTAATCCGTATGGATCACATTCACACCCTGCTTTATACAATTAAATATAGTTTCTTTGCTACATTGAACTTAGACCACACACCTAGACAGAAAGTCTCCAACTTATGGAGAGGTTATTCAGCTGGCATGATCCCAAATATCAATGGAATGAGACTCACCTATTAAGTACTGGAAGATAAGGAACTGCATAAGCAGTTAGTCTCGGATCAGAGTAATACTCTTCTGCTTTCGGGTGGTCCGCTGATAAACACCAAATTTCAAGACACATAATAAGCAAGAGACACAAGTATTTGATGCACTTCTTTAAACTAACAACTCCAAACACGTGCCACTTGCCAAAGATTCTGAGCGAGTTGCAATTTCTACTTCTGTTCTTCCAGTTATGAGTTACACAAGCTTGATCGCTTGACTCGATGTAAAGACAAAAAATCACAGCAACTGATTGATAACTTCAGTGGCCAGCCTTATTCGATATCCCATCATGGAAGACTACTATACCAGGCCAAGGACATGTGTATGCCAGGACGCGCATATTGTCTCCCCATCTGCAGAAGTAGGGGCTCAATCTATAGTGCAGCAACCATTGAAAATGCATGTCTAATGATTTGTACCAGTCAATGCTTCCATGCTCCAACCCAAACCGGTCCTCAATGACTGTCTCCGATATCTTCATTACAACTGTCAAGGGCAATAAGCTGTTGCAAAACAAAAAGCTGCATATTCTTCTGCACTCCTAAGCAATTTAATCTGAACTCTATAAAGACCAGAGAAAACTTGTTTATCAATAAAGGATACCCCAAAAACGGCCGGAAGCGTTGGAGTGACTGGAATAACATAATCCCATACTGTCAAGCTAAACTTCAACCGCACAGCAAGGGTTGTATTATATTCCTCATCAATGTCCATCTTTCCTTGCTCTCCCCTGTTGGCAGTGAGCAGGGTCGACTGCATTAGATGCCGGAGCTCTTCAGTAATAGCCTGCATCCCTTCTTGCTGCAGTCAGACAAAGTGACACCACCCCTCAGTTCAACAAGTTTCCCGAAGGTATTGAGTTTTTTGAGTTACCTGAAGCAGGGTGAGAAGGAATTCGATTTACATGTATAGTTGGAGATGCTATCCGCATTAAGCAAGAACTCTTAGATAGATTTTAGAAGCGTACGGGACTGTTTTTTTCTGGCCTTGGCCCTGGTGTGAATCTCTTCTTGACTTACATGAAGGCAGGTTGAGAAAGCATATGAAACACTTGCATGATTGAAGAGCCTATCTGACTTAAACCAAAAATTTGTGGATTATAGAGATTACGGGATTGTTTCCTCTGGCCTTGGCCCTGGTGATGATCTCTTGAATCTCCTTCTTAATTTCTAGTTTGTCACCCTCGTAAAAGTCAGCACCTTCAATCCTGCTAGAAACAAGTATGCAAGGCAGTTTATAGGCAATGAGAAACAAATCAAGCAAGTATTTATTAACTCTAGTCTAGTTAAAGTGTACCACTTTCAGAAACATGACTAGAGAATGAAAGGTCATCGCATTGGTTCTCATGCCTTACTCTGATTCGGCTCTTATGGCTAGAAAGCTTATTTCTCCCTCATAATATCCAGGTGGTTGTGTTGCAGGGACTTCTATAGAGAGCCAAAGTCCCAAGGTCTCTCTGCAGAAAGATCTCAATATTAACCAGCTGAAGAAAGAACGTGCATAACAATTCGTCTTTTGCCGTATTCAAAGACATGCTTTACGTCGGACCAACTCTTCAAAAAATCTTCTCGTCTACATGATTTCGTAGTCAGCTGTACAAAACACGACATGTTTTCTCACACACATCTCTAGGTCTAAGGAGCATGATCGCATTTAACTTACCCTGGTAGCAACCCTATCTGTGCTGATGGTAGCTCTAGAGGAACAAGAGCATCCGGCACACCCAGTATTGGCACCACACGTCGCAAGGTGATGGCTTTACCTGTTTCCAGCCTGCTGGCACACAAGAATCAGCACAAGTAAATACATGAATTTAAAAATCAGATGCGCATTCTAGGACCTGCAGCGGGTCTTCACAGTTCGAAACAGCAAATCTCAGGACATTTCCTGGAACTACGCTCGCAGTGGACAAAGATTGCTAGACTTTACTTGCTTCCAGAATTGCTGCATAAATCTGTGCACTTAATTTGAACATGGCCAATAAAACCGCCGCTTGACCACGACATTTTCGGTCGAAGAGCAATTTGTGCGCTCTCTTTCTCGTTTCTTGCTGCCAGCAGGTTGATCTGCGATAAAACATAACTCTGGTGAGTCACACTATTAAGCGGGTAAGACAACTCCAGTTAGTCATTATTTTTTTACTGTCAGCTTGGACAGATATGTCGTGAAGACCATATCTCGACTTTGGCTTCCAGTCGTGACAGTTAAGAAGCATACGCCATGATCAAGTGCAAGGATATCTTTGTGAAGGAGATATTAATCATTCCCAACAGATCCCTAAATAGAGAAAAATAAGTAAACCCCTGGTCAACTCTTGAATTATGACTTCCATGATCTGAAGCTTCACCTTTTAAGTGTTCAAGTATCAAACGTACTTGTTCCAGAGGCCGAGGATGTTCCTGATGGCCTATCGTTGCTGTACTTGGCATGGACCACACATGAAGCAGATCAGATGTAGGATGCTTGTTGACGTCAATGACGCCTGCTGTAGTGTTTAAACTCCTTGTACCGATCTCGCTCCATCCATATCCAGTCCCTCCACCTCCTACTCCTTCTACAGGTGGAGGAACGGGGTAGTCAACAGGTCCCTGCATGTTACCAAATTCTGCGAACAAGAAGAGGTGATAAACAATCAGTGGGCAAAGATCGCAGTAGACCGGTAAAAAATGTATACAGTAGTTATAGCTCACTCATTGAAGCCTGTATTTCCTTTCAAAGACTTGAGAATGAGAGCCTGGTGACCACCGGATGTACTGAATTTCAAAATTGAAGCCTTCTGCAAAGTTATTTCATGTAACTTTTTGGAGTACTATATTTGATAAATGAACGTGAATGATGTTCTGGCATTGATTCATACATGATAGGCAAGAAGTTGTACTCAGTACGAGAAGCTCACTTGCTGTCCCTCGATCTGCAATTTAACCCTGCGCAACCACTTCAAGAAATCACACGCGTAAATATGCAAGAATGGCTGACTTTTGGAAGACTATCGCGTGATATACGTTTCGTTATCACCGCAGATTTGTCAACTGCGAAACAACAATATCATGCATCACTATCAGCAAAAACTTGATGATCCTTAGTTTTCACGGTGAGAAGAAGGTCCTAAAGTCCACATAACTCTACCAGTATCGAGACATGACAGCCACAATTGAAGATGTGCGCTTGAGTTGAGTTACATTGTAAGTATATAACTCAACTAATACTCGTTCGAACAACATATCCAGATTTTTTATACATAAAATGTGAATTAGAAGTATTCCGGATGGAAAGAATCCTATTATGGACTAATCGAACCCGAGGGAAGTTGCAGTCCAGGTGACTAGTGAAGATAATAATAGTTATACCCTGAGAGAGGCCGTTGTCTCCAAGCAGTGCGTAAACCTGCGGTGACAAATTCAAACTTGTAAGAGAAAGCAACGACAATGCTGAGACCACGACTGAAGCGTCGATTAAGTCATCGCAAGTCGCATAACCTGACTATACAAATAACACAAACAATTGCAGCACTTTTCTCAGCTTCCTCACACTCCTCCGATCCATCTCATGCTTGCATTACCGTTTGGACACAGTCATTGTTGTCAATTGCCAATCCACGGCGCGTGACAGCTATGCGAGACTATCGCAGCTCACAGTCGCGATGTGTCATTCACGTCAGCATCGCCAGATTATCTAACAACGGACGACCATCGAATAAGCTACAGAAGGTCTTCCAGCCAGATAATCACTGGATCGGAACGATCCTAGCAATACGTGACGTAGCGCAGAAACTGGAGATTCTGAGCTCCCATTAAACCAATGGGAGCATCAACGAACGGGTGCATCGCTTTCACCTCGTCTTGCGCCAATCAAATTAACGGACGCCCAATATGCCACCGACTTCCGGTGGCAGAAGGACCTCGAATTGCCGATTTCAAGCGCAAGGCTGCAGAACCATCGAGCAGACGATCGCCACTCACGATCGCTGCGGACATATGAAGTTGAAACATCTATTAATGTTGTCCGACCAGTAGGTTATCGGGCACAAGCTCTGGGGATCATCCTCATCGGAATCTTGACAGAATATTAATTGATTGCATGCGCATTCATATCGTCCGTCTGGTTACCCCCATTCGAGCTCACCTTCGAAATTTCGTCCAATCGAACCCATGGAACCTGACCTTCTCATTGACAGCTTCGAACCTGCTGTAACAGGTAACGGAACCGACGAAATGTCAGAGCGCTCGAGCCGGACGGAGGATGCCATCCGTCATGGACGGAAAGGGCTCGAACTCAGAGCCTCAGAGAGAGACCAGCGAGCGCGGCTGCGCATGGCATTACGCCCAGTCAGCATGGCGACCGCCAATCTACTCGCGTTTTCTTTTCTATCCAGACACTCTGAACATTCTTCGCAAACTGTTTTCAGGGCCGTCGGATCGCCGTCCGAGTTCATCCCAATTATCTGGCTTTCATGCCCAAGGTTTCTAGCTTCCTCGCCGTTCGGTGAACGGCATCGACGGTGCATATAACTTGAGCTGCCCACGTTGTCCATTGACCGAACCAGAACCCGACAATCTGGACCGACAGGTACGTGTTCCTCCAACAGTCCCACGGGCTGCTGCCGGTATCGGAGGAACTCGGATTCACACTGAAATTTCCGCGAGTGGTGCATTTTATCTTGACCGCATGTCGTGGCCCCGCCTGTTGGTCGGCGAGCTGCGGGGGCGCGGGGATTCTACCCGTTGTTGGGTGCAGAGGATCAGGGCCGGGTGGGACCCTGTGGCAGTGACAAGACCAATGAGAACCAGAAAGTTCTCGACCAATTCGAGGCTGGAACTCTCTCTGGACCCTCCCTCAGCCTCAAGACTCACATCGGTGACGACAAATAACGTCGCAGGTATAACTCAAGGCCATAGTTTGGCCTTGAGTTATACTCATCTGCATGCAGCCGAGAAAAGTAACCGCGCAGTCTCCTGCCAAATATCAACGGGTATTCGTAATTCCAACAAAAAGCCCACATTTTCTTAATACGTGCTTTTTCCACGTCGACTTACGTTCTGTGAGTTAGCTGCATATTGTAACAACTATCTCGGCATGCGTACAGTGTTTTGTTTCGAGGTTGTGCTAGAGCCCGAAAGAAACTGCCAGGTGATATGCATCGAGACTTACTTCTTCCAGTATTATCAACTGTTGAATTCAGGTGAACCTTGAGCACGAAGTAAAGGATCCTTCGACTTGTCTTTCAAACTGTCATAATTTTATGCAACATGCTATAAAAGTCCCACGATGAAAAGGTTTTCAATTTATTTTTGTAATAATCTTGTAAATCATACACCTTGATATACGTTCTATCAAATTTTTAATGCATCCCTCGAAAACTTTTCTTGTATTATCTTTCCCGAATAATATTTTTATATTTGATAGATACCAAGATTTCAACAAAATGAACGCATTTTTTATTGCACGTGAAAATTATGCTTTCGCTCCAATTGGCAAATCTGTACGATAACATCAGATGTAAAGGTCTGTTCAGAGCCCGTTTGTACTTGCTCACACTTCTGACACACTTACACAGCTTTAGCTTTAAAACGAGTGAGTAATTAATTACTTTGCATCATATTTGAACTCCATAATTGATATAGAAAGAACGAACATTCCAATGTTTTTTTTTATTATTTGCCACTTAGAAGTATCTTTAAATCCTCAACATAATCAACTTCATGTTCCTACATGATTGGCTCAAGTCCTTGTAAGTATCATTTCAAAGCTCATCTATTATTCTGAGTTATACTCAATGAAGCTTACAAATAATTTAAATTACCCCATCCAACCATTTTCATGTATATCGTTAATTTGCTGAGGTGTTGTTCACTACATTATATAGAGTGATGCTCACCAAAATGATATATATCTAACGTTCAAGTTTCTAAGCGTTCTTCCCAACTGTCTTTCAGACGCATGACTTTGTATCACGACTTTAATTCTAATTCACTCACTTTTACTGTGATCACTTTTTCTCGTGTGAAAAAAACTAACCACGTTTTTTGATCACAGTGTAGGTTTTAAACTGCCGTCGTATTTTTTAACCTTAATGAACACGCAATTGAAAGAGTAATAACTCGCGTTCGTTTTAATTCGTGTTTTCAAAGAGTAAGCGGATCCTCAAACATCTAAGTTTTCCCCGTGAATAAATAGCTCCTCGCTCCTGTGATACCATTACATGACGTTGGAATTACCATTACCAATACCATTACAAACTTTGTATAGCATGCTATGCACAGTTTGCACTGTAAGCCAAAGACGTCGAATGGTCATCCGTCATGGGGTGCAACACAATCATCCTCATTCATTATATGTTGTTTTCTTCTAACAGCCTGGACCGCTTCATATGCACATACATTGCCAACTTTTCAAGTACCATGTCATGTCAAAATAGTCTATGAAATTATATGCAAGGATTTATATTTATCTTTACCACTTGCTATCTAGGGGTGTGTGCATGGAGTGGCAATGCTTAAATTTTACTCTAAGATACGGTAGGTGAGATAATGTTATTTCACCTGCGGGAGACTTAAGTCTCTTACAAATGCACTTATAGAACTTGAATATCCAAGTAATAAGCTCTCGTAGAATATTATTAAAGCAAAAGCGAAATTTTTTTGAAACTCAAGAGATCTAATGTGATTATAATTTTCTTTGTGCTACGGTTATAAATGAAAAGTTCTTGTACATGTTTAAGAGTAGAAAAAACTTACATTGAGTACCATCTCTTCAATCTCTCCAGACATTTTGTCATAATGTTGAAGCTTAGTCTTAATCTTGAAAAAACAAAACCGTTTTAGTTTGAAAACTAGATTTGGATGAAAATGTATGGCATTGATCTCAATACTGTATGTGAATAACAATTTCAACTTGGAATAATCAATTTTGGAGTTCTTTCTTTCACATTAGTAATTTATTAAAGACTTGCATCCTAACAATCAATCCTAAATCTGTTTGATTTCCGATCACAAAAAATAACATCTACAATCATGTTGATACACAAAGGTAAACATTAGTGCTTAATTTTGAAAAGGAAGAATTGTTTGATAATCTGTTGGCAAAAGGAGTACATTTTGTTAATCATCATGTACATAAAATATGTATATTGAAAATGTCTTTAAAAAACATGGTTTTGATTATATATTTATGATACAAATTTTTTGTAATCTGTGGATATTCAATAATGATAATTTTTTGTTGAAATATATACTGATCTCATTGGATGAAATAAAATAATTCTATGATTATGATTCATTTTTCCTGTAATCAAAACACTGAATAAAAATTTTAAAAAAACTTTTTATCAAAAGAATACTTTACATCATACCATACAACAGGGTAAACTCATATGTTATACCCTAGATTTTAAACATACTTTGAAATATGAAATGAATTAATAATTTTCTTTTTTCTTTTTTTTCATTCTATTATTTTATGTACAATAATAATTTCAAATCAAAATCCTGAGTTTTTAAAATTTTTAAAATTACTATTTCATGATATTCAATAATAATATGTTCATTTTGTTAAAAAAAATTTGATTTTTGTGCTATATGTACATTTCTAAACATACATTTTGTAAACAAATTCATTTTATTTCATTCTTACATATTGATAATATTAGACTTTTTTTTTAAATAAATTTTTTTTAAATTGATAAAATAAAATATATTTAAAATTCAATTTTATAGTTTAAATAATACATAATGCCTGTTTATCTTTATTTTAACTGAAAATAGCATCAAAACTATATAAACATTTGTTGTTTAAGAGGTGAAAAACAATGTTGCATGAATATAAAGAAATTTGATCTTTTCAATAATTCTAGAAAAATAATCACAATCATATGTTTACTTATCAAATATAAATATTCACTAAAATTTGATTTTATGGAACAAATCAACCAGAAAATTGTAGTAAAAATATCAAATGTAGTAATTAAAATATAAGATTCAAATAATGTACAATGAATTGAAATAACAGTTGTAATATTTGAAGAGAGAGAGAGAGAGATGTATATATATATATATATATTATTGATTACATAAAACGGCATATTTTGAATACTTGAGTTTCATGTATAATTCGATAACAGATTTTTAACTTAAAATTATATTACCATTACCATTTAAATCTTTCCATAAAAAAATATTTTTAAAGAAATATTTCAAAACCCTGTTAAGATGAAAGAAATTTATTTTTTAATATTGCTGATTTTGAATTATGTTGATAACTATACATATCAAAATTGATCATTGATGAAATTTATTTATATATCAGAATTACATATATATAATTAAATGTATGATTAAACTGCATTAGTGAATCATAACAATAAAAATTATTGTAAAAAATATATTTTCATTACTGACTTATAGGTTTTGTATGTTATTGATATGTATGTATGTATGTATGTATATATATATATACATACATACAAACATGATAAATCAATATTTATAATCAGAACAAAAAATGACGTATGTGTTTGACAAAAACAATAAATTATAAATCATATCTTTTGCCATCATTGAAATTTCATAATAAACCAAATTGCTGAGCACCAATTTGAAACTCTAATACAAATGTAAATCATACACATTATCTGAAATGTAAAAAGTTATTTAACATGATTATGATTTGATTTTGATTATAATTTTAAGCTTAGAATGTATTCATCATCATATTACTAGACTTTTTGACAAATACTAAATTTATTTTGTCAAATCATTATTTTTTTGTTTAATTTTTGATATATACATAATATAATTAAAATAGATTTCAAGTAAATCATCAAATTATAACATATGTCTTGAATGTGTGTAGCTTTGAGCTTTAAAGTATGTGATATATATATATATATATATATATATATATATGTTAACTTCAGTGCTAGCTATAAGTAGTAGGAAGTATGGTCAAGTCGCTACGACTGGGTATACTTAACGTTAATGAATTCATATGTAATGTGACTTTTTATCAATATATTCTCTTGCGTCTTTTGGTCGTGTACACATAGTTTTGCACCTAGGTGAAAACCCTGGGTACTAGTACACTGCTCACGGTTAATCGAGATCTCTATATCTTGGGGTAATTTAAATAACCGAAAATGAATAAAATCTCAAAAATTGAATGCATCACTGAGACGATTGGGAGCACAAGAGCACCATGATGGAGAGTAGTTGGTTTCAAGCACTAATGAAAGAGACACACTAAAACCCGACTCACACCATCTCCGATGTAGATGCGTCGGCATTACATCAGTATTCGAACTATCAAGCTAAACTCGGAGCCATGCAGAACATGCGAAGAGAACAAAGATTTAATGTCGTTCAGCGCAACGAAAAGCGTTGGCGAGGATACGAAGGAAGTGCATGATCCAGTAGCTTCGGATTACAAATCTGATTAGATTTTCCTGTGATTGGGTTTCTTGGATGAACAATGTTATATTGTGACTTCTTGTATTTGTCATTTTGAGTTTATTACATGTTAGATTGTGAGCTGAGTGTTGTTATCTTGCGTGTCTTGGTTTAATAATTGATATCAGAGTTGTGGTTTGTAAGAATCATTTTTGCCTGTTTGGAAGATTATCAAACTGTATTGAGACGTTGGAAAAAAAATTTACTATGAAAAAAAATTGAGGGGTTTTTTATGGTGAAAGAAATCTAACAGTGATGCAAATTTGAATGATAGTTTTTTTCCTCAAGACGAATTAAAGGCAAGCGGCCGGAGAAGCAAGAGCTGGCGAGTAAATTCATAGGCGCGCAAACATGCGATGTTAGTTGCAAAGACACGACTATGCGCACAGGCGCACAAATCAAACAGGCTGAGAAGTGAGGTGTTTAGAAAAATTTTAAAAGCGAACAATCTCGGTTGATAAAAAATTAGTGACAATTTTTTCTTCAAAGTAGACAAGCACAAACACGCGCAGATCAGACGTACAACGCGTGTACAAAACACGGACAGGTCGGAAAATAGACAAAATTTTATAATTTTTTTCAAAAATCAGAAGCTAACGCGGCCAAATAACGCACATTGACGAAGAGTGAAGACGCGAAACGAGCAAGATCGCGCAGGATTACGCAGATGTGGTCAATGTCGCGCCAAATCGCGCAAGTAGTGCGAGTAGTGTAACAAAGGTAGTCTCAAAAAATAGCGCAAGCGCTGACGATGATTGATCTTGCGGCAACGCGTATCGTTATTCAAGCTTGACACGTCAGATTGATACGGACTACATGTCATGCATACCTTTTGACACATCATACCTCAACCGACGCCACGTCACTACTTTACAGGCAACGTCAAGCTTCAAACGCACAATATGTTGACACGTGGCTTCGCCATGTTATCACTGACAAGCCATGCAAACGGCGAAGGTACAAGAAAGTGACATGTGGCGTGACGCGGACATGTCGCACATGTAGACACATAAATTGTCACGCTGTTGACAACGAGGTCCAAACAAATCAAATGGTTCGATCACGTTTGAGCAAGCGCATGTAGTTTCAAACAACTTATGGAAAATTTTTGCGCATGTTTTGGCAATATTATATCATAATATTATGTAATCATGAATAGTACGTCTATAATATGAACAAATTGGATATCATTGGAGAGCCCTCGGCACTAATACTGCATATAAATACTTTTGAAGAGTTGTAAAATGACGTAAAAGGAAAAAATTGCCGCAAAAATTGCCATGATCTTGGAAAATAATTATATGAATAACAAAAGTTTTTCTTATCTCTATGTTAGGAGGTTTATTAATTAAGTCTTTGTATTATTAATATATACGGTCATGACTATGGCTGAATTTTTGTTAACTTTGATTGACAAAAGATGCATTGTGTTAGGTTTCATTCTTTCATACTATAATCATCTTTAGTCAGTTAGAACTAAATTAGAGTTTACTCTATATGGAGTAGAATATATGAGAGTGACAATGAATATTGTCATGTTAGCAATCCGTGTGCTAGTTGGGAACGACACGTCATCAATCTATGTGCTTGTTAAGTAAAGATTAAGAGTGCTAGTTGATATGTTAGTTGAGAGAAACACTTCAACAATTCGTGTGCTCATTATGTATATTTGTCATGTCATCAATCCACTAAAAGTGAATTGAACAATGGAGAGAATACTTTATATTTGTGTATGTGTTTGAAGTATCTATATAAGTAAGAAGAGAACCATTCAAGATATCTTATCTTCAAAGTTTATGTTTCATCTTTGAATGAGCTTGCCATGTAAACTCTAGTGTTACACTTTGATTGACAAGAGTTGACTTCTGTTAGATTTCCTTCTAGAACTTCTCGCCGAATCATAATATAGATAAGGAGGTTTCTATTTCCTTCATATGACTTAACGTAAGATTGTTAAGGTTAGTTAATGTTAAATGATAACCTCAATCCTAGCTATATTAAGCTATGAAGGTTTGCTATGATTAGTAAACTTAAACCCAATGACTTCAAAATGTAATATGACATTTTGCCATTGATAAATATACTCTCTTGTGTGTCCGTAGCCATGCATCTGGGTGAATCTCAATATATTATGACTTCTTGTGTTTGTCATTTTGTATTCATTATTTTTTTGATTATCAACTTGTTATGGCAATATTGCGTGTCTCGGACTAAATATAAATATAAATAAATATTTATTTATTTAATTTGTTGGTTTTGCAGATCAAAATTTTTGATTGATGTAACCTTTTTTAAGCATTAAAGATATGATTTATGAAAAATTTCTATGAACAAAATTTGAAAACGATTTCATTTTTTAATTCAAAGATTAATTTGAATCAATAAATGTTTTATCATATACACATATATATTGTATGAATACTTCAGATTCATATATTTATAATACTGAATTTTTTAATAAAATCATATTTAAAATAATAATACATTTCTGATTAGTAATTCAGTTTTGTTGATAACAGATTGAAACTTAATATCACAAAAATTTTTAAATATATATATATATATTATCAATAATCTGAATTATTGTAAATTAATTATTATATATGCTAACATCTTTATGATTTTCAAGTTGTATTATTTTATTGAATAATTATTTTTGAATATGATTTCAATGAATTAATTTATTTTTATTTATATAAATATTGTGTTTAAATTTGAATTTAGATATTTTTATTGATATTTTTCTTAATATGAAATTTAAAAGTCTTGACATATTTTAAGCATAATATATTTTGAAAAAAATGTGAGAATTAGTTATTAGTTATTTCATATCACGTATACTTTTCTGGATCAATGTGAACTACATTAAATAGTATTGCTATTATATATTTGATTTTTTTTAAAAAATTAGGTTTTCATGAATTATTTTAATTTTTGATTTCTAGATTGTATAATTTTTTAAATGATAAGATATGAACAAATCATGATTGTGATTGTGTCATATTATATATTACACATGAATATGACATGTTTTTATATAGAAATTTAATTTTTGTTGAGTTAATAAGATATTTGAATATGCTAATATTGTACAAAAATCACAAATAAGAGTCACACAAGGATATATGTGGTTCATCTCCACATTAGATAAAAACCTCACTAAAGCAAAAATATTACATCACGTCTTCATAGCTCAAATCATTAGTAGAAAAAAATACGCTTGTTACCGTTGATTTCGTTCATCTCACATCAAATACTTTACTTTATTTTGTAAATTGAAGAGTTTTGATCTGAACTTTACACTTCTATTTCCATATATATAGTTGTTTCTTGTGTGAGTTGAAGATTTAAATATTACTAATCATTATTTAGTGTGTGTCATGTGATAAGAAAATAATATTATAAAAAGAGAGATCATGAAGATGGATTTTAAGGTTATTATACTTTAAGTTGGAGAAGACAAATTTACTATTGTGCATATTATGGTCATGTTTACATATATCAATGATATACTTAAATAATTTGGAACTGATTTATGAACATCCATCTTTCTTCAAGTGTAAGGTCGTGAAAATGATTAAAATCTTTCGTTCTCTAGCTCTGCAGTTTTTTTTTAGCTAGAGACATCCATTTTGACATTTGTGTGATTGTATCTAAGAAATCCTATCATATCATATTATCTGCATATCACTCTGAAACACTATCTTATGTAGTCCATTTGAGACTATAAGATAGCAATGATGCTTGTGATGCCTATGTAGTTTGCAAAGACATTGAAGATATATATATACTAGAAGGTGATTCTCTATATGCCTATGTAGTAAGTAAACAGTTTGACTTAGATCTCCGATCTGAACCGTAGGTGCCAAGGAAGAATGCAAAAAAAGCCCAAAAGAAAGCTAAAAAAACATGACTTCAGAAACAATGAAGAGAATCATGTTCATATAGTAGATGATGGTTCTTTTGGTAGTTTGGAAACTCTTTGACTCATATAATATGGATGTAGATGAAATACGAAATTTATCATTTGTGTGCTACTATTGTGTTAGCCTCCATCTCACACCTTCGGTGTCATCAGTGTAGCACTTCATGATAATCCCACGCTTGTAGCTACACATTTCTCGGTGACTTTAAAGAAAAATACAAGGCGGGCTGGGAAGCCGAATTGTACTCGGCGATTTGTATCTGTTTCCATAGAAAGGCAAGCGGAGGAGTAAGGGAGGAAAAGGCCAAAAATAAAAAAAAAGAGGCGAACGCTGTGTTCTTCTGCATCGCGTTTACTGGATTGGAGATGTGGATTGTGTACCACACCCGGCTGGCGGGCGTGTGTGGCACACAATCCATATCTTCTTCGATCCAGGATTCCTGGCACACGCGCCCAGCACCGGCTTCTCTAGACTGCACTGCCAGGTTATTTCTCTTCGAGTGACCGGCTCGAGAGAATTCTGCAGCAAGTGTTGAGGAATTCTGCAGCAGGAGCGCGAGATTTATCGAACCGGAAGCAATGGCAGCAATGGCCGTCCAAGCTTTGGCTTCCACTTCGTCCGTGTCGAGGTTGGCATCCGTCAGCAACGGCGTGAGCGCATCGTCTCGGCTGGAATTCGCGCCCTTGCGTTCGGTTACTTTGAAGAGGAGCAATGTTGTGCAAACCGTGTGCTCCGCAGCTGCTTCCGACCGCGTGCCTGATATGGGAAAGAGGCAGCTGATGAACCTGCTGTTGTTGGGTGCCATCTCCCTGCCCACCGCTGGTCTTCTGGGACCTTACCTGTACTTTTTGGTTCCTCCCGGCTCAGGAGGCGCTGGTGCTGGAGTCACCGCTAAGGATGCTTTGGGTAACGACATCACCCTTAAGGGCTGGCTGAAGACCCATCAGCCAGGTGACAGGACTCTTGCTCAGGGTTTGAAGGGAGACCCCACTTACCTCGTGGTCGAGAACGATGGTACTCTAGCGACATACGGTATCAACGCCGTGTGCACTCATCTCGGATGCGTCGTGCCTTTCAACAACGCCGAGAACAAGTTCATCTGCCCATGCCACGGTTCGCAGTACAACAACCAAGGAAAGGTTGTCCGAGGTCCTGCGCCTTTGTCTCTGGCTTTGGCTCACGTGGATGTTATTGACGAGAAGGTTGTGTTCAGCACATGGTCAGAAACTGACTTCAGGTCCGGCGAAGAGCCATGGTGGTCATAGATGACTCGCCGCTTGTATATCAGATTCTTCTGTCGCAATTGCTAATTTGGTGACATCGAATTGGAAGATTGCAATTCATTATCAGCTCGCTGTGTAAACGATATGATAGTCTTTCAACGGATTTGTAACATTTACGTTCTCTTTTAATGTGCCACGACATCTTTTTAGAAAAAAAGCATTTGGACAATGCCTTGTCAATTGATAGGTGTTGATAGGAACTCGGTATGCCCGTCCAGGTGATCGAAATCTCTAGTAGTTTGGCTCTTATTTTAAAGTCCATCTAGGCACTGCTATGAACATGTTCATTCTGTATAATGTGATGGTCAATTTCCTGTTATTCTCTTTTTCTCTTAAGTTTTCCCATCTTCGAGAGACGTGCATATTGTGGGTAGCAAAGTCATACGTCTTTTCATGAACCGATGTCACATCCAACCCCTCACCGACAGTTGGAGAATTGTTTATAGGTGCAATTTCGTATTAGATCTACCTATTCGGATCGACTAGTGAGGTAACTCTGGGAGGTTGTGGATGTTATGGCTGTTTTTTCTTCCCATTTTTACAGCGAGTAAGATGTAAAGTGTAGAGTGTGGCATTCCTTGAGGTCAGTGGACTCTCTACATAAAACAATTGACGTTTTCTAGATGTCGTTGTTGCGTGTCATGTTTTCTTACGTAGATCGTAGTGTCCTTTGTTCAATGTTTGGAACGACAAAGTAATGCAGGTTTGCTCGTCTGATTGAGCTCGCCCCTTTGCCTATCCCAATTCTCTATGGTCTTGCTGCTATCTTCTGTTCATTGCCTTTGCCTATTCATTTGCATGTGATTATTATCACGCCGAGTTCCAAATGTCTAGTATTCTTCATAGCTTCATACTGTAGTGTCGATGGTAAGGTTGGAATGGGGTTATATCAGTCAGGGATGTGAAGATCCGGATGAGTTAAGTCCGCAACTCTCGAGAAAGTTGATCAGTTGTTCGTCGTTTATATTGTGCAATTCATCTGTCTACTGTTTAGGACACCAACGGACAATAACCTGCCACAGGTTCTATGTGAAATGGTATTTAAGTTATGTGGAGAGGTATTCCACTCCGTCCGTCAAGCCGTTGTCAATTCAACCCAATGTAACGAAACAACCTCTAAACATGTTTCGTGATAGCAGTATTTCGCAGATGCTGAAAGAACGTCGTACGTGCAGCCAAGGACTCCTTTACATTAGTGAAGGAGAGGTGAAAATGAAGCGCCTTTCGGCGTTGATTATCTTGTAATTTCTGGTTATTATGATACTGTGGGTATTGAATTTTATGGGATGGAGTGATTCTCATGAAAATGAAAGCATCTGTGAAAGCGGAATCAAAGTTGGCTATCTTCCAAAATATACTGAATTTGTGCCAATCAGGATGAAAGTGTACAGTGCGAGAAGATCGTAATGGCAACGTAATATTTTTATTCCTCTACATGGAAATGAGAAACGGATGTTTAAGCAGACAAGTGCCTACTAAGCTCGATAACTATTATATAACTATTATATAGCTGATTGGCGCCAAAGCAACTTGCTCGTCAATTAAACCGTAAGCATCACACAAGATGCCGTGATGACCACAATATCTACGGTAAGATTTGCTGTTGGACGCCGAAAGAGACGAATCTGTGAGAATTGTGCCGAGGAATGCTACATGGCTAACGTGAAGTGACGCTTGTGATATTCAAATAATGCCCTGCAGTAAGAAATTAAGCTCTTGTTCGAAGAGCCGGAAGCCGAATGTGTATCTCGATTCATCGCTTCATACAAGCAGCTATATGGATCTTAACAGTAACAGATCGGAGTGTGTCGTCGCGGACTACTGCGGTTCGTACATTCATCTGTAGCCTTCGAAAATCTTCAGAAGCACAATTCGTTGAGCGAAAGGACGAAATTTCCACCGCTTATATTGAACGAACCGCGATTCTAAGTAATGTTGGTTCCTCTGTTTGTCAGTGACAGTCTGGAATTTTATTCGTGAAGATTTGGATGGCTTCTTGAATGGGCCAGGGTTACTGAGGTCACCAAACATCTCACGTATGACTCGTACATCTCGTACACCAGAGAAATAGTAGCTACGTTCTTTAACACAGTGTCTTTTAGTGCCCTCTTACAATTCGTGGAACGTTGGACAGAATCGTGAGACGTGTCTTGCCCCGTCTTACTCCTCTTGGATGCAACCATGTACGAATTGAAGCTTCTTCCCATCATTTATTGCTTATAAGAACAAAAGATTAATATATCATTGTTGGAATGAGAGAGCTGAGTGAAATTTAGATATGTGAAATATGTAATATATGCTATTTGTTTCCAAACTCAGTAGGTTTATTGACTTTACTCATTGTGTACATGCACAAGAAGATGATGGAAGATTTGGATATGATTTGGTATGTTTATACCATCATAATTCAATTTGAAACTAATAAACTTTTATGGTGTAAATCTAGAATTGTCGTCTTTCTGCATTGCAGCTTCCACTGTTGAAACATCTTGGATGAAACTCGCAAATCTTGTACACATCATTCCTTCCTGGAAACACAACATGCTCAAACGCGATGTCATGATATTGGAGCATATCCGATAGTCCGATACATTCTCTTGGTGCGAGTAGCTCCTTGGAAAGAAGTTGGAATACTTGGACTTACTTGGAAAGAAAATTACGAGTACGTCAACTCCCCTTCGGCCACGTACAATCAGTTACGTCCAAGAGTTTGAGAGGGTGAGAGTGGGACGAGGAGGTGGAATTGCCGCCACCAAAGTGTAAACCTTCTCCTTGTTGTTGCTTTCATTGTCTATTGTTGTCTTACTACTGGAGGAGCTAAACCTTTGCTCTCTTTACACCGAGGCCATGCAGCGACGCTGCGATATCACATTTTTTTTCAAAGTACAAATTGCACGGATAACACATGCAACAAAGAGACAAGAGATGTGATTGATCTCATTGAAGTTACATGGATTGACTCTAATGTGTCATATGACACTTATACAAGCTGTTTTTTTATAAGAATGTCTACTAATCCTACTTTGCATTGAACCCAAATCAACCAAGGACTAAGAATGAACCCAACATCATAGACTCGACATAAAGTGTGTCGAGTGAATCATTATCTATATTCTTGCACGATCAACAAATCGAAGTGTAGTGATTTACATCTCCAAGTACATGTATAGCTCAACTCCTTGTTACTTAACACATGAGGGTTAAAATAAATTGTGGATGCAGATTTCCACATGCTAATGAGAAAGTTCAAAAAATTCTACTTTATTAACAACAAGTAATCATTTCTATCAATAGCATATTTTGTAAGCGATCGTGAATATGATTTTCCATTTATATAAATCACAAACTTCGTACTTGAACATTCAATATTTTTTGATTATGGGATGTAGGATCCTTATGTTGTTCTGGCACAAATGATTGATATTTTAAAAAATGCAGAGATAAAATCTTGTTGTTCTAATTTTGGCGTTAAGCCTAAAATCAATTATTTCATTCTAACCCAAATGACATCTTTTTATTATTGATCTATATAGTTTATAGTGTTGATTGAAGAAAAATTATGTATCAAAATTCATATTTTTAATGCAAAGATATGCAATTTTTTTGATATTATTGAAGATTGAATTATATATATTCTTATTTTTTATTAAAATTTCTTAAAAATTATGTGAAACTCTAAGAATAGAAAATTCTTAAAGATAATCATTTTTTTAAACCGAAGATTATAATTATGTTTATGATTTTTTGGTAATTTTAAAATCTAAAATATGAGTTTAAATTCAATTTTCATCTAATAAAAAAGAACCATTAGTCAATCTTCATGAATTATTATTCCAAACATGTCATCTCTAATTCCATTTTAATAAATTTGATATATAATGATAATTTATATTAAATTTTCTTCTTAGTTTTAAATATATATGTAAAAAATCAGTATATCAATCAAAGGAGTTTTAAATAATTAAATATTGCAAAATTTCAAAAAGAGATTGTTGATGTTTATTTTACATATGATTCAAAAAATGTATACGCTCTATTAATTAATCTGTTGTATGTCTCTTGAAGTTTTATCATACTTATTTCATCTTAATGTTATTACGTTTGTTTTTTTTTTTTGGTCGCGTTTTTTTGGCACTTTTATATATCCAAGTACTAGCTATCGGTTATAAATTCCAAGATTGGAAATGATTAATCTTATCACAAACGGAAAATACGGAATAAAGAGTTTATTCTGTTAATGTTCGTTTTGCCTAATTACAGATGTAGCGAAAAGACAAAAAAGTCGTTGAAAAGCTTGACTTCGCCAGAGGCAATGAAAATGTTCGGAACTTATTTGTCAGGTTTCGCTTCTCGTCCTGCTCGCCCAGTACTTTTAGAATCTCATGTCCATGCAGAGCACAGACGAATCTTTTGTTGCGACGAATCGTTCGGGACTTGGATCGTCTCTGTTTCTTGATTTTCGGAGTCTCGAGGCTTTCCCGCGCCCGTCCTTTTACTCATGCTTTTCAATCTCTGCCTCGGCCGCTTCGAGCGAGCAGCAGAGTGCGGACTGCGGAGGGGTTATGTCCTTTCAGGCCTCTGTGCAAGCTCAGCTGCGACCATCCGAAAGAGCGATGCGGAGTTCGTCGTTGCGTCAGGCTCTGGAGACAGAGCTGTCTGCTGCCCCTCCGTTGGTTTGAACTTGAAGACTATATGAAGGCGAGGCTTCTTTCCCCGGTGATATAAAATTCAGCGACTGCGACCTCAGTCTCGTGCGTTGCGGGCTTTCAGTTTTACATTGATGACGGCTTATCTCGCGGAATTCCTCGAGTACAATGCCTCAAGCTATCTCCAACTTATTCTGAAGAGTGGAGAGTGTCAGACGCTGCTGTTGAGCTCACCGCAAGACATAGACGGGCTAGCGTAGTGAGGAAATTCATTATACTCGAGGCGAATTTTGCTCAGCAGACAGAGACCGGGTTCCGGTTTTTCGAAGTACTCGGAGACCATGTTGTAGTTTGAATTCCCTTCATCTATATTAAGATAGTATTTACCCACGTACATGAATACAAGCTCCGAAGACAAGCTAGAATCCTGAAAAGGATAGAGGACGAAGATGTCACACTCCAGTGGTGAGTGGGAATGACATTTCAGAGAGGGCTTTCAAGAGGTCGAAGAAGGACTTCATGCAACAAAGACCGATGGTTGTGGGTCGTATCAGTAGAAGCGACTTTAATCTGAAAAATAAACTTCAAAATTGCCCCAAACGGCTGGAAAAGCAATTGCAGTCGATGGAAGCCTCTATCGAGTTCTGTTGTTCTCGTGACCGCTCAGGATGCATACGTCACATGCGCAATTCGGGAATCCGAAGTGCAAAGCTCTACTGTGCTGGTAATTAGCAGGAAGCTACAGTCGTGACAGAGCAGCACAGCTTTGTCTTGTGAAAATTCCCAGCCAAATTAAAGTCGCAATGTTGTGCCCCCTGTCAGTATTGCAGGTGCTGGTAGAGCGTAGCTGACCCGTAAATCGTTCAGCGCTGAAGATTGGTGCCGCAGTAGCCAGGTACCACTCGCTTCTGAATGATGTATCTAAGGGGATCAACAGGCTATCCTTACAAGCGGAGAAAGGTCCATCCTGCTAATAGACCTGTAAATCCACTTGACGATGTACTCGAATTTCGCCTTCCTGAGTGTTCATGCCAGACCATTCCTTGTTCCAACAATCCGTCTCAATATTCGAAAACGAATCCTTCTTTCGCTGCCTGTACTAGGACCCGTCATGGCCGCAATTCGGTGCAAGCACTTCATACTGTTCGAGTGCCGAAAATATTTCTTATTGGAGCTGAGGAAGCAGAGCGTGAAAGACAATTCCTTCACCATAAGAAGAGGATTGTGGAATCTCCTTCTCAGGACGTGGACATGGATGCAACGGAAGAGGAGGACGAAGAAGAAAAAGAGGAAGAACTGGTTTTAACGAGAGACCCAACATCTCAATACTACTATTATGAGGCCTTGCCTGATCCCAACCTTGTGATCGAAACAACGGAACCATTCGTAATTCCGAAAGTAAAATTCGATCCTACAGATCTGGGCAGTTTTCCTACCAAAGCTTCTGACCTGATGTTGTTCCGTGAGGTCAAAAGGAAGCGCGTTGAGCAGATCGCCGTGGATGATCTTGAGGATGAGGAGTCAGCGCAACCTGAAAGGGAAAATCCACCTGGCGAACTGCTACCACCAGATCCTGTCCGACCTGCTCGTCACTTACGTTTGAAGTACTTTGACAACCCGACTCTGGAAATTCAACACCCGTCAGTTGTTCTGAAAGAGGTGACACTCAAGTACGCCCTCTTGTCCCCACTCCCTTGTCTTTTATGACAATCGCACCAGAATTTTATAATCCAACACCAGCAGATGATGTGCTAGATCTGTGCACAGAGCACACAATGTTTCAGCAGGCGATTGAAATAATATTGTTAGTCCCAAAAAGCATTGTACTATTAGCTGCCTGATTACATGATACTCCACCAGGTTACATGTAAGTCTCGATTCCCTGTGGCATTGATGCTTGTGGTTGTTAAAGGAGGAGAAAGAACACGGTTCCTCGTTCATCCAAGCAAAGAATATCAAACATCTCCAAATGTCTAGCATAGTTATTGCTTGAGAGGTGGCCGAATGTTTTGAAAGTTGTGAAATCTGTGCACAGTCAATGGCAGGCATCCAACCTGCCACTCTGAAGCACTAACCCGAGGTGACTTTCTGATCTTTGTGAGAAGGTGTTCGCAAAAAACGAGCCAGGTTTAAAAGCGCGATCTCGAAAGTACTCCTTGAAGACCAAGACGCTCACATGGAACCCGTGTCTTGTGGTATCATACGATGAAAAAAGTGAATTGTATTCCATTCGATGGTTCCTCGATGGGAAATTGAGTACTCAAGAAAAGCAAGTGACAAGGTAGCTAGCGTGAGACAGATAAGGAGATCAATGTGCTCTCGGTTTGTAAACAAAACTTTTGAGGACATACAGTAAAAGATTTATATAGTCTCAAATAATTAGTGGCTCGAGTCAGCATGTCTAAATCTCTTACGTTTCTTCATGCTGTAACTGCTTGAAGAGAACGAACTTGAAGCAAGAGCAGGCCAAGCAGATGTAATATAACGAAATATGTATATCTGGCAGGCTTAATCTGATCTTTGACTATGAGAGTGAGACGAGCTTCATATTAAGACGACTTCATGCTGAAGACCTGCGTGATAGTATGGAAGCTGAATTGGTAACGCCTCAGTGTGAACTGGTTCTTGGAGCACTATTCAGATCACCGCAGCTTGAGTTGATTGTATTTGTTAAGATCAGTGGACAATATTGCTCAGGATATAGCGACAGTTACAGTTATTGTCAAAAAACTTAAATAGTACGGCGAGAAAAAAAACACCTTCAGTAATTAGCTGTTTGCTTGGACCTTCTTAGCCCGTCTTAATTTCTCCAAAAAAAATCATGATTAGTCAGTGATTTAATTTGACGTCGATCTAAGGTCATTTTGCTGGTTTTGAAAACTCTATGACTGTTTGTTACAATTTTCTTACAGCGATGCTTCTGGCTGATTGAAGAACTTCCTTTCCTTAATCCCGAGCATATGGATGAGCTCATGATGACTCGAATTATGAGGGTTGCGGGATGGAATCTATGCTTTCTCCATCTCGATGTTGTAAAAGATTGCTTGGAAGAGTGTCGAGTTGACTTTCGTAGAAGTGTTAATAAATACATTCTGGAGTATGAGTTTGCCACGAACATGGATGTGAGGGAGAGACTATTGGCTCTTAAAATTTTACCAGTTGGCAAATCAAGGGCTCCTTTAGCAAGGTGAAAACTTCTACTACCGCCTCAACATACTGCATATGATCAGTTCAACTCAGGTATTTTGAAAGAAAGAAGTCATAAGTTAGGTGTTTGCATTTTGTCCTGTTGCACACATTTTACTCTAACGGCGCTCCTTTCTGTCGCGTCATGACATGGTACACAAAGTTTGAAGACTTCTGGTGAAATAAAGCTATCGTCTGAAAGGTATTGCAAGGCGCTGGTCTATATATCCCACAGTCCTGCATTCACGTCACAGAACGGTGGAAGTTCAAAGCTTCTTCAGCAATCGAGTTTTTCGAATTGTCTAGTTTCTAGGCTGATAAGCTTTTCAGCCTGTGATTCACTGGAACATACTTCTTAGATTCGTCCTCAGTTCGGCAATAAAAGGGTGGCGTATTGTAAGTGACAACTTCGTCTGAACTGCAGGCAAGGCTGTTTACCACTGGAATTTGCTCCCCAGAGTGACTATAGGCACACGAGGATCCACATGATCAGGAATCTTGTTGTTGCAGACGAAGCATTTTTGCGTGCATTGCAGCACTTCCATTCACATCTCGATATCGAGCTTTTCACTCTTGTCTGTCCGCTCTTCTACAAGCAAGAGAAACCTTGGAAGCTTAGCAAGTTTGAACGAGCACAGAAGGCACATATAGAAGACCAAACTTCCTACCTTAAATACGAGTAAGTAATATTGGCTCCTCTTAATGAATCGTTCGTGTAACTCTTCCCAGCTTTTGATGAGCCTTTTTTCTTGATTTTATGCAAAGGAATGAGTCAAGTGGGATGCAAGTCAACATCTCTTCATTTGATTTAAACAGCTGTAACTGTGATAGAACTGACTGAAGTACATAACAGTGGACGAAGAAGTACGCTCTGACATAAGTCGTGTGCTCATGTCCGCAGATGGCCTTCTAGAATTGCTGGAATGGTCGAGGACCTCGCTCCTGTAGTTGCCGAGCTTTCTGAAGTCGCCAAAGATAAGCTCATTAAGTTCGTAACTCGCTTAGATTTGACAATGTCTGAGCAGCTACAAGAATTAGTGATATCTTCTGTTGAAGAGTTCAAAACATACATCGACTTCTACAGGACGAAAAGAACAGCGATAGACGACGTCAAAGTTTACCTTGCGAAGCCCAGACTGCAATCTTTTATTGGTGAGCTACATGTAGAAGTAGGCCGATCCTCCACTTTCCGGGAAGGTGATTTTAGTGTAGGAGAAGGAAAGGTCGAGGAGGTTCCGAAGGAGCCTCTGTTCAGGTTATTTTTGATGGTGGATGACGATCGCTTGATTTATAAGCCATCACTGGAGCACGTTCTCCAAACAATGGTGGCACTGCTTGAGGATATGGTGGAATGCGTACAGTCTGTCGAAGGTCTCAAATCGAGGATACGTTCTCTTTTCACAACGTCGGAGCCAGATATTCTTCCAGCAGTTTCACTTGAGGAGCAACGAGTAGAAACAGCTCGAACAATCATAGAGGTGTCATTTGCATCTCTCTGCTTCGTTTCGTTATTTTCTTAGCGTAGGCCAAGGAATGTGCGATTTTTGAAATTCGGAGAATGAAACCAATAACCTGTTGTAGTTCGTGCTGATTTTCAAATGAAGAAACCTTTTACTGCTGTCCGGTTACAATCAGCGAATTTTCACACGCAGGAAGTTCTAGAACTAAACTTTTTGGTGCCCAAAAATTTGGAGCAAATGTATGCTGTATTTCAAGATCTTTTGGAGCTAAACGTCGATGAGTATCTGGAAAAGTATCAGGCAGATAATCACACTCTTGAAGATTATGAAGCTGAGGTCACCCGATTTCTTCAGGTTCGACAATATCTTGTCGCAATCCTCGTCGTGAACTTGATAACTGAAAGCATAAGAATTGGTGAACCTTCAAGTCGGTCGTATTTTTTTGTTTTCTGCGATTTACTACTTCTTTGGGTTTTTAATCGGTCACCAGGTTTACAGCTTCTGAAACGAGATAGACATAGGCAGGATTTGTAAGTGCAGCTAAACTTATAGTCTCTGATTTACATGTAAAGTGAGTTTGACTCTGGAGAGCAGGATGCTTTTGTTTCTGTAGGTTGCTGATCATGTGAAGCTAAGATCCGATAAAGAAACGCTTGCGAGTATGTTTCTTATTGATTGCAGCAGAGTACGTGACGTGCTTGGTAAAAAAGCAAGAAGTCTCGCCTATCAGCTCTGCACACAAGTGATGACCGAGACGGCAAAAAAGAACGAAGTCGTTCGGTGGAAATACACTACTATGGAAACAAGGATGCTCAAGTATCCCTCTCAAACCTCAAGTACTTTTAACCTTTTTTGTAGTGCGTTTTTTGCATCCTGGCTTGGATTCTGCAAAAAGGTCGTGTATATGAAGCACGAAGAAGACGTGCGAATGAGGGAAATATGTATTGAATACGCGATGCGTAAACTTTTATTCTAATTATGTACTGCAGACCCATCGATAATGCGGAAGATCTTGATAGCATGGTAAAGTATATCGCCGAAATCAGATTCGACATACCGCAGCGCAGACAAGATGTCCAGCAATCCCAACAGGTTAGCTGAGCCCTGGTTAGTTAAGCTCCAGTCCGAAATTGCTTCACAGAGAATTGGTTGCTACACGAAGTTCGTTTGAACAGATTGGTCCGGCTTTAGCTGGGTCGTCTAATCAAACATTAAGTTCAACGGTTAGCAAGCTGAAAATTTTCGATATTTGTTGTGTGTTGGCAGCTTACTATTTGTTATGACATTCTTTAAAAATGTTATATAAATTTCCCTTCAGGCAATACAACTCTTTACGGTTTAAATTTTCGGTTCCTAGTCTGATATAACCTGTATCAGAAATCAAAATTGATTCGAACCCATTTATGAGCCATGTCACGGGACCAGGTGTGGGAAATGCTCGGAAGAGCAAGGTTTATGGTACCTGAAGGCGAGGATGATGCATTTTGGCAAACTGTATCTTGGCCACAGAGAATTCAGCGAGTTGTTGATGAGGTTGAACAAAGTATCACACGCAAGAAGGTTAGGTGTTTCTTCTTTCAGCAAGGCCCCAAAATTCGTTCTTCTAGTTGAAGTAGCAAAAAACCCGCAGAAAAGAGCATTGAGATTCATTTGACCGAAAAGGGGAGGGGTTTTACTACAGTATGAGTGGACTCCTTGCACATCGCAACAGTTAACCAGGAGAAATGTTCCATACGGTATCAATTGTCTATATGTTACTGGCCCTTGAATGCAAATGCGAAATACGAATCTGCTGATTAACTTGCTGTTAAAACGATGCAGATGGCCTACTCTGCAGAGCACAATTTGAATTCCAAACAACTGATGATAGATATTAAGGCTCTAGCCGAGGTTATGAAGGAATTTATGCTGTTGGGACAAATCGAGGCCTGGGAGGAGAGAATCATTTACTGCCAAGAGATGGAGGATAAACTCAAGCGATATCTTGACCTAGCTTCTTTGTACAACAGTAGGGAGGAGGCAAGTCTCGTTTATTGCCTTTGAGCCTCAGGTTGAAGCTTCCTAAGTGACCTTTTCGATAATCGGCAATGCTTTGATGCTGCTCTGCACTGTTTTCCTGTTGAAGGCTTTTGGACTCGTTGGTGACATTTATCAGTCAGTTTGGCGAAGAGAGTAATGAATATGCTTGCTTACCCTGTCGTAAGAGAAGCATGATTTGTATATATAGTCAGTCCTGATGATGATTCTCTTATAGCAACTATCGTCCAGATTGTCTCTACTTTAGAGCTCTTGTTCTCAGGCCATCTAATTCGCTTTCTCTGCACACCTGGATACTCGCATACCAGTTTTGTTGTATCGATGTCATTTAAAGAGTTGTGGACACTACAACTTTCACAGACTTTAGCACAAAGTTATGTTCGTTTTCGTATTTGATGTTTTCACACCGTCTTTAGTTGGTCCAGAATGATCACTCTTGCCGAATTGTATTCATTTAATCCTGGTTCTCGTCTTCTTGAAGTGACCTGGACATACTGTTAGCAAGTGGTTTTCTCTTCTCTCCGGACGACTCTCGAGTTTTCAGGAAACTGAAAGTTTTTCTTACCACAGATATAGTCGCTCAAAAAGAAGCTGATGCGATTATATTTACTGCAGATCCTCGGCTTGTTTGTCACTGAATATGCCCTTATAGAGCAACTTGAAAAGGCTTTTGAGTTGCACGGTATGCTCTGGCATACCTGCAACGACTTTCTTCGCATATGGCCAGCTTGGATGGATGGCCCATTTCAAGATATAAATGGGGAAGAAATGGTTTTGAATATGGAGAAATGGTTTCGAGCTTCTGCAAAATGCGCGAAGATGATGACCAATGTTGAAACTAAAATAGTAGCAGAGGACCTGAAGAAGAGAATTACAGAGTTTCAGGTACGAGTTTCACCATCCAGGTTTCAGTTGGGTCCCAATTGTAGTATTACAGCCAGGAAGAGCTGACTCGTGCGTCGGAGTTGTTAGGTGCATTCTACCTCAGGCATTCTATTTGTTTATGCTCGATCGTCGATACACGTTCGAACATGTAGAAGTGATTGAGAAGTAGAAGTGATTAAGGTCCTTATTCACCTGAAATAAATATGTGGTAAAAAGAACAGTTGGCGCTCGTGTAGAAGTAAGCTTTTCTCTAAACAATCGAAAGCTGGGGTCAGAATTTGGCATTTGTGATAGAGTAGCAGCATTGGCTACTTAGGAGACCTGGAGTTTTAAGAACTGATGGAGCGATTTATATTCTACATGCAGGTTAATGTACCGTTCATAGCTGCTCTTCGAGCCCCTGGTATGCGGGACCGACACTGGAAGAAATTGTCTGAAATGCTCGGCTTCGAAGTATCTCTGAGCTTCTCAACTCGCAAATTCATCACACTAAAAATGCCAGAGTACACTCCCCAATGTCAGGAGGTAAGAACCTGGAGTCTCTACCAAGCTTAGCATTCTGTGGACTTCTTCCTTTTGATACAGACTGCTCAAATGGATGTTCTTTGATCCTTACTCACATTATTGAGCTGGGACGCTTGGCAGATAAGCGAGATTGCAAGTAAAGAATATGGTCTTGAACGGTCTCTCGACAAAATGCAAGGAGAATGGATGGGGATCAATTTTGATTACAAAGATTGGCATAGTACCGGTACAAGTATTTTGTGCAATATCGATGATCTCCAGACTCAGCTGGATGACCAGCTCTTGAAAACTCAGTCGATGCAAGCATCCCCTTATGTTGGACCCTTTGAGGATCGTGTCAAAATTTGGCTTGAAAAGCTAACCTTGATGAAGAAGGTAAGATTCCAGACACGGTAAGCTAAAGATTTTTACATATTCGGTTGTTCCTTGTGACGTCGATTGGATCTCTCTTTCATCTATGGTTGCCTTAGCTGCTACTAGTTATTTCTCATGACCGTGATAAATTTCCTTTATATTTCTCGACGTTAATGTTTCTCTTGATGGAATTGTGTCCGCAGATTATTGACGAGTGGCTAAAATGCCAAATGCAATGGACGTATCTTGAGCCTATCTTTACATCTGAAGATATCATGCAGCAAATGCCCACAGAAGGGCGCAGGTTCTTGCAAGTTGATAGAGTGTGGAGAAATATCATGAAGAAGCTAAAGATGAACCCGGATGCCATGTCAGTAGGTAATGATGAAGAAATATACCAGGACCTGATCCAGAATAATAAGGATCTTGATGTGATACAATCAGGCTTGAATGACTATCTGGAGACTAAACGCCTTGCCTTTCCCAGGTAAGTGGTCATCCTTCGGATGCGAGTACTAGAGAATGAGCCCTAAATATGTACAGAAGACCAGTACTTATACACATCATAAGATTCTGAAAACCTGGAGATTTTTGTTTTTTCACATACGCTGAACATTGAAAAATAGAGGATCGTCCCAGATAGCGATTTTATATACAGTAGCAGGTTTCATTCCGATGTCGCGCATGCCTTTTCAGGGTAGCTGTATAGAGGGAATAAAATACTTACATAGTAACTAAGTGTAGAGACTGTAAAATTTTTTCTCCCGTTTTTGGGTCTTGCTGCAACGTTAGGAAGTCATCGTTTTGACCTACTTGTTTTTTCTTTCAGATTTTACTTTCTGTCCAATGACGAACTACTAGAAATATTGGCGGAGACCAAAGATCCCCTTAGGGTGCAGCCGTTCCTCAAGAAGATTTTTGAAGGAATACATCTCATTGAGTTTACCCCACATCTTTTCATTGTTGCAATGCTAAGTGAGGAGGGAGAACGAGTAGAGTTCGATATGATCGTGAACCCCAAAGCTGCGAAGGGTGCGGTGGAGAAATGGTTCACGCAGGTTTGAGCTCAGTTTGCCAATCATACCAAACCTGAAGGTCTTTTGTTCTTTTGCTACAGTTTTCAGATATCTTGCCAACCATGTGCTATATTCACACGTCCATGACTGTGGCATTATCTGAATACCAAACTCGATGAAATAGACGATCTTAGATCTCTTGTGAAGCAGGAGGACCTTTTTTGTTTAGGTAATACTTATATTTTTAGAGTGTCTTTCCTAGCAGTTTTCCCGTGTACATTAACTCCCAAAGCGCCGTGGACCACCATGTGTCAACCTGCTCCTGACATGTATTGAAGACCTCGTTTCGTTATTAAAGACCTCAGAAGACCTCCTTTTCGTTATTGCAGGTGGAGCAAACAATGAGAACAAGTTTGCGCTATGTGACAACTCGTGCTTTCAAGGCATATGCAGTGAAGTCCCGGGTCGAGTGGCTGCTCGATTGGCCTGGACAGGTGGCAATATGTGTATCACAAATGTACTGGACTGCAGAGGTTATAGAAAGCATTCGCCAGAATAACTTGAGGGAGTACGAGCAAAAGTGCACTCTTCAACTTCAAGGAATAGTGAACAAGGTAATCCCAGTTTTATATGGAGGTGAGGAACACGTCATGAATCATGTGGTTTCGATCATTCGAGCTAATGTTTCCAAATTTTCATCTCAATATGAAATAAGAAAGGAGTGAAGTAGCCGGCACGCGTATAGAAGCAATCTTACTTTCACGAGTATAGAAGCAATTCTGGTTTCAGCACAGATCTTCCTTCAAGTTCATTACATCATTTCTTCCAGGTTCGTGGTAAACTCACTAAGCTCGAGAGAAAGACGATTGGGGCCCTGATTGTGCTCGATGTTCACGCACGAGACGTGGTGAAGAGTTTAGCAGACGCACAACTGAAAGATGAGACAGACTTCGATTGGATTTGCCAACTAAGGTCTTTTCTCTTCATATTAATTATGTTATTAGCATGCTGGCTGCTCAGAACGCGTTTTACAAAGAAAAACGAATTCATTCATCCAAGGGAAGTTAGTCCATTTCTTTTTTACCTTTGCGCCAGACACATATTTGATACGGCCATGCATAATGTCATCGTTGTATGTATTTTAAGCTGTACAAACGTGTCCTGATGACGTTGAGCTTAGAGGCTTAAAGTTGTGACTTCCTGAACTCAAGACTCGTGGCTTATCCGTCGAATCTGCTTAAAGGTTGACATTCTCTGTCTGGCTTTCTTCATCTGGTGGAAAAACCAAAGACAAAGGCACTTTCTTTTAGCCTGTATTCTTAATTCTAGTTCGGATCAGTTTGAGTATTCATACCGTCAATTGTGTAGGTATTACTTCGAAGAGGAAAACGTGATGGTACGGATGATTAATGCGGGCTTGCAGTATGCCTTCGAATATCTTGGCAACAGTCCACGCTTAGTTATCACCCCACTTACAGATCGATGCTACCGTACTCTTATGGGTGCTCTGCATCTCAATCTGGGTGGAGCTCCTGAAGGTCCAGCAGGTATTTTGGAACAACACGCTTCTTTCTTCTTGAAAATATCGCAGCATGGTGTGGTTCAGAAAAGTTGTTCCTAATTCCATGTGCTTGATTGCTTACTCAGGAACTGGTAAAACTGAGACCACCAAGGATCTAGCAAAAGCTATCGCGATGCAGTGTGTTGTTTTCAATTGCTCTGATGGTTTGGACTATCTTGCTATGGGAAAATTTTTCAAAGGATTGGCCAGTTCTGGTGCTTGGGCATGTTTTGATGAATTCAATCGAATTGACCTAGAGGTAAGGACCTCCTGGTACTGTTAGCAGACTCGCATCACATGCAGTCAGACCGCTTTTGATTTTAATTTCTAGCTTCAGCCAGTGGATGAGCGTGCTTCATAATATCAGCTTGTTGGCGACATAAATGTAAGCACGGAAAGGACAATGTTTCGTATCTTGTGTGTTGGTATTTACCATGCACCTCTTTGACTTGCTTCCTGTTATCTCCATGTAAAGACAGACGCAAGTTGCAGATTGGTCTCATAAGAATAGACATAAAACTTTAATGTTCAGCGCAAACTTTTCTCGGAAGGATAATCTCTGCCAGTGATCATGAGATACTAGTTTCAAACTTAAGAACGACAGTCTGTTTCTTACATGTGATCTTTTGACGTTTCTAGAAAAGGATACCACCACGAGCGTCCTGCTTTGAATGGAGGCAACTATGCAAGTATCATGAGTTCTACCCTTTCCTGACAATGTCATGTACTTTCACAGGTGCTAAGTGTCATAGCACAGCAGATTCTGACGATTCAGAGAGCTAAGGCGGCGCTCATGACATCTTTTGACTTCGAAGGCACCAGACTTACACTGAAACCTAGTTGCAGTGTGTTCATCACCATGAATCCTGGATATGCTGGACGTTCCGAGTTGCCTGATAACTTAAAGGCGTTGTTTCGAACTGTCGCTATGATGGTTCCAGATTATGCCCTAATATCTGAGATAACTCTATATTCATATGGTTATCTTGAGGCTCGTGAACTTGCAAGGAAACTTGTGGCTACATATCGTCTATGCAGGTGTGTCTCTCAAATCAACTGGCATGAGAATAGTATGTCTTCCAATGACTGTTCTCGTTTAGGCATGTGTTTCCCAACAATATTTATACGGGGGTAAAACAAGGTCTGCGAATGTAAGAGAGGGAGGTCTTCAGCTTCGTAATGATCTCACGAGGAACTGATCAAATTGATAACTTTCTTTGATAATCATGGCTTTCGCAAACTTCACGGGTCCACGGGGAAATCTATGGTTAATCAACTCGGAATCCTTGTTGACAGTGAACAACTATCCAGCCAAAATCACTATGACTACGGGATGAGAGCTGTTATTTCAGTATTGAGGGCAGCGGGTGCGGTGAAGCAGAAGTATCCAGGAGAGAGAGAGGACGTTCTGATGCTGAGATCTTTGAAGGATGTAAATTTGCCAAAGTTTCTTGCTCACGATATTCCACTTTTCGAAGGGATTCTGAAGGATTTGTTTCCAGGAGTAGCGCTTCCAGCTCCAGATTATAAGGATATGCAAGAAGCTATCGAAGCTAATTGCTTGAAGTTCAATCTCCAACCCACTTCTGTTTTTCTAGAGAAGGTATCACAACAATGGTGGCCTTTACAGACTCTTCTCTTGCAAGTACAGTGCAAGAACATAGTTTTGGCTCTGGTAAACTTGACTGGTTAGTATTGCCTTTCATGAATAACGCGACTTGGCAGAGGTGCTTACACTAAAATAATGAGGAGCGGTAAGATGGGATGAAGAGGGAAGCGGAAGAGGGAAGACTTTTTGTTTAAAATTAAGATCTCTATTACAGTGGGAAGTATTAAGAACCTCTTAGATGTGTTAAAAAGTCCTTCTATCCTCAGAAAACCTGTGCGATTGATAGTCATTGACTACATGAAAAATGTTAACATACACACTGATTTTGACTTTGTTGCAAACGAGGACTGCCTGGAATGTTTCAATATTAACCTGGAGATTAGTGATCCACCCTGTAAATTGACATTCAACTCAAGATATATGAAAATAAGAACCAGTGTAAATAACACCTTGAACTGTTCATATGGCTATTCATTATAAACATACGAGTACAATATCAGAAGTCTCTTGCTTGTACAAATCTGAACATGACATCTTAGATTATGGGACAACTTTATTAAGAAAAACTGTCCTGCCAGTGAATATGGAAAACTCGTTCATTCTTCAGGGTATTGGAAGGCAGAAATATGGTGAAAATTTAGAAGGTCTTGGATCAGTTAGTCAAGCCAGTATTTAAGGGAGCGTAGGTTCACAATGCCTGTAGAGAGTCTTTCTCAATTTTGAAACAACTTGTCCTGTACTAAACTTTCATTGTCTTGTTCTTTTTGGATGCAGATTTTTCAGCTTTATGAAATGATATTGGTTCGACATGGTTTGATGCTGGTTGGCTATTCATATGGGGCGAAAACTGAATGTTACCGTGTGCTTGCAGCTGCATTGTCAGATCTTCAAGCAAGAAATTTGGAACTGATAACGAGGTATTTTGTGCTCAATCCTAAGTCAATCTACATCGGACAGCTTTACGGGCAGTTTGATCCTGTTTCGCATGAGTGGACCGATGGCGTGCTGGCCAAAATTTTCAGAGATGCTGCAGTGGACACAACACCTGACCGCAAATGGATCATATTCGATGGTCCAGTGGATGCAGTATGATCTCACTTATCATCTGGTCCAGGCTTCAAACAATCTTTGTGAATTGTTATCGTAGCTTGATATTCTTGACCACTGTTTCACTTAGGAGAATATGAAGAGCGCCTGCCAGTTCATAGCCTCTCCGCATCTTCCGTAGTTCGTATGATATTGGTTGGCAGAATGATTCAGTAAAATTCGTGTGCAGGTGTGGATCGAGAATATGAACACAGTTCTTGATGACAACAAAAAGTTGTGCCTCATGAGTGGTGAGATTATCCAAATGACATCGGTGATGAACCTAATTTTTGAAGTGCAAGATCTGGCGGTGGCTTCTCCAGCGACTGTAAGTCGTTGTGGAATGGTTTACACAGAGCCATCTGGATTAGGGTTCTGGCCTTTAATCACATCTTGGGAGAAGAAAACAGCTGAAAATTTTCACAATCTTGAAGATGCAATGCCCATGATCCGATCGATGATAAGGTGGCTGATTGAGCCCTGTGTGGACTTTGTTCGCAAGCATTGTAAGGAGCTCATTGCAACCTCGCCCACAAATCTTGTCAACAGCTTTCTGAACATGTTTGAGAGCCAGCTGGACGAGTTCAAGGCTGCCCCTGTCAAGGAGGTTCAAAGAGGTTCAATTGTTGTGTCAGAAGAGAATTCTTTCCTTCCAGCTCCCAAGGGTAATGACCTGGACGTTTGGATTCAGTGCCTGTTTGCGATGTCTGTTGTGTGGTCCATCGGAGCAACAGTAGATAAAGAAGGAAGATCAAGATTTGATCAATTTCTTCGAAGACTGCTTAACAAAGAAGATGATCTTGGTTGTGATCTCTCAGCCGGTTTGGTCATACAGAAACCCGCTTTCACAATGGCCCTACCATATCCCGATGCTAACACAGTATATGATTACTGTTTCTGGAAAGTCGAAACATCATGGAAAGAATGGATTACGACAGTTGACACGAGGCCCCCGCATCATGAATTATCATACACTGACATTATTGTTCCGACTGGTGATACTGCCCGGTACTCGTTCCTGTTTGTGATTCTTGTTACTCATCACAAACATGTATTGTTTGGTGGACCTACTGGTACAGGTGAGAATTTTCACCAAGCGCGTCCTCACATTTTCACATCACCTATTGAAGTATCGTGAGGACAGGGACTCTGGATATGCTGTAGTACTTATGCCGTACACTTCCTTTTCCCCGTTATTCGTTTCTGCATTAAAGCTTAATGCAAATATTTCATATACCGACATCTGAGGAAAATGCTACAGAAGACGCTCAACTCAAATAATTTGGAAGTAAATGCAGTTATATAATAAAGGCAGAACTGAATAAGGTTTTTCCCGGTAGTTGGATCCGGAAGAATCCTGTATTTTGAGTGGTGTTCACTGGTACTTCGTGTTGACTTCGGTTTTCACCTCGATTGGTATCGTAGTTAGAAATATGAATAGCGGTGCTGACTCGAAAATTATCAGTTGAGGTAGCGTTGACCATTGAATTAAAGTCAGACGATAGCAGTATCTAAGTAACAGTGAAACGTAAATTACAACACCTGTTAGTTAATTATAGTATTTTACTTTAGGGTACATTCGTGACTGTGATGTCCAGGTTTGTCCATGATTTGTTCTGTCCAGGTTGAGGTTCTAAGCTAAGCCTGAAAGCTTTATATATCACCACTCATTTAGAAATCAGGTAATATAATGCATATTGTCAGTGATTATTCCTTATGTGTTAATCACATTTGTGAGTTCTTGATATTGAGATATGAGGTGGTGATAGCAATCTATATGATTTCGAGTTGGAGCTTGGCTCAAGGTGGGAAATAAGACATTGAGAAATCTGACCTCATGAGGTTGGGTCAAAATCTTCATAAGCTTAGATTGACTCTGAGCGAGCTATGGCAAGCGCATGAGAGTCCACAAGACCTGATGTGGTAGGAAATACATCATCCGTATAAAATCTATACAATGTTTTGAACATCATTGTGAAAGTTTTATCGATATGGATCACTTGTGGATAATGTATACACAACAGCAGATTTGTAGAGTTATAGATTCTGCTATTGGTTACTACTACCCTACTCTCCACTCGATCGGAGAATTAGCAGAAATATTGAGGTGAGAATCCTCCAACTAGTATTCCCCACACTTGACATCAGACTCGATTTCGCGAATAAGTTGAGATCCTAAGTTTCTGTATTCCAAATAACTACCAAGAGTTCCTTTCAAGTACCTCAGTAGTCTCTTGAGACATCTCCAACGTGATGGAGGTGGACAACTAATGTAGCTGGCTAGAGCTCCTATGAGTGAGCTATATCTGGTCTCGTACACACCATAGCAAACATGAGTGAACCCAGTGAACTGTGATATGGAACTGCATATCTTCAAGGTTTCTTTGCTACTTTCATCCATCTCCTTCTACAACCTGCAGCCAAGTAGAAACAGGTTTTGCATCCTCCATCCTGTTTCTATGTAGACTCCCTCAATGTACTTGGTTTGGCTCAACCTAATCCATCCTTAAGTATCTGTCAATATGGATGCATAGCAGAAACTTCACAGGACCAAAATCTGTCATGTAGAAAATGGAGCAAAGATAAGAGATTACATTCTTCACAGCTTTTATATACTTATATATATTGCTGTTAAGTTAATATAGCAATCAGGTCAGAGTACATATTGCCATGATCATCATCCCCTGAGCTGTTGGTTTATTGAGAGTTGGGGATGGTGATAGAAGTCTAGTTAGCTGAATTCGAGTTGGAACTTTATTGAAAGTGGGGAGTTCTGAGCTCAAGAGCATTGCTTAGAATCTACTTGAGGGTTGCAATGAATGTAGTCGAGTTGTGGCAGGTGCACGAGAGACCTGTTGTGGTAGAGACATTATCTGGAAACTATACATTTAAGCACATTCCTCACTCATGTTTAATACTATGAATTGTTGTACGTTGTCGTGTACTTTGTACATGACAAAGTACACCATTTGCAAGATGATCAAAAGTGCTCAAATAAAACAGTCATATTTGATGGTTTTCTACTAAGACTCATTGAACTAAATGAGAGTAGGTGTAGGCGTTGTATACCTTGAACAGCTTATTTCATTGATTCTGGTATCCTGATCTCAACTTTGTGGTATAGCGGATTTGGTCTTTGTTGGTGGTATTCAATTTTTTTTATATAGCCTCATTATTGATTATGAGGCTATTCGAAAGCTGGTAGAAGATTTTGATAAAAGTATCGAAACAATTATTAGATCTTTCATTTTGTGTGGACCTTGTTGTATTGTACAGGTAAGACTGTGTACATAAAACACGAGTTGGGCGTTACACTTGACAAAGACTTGTATCGGAGCATTTTGATGACTTTTTCTGCACAAACAAATGCCAATCAAACTCAGGTTGACACCTGGTTTTAACTCTTGCTCTAGAAACAGCCCAGAATCAATTAGTTTAATGGACAAACTGTTGGGTTTCTGCAAAGTTTCTCACCGACAATAATCTTGAAGGTGATCCTTGTCAGCAGAATATGGCGCCACGTTTTGCCTCATAAACCCCCATGAATAAAGAATATGTCCATTGTCGCTACTTGTTGCCTCAGGATATCATTGATAGCAAACTTGACAAGAGGAAAAAAGGAGTTTTCGGCCCTCCAGCCGGGAGCAGATGTGTAATCTTTATTGACGATTTGAACATGCCTGCTCTTGAGGTTTACGGTGCTCAGCCTCCGATTGAAATTTTACGCCAGTGGATGGATCATGGCGGATGGTAACGGTTATCTAACTATGTTCTCGACTGTCCTGCTTTTTGTTGCTTCTATACAGCAGTAGCATAGTCAAATCAGTTGTCTGTTCTAGTCATCTACATGCGTAGAGAGATTGTTGCAAAGGAAGTAGGACACCTGCCAGGGAAAGGAGGAGAGGATGAATTGACAGTGCAGTAATGTAACTTGCGTAGATCGATGGTCAGATGCTATTTATGACAGTGAACAGAGAAGTAGAAGAGAAATGAAAGACTCGCAAGTTGGACACTGACAAATTTTACCCTTTCTCTAGTTGAATCTCCTAGCCAAGAGAAATAGGAATGTTTATAATAAACTCTGCTTCAGTGTGAAGCTGTGCCTATGTTGTTAAGTTGATGTTTTATTAAAATTTTTCTTTTAAGAATAATTCAAATCTAATTTAATATTAGTTGGATAGATTAATTTAAGTTCAGCAAGCAACGTATGCTATTGGCAACAGTCTTGCATTTTGGTTTGCTCGTCCATTGCGGTGTGTAGTGTTGAGTTGCCTGCCTCCTAATTTCTGGGTGTAAGCGAATTGCAACCGGACTCTCTGTTTTCTATCCTACCTGAGTTACTTCGGTACTTTTGAGTCTTAGTCTCATCTGGTGCTTGGTACTGTTTGGAGCACCAAAATGCTTTGAATTTCTATTAAGAATCTTAGACCTACGTTTCTTTTCAAAGCCGCGCTGTCTAGTGTGACTTCTCGTTGTGATATGTCACAATGACCCTGGACACTGCTGGACTGTAGTCGGAATAACTCTATGACCTGCAGAGTCAAAAAGGAAATGCATGATGGTCATCTTCAGATAGGTAAGTATGTGATATTAAGCTTTGAAGTCAAAGGGAGGAGTCAATGTACCGATCAGCATCCACCGTTCTTGATAATGAACACATTTCATTTATTGCATCTGGTAGGTACAACAGGGAAGATAATACGTTTAAGGTACTTGTGGACATTCAGTTTGCAGCCGCAATGGGACCACCTGGTGGGGGCCGTAACGCTGTAACTCCTAGATATATGAGGCATTTCAATGTGCTCTCGATCCTTGATTTTGATGACTCCAGCTTGAGCAGAGTCTTCACTACTATCATGGATTGGTGGATTAGAAAGGCTCACCTGCCTCATGAGGTAATTGATCTCGCATAGACCTTGGATGTATGAGACACATGGATCTGTGGTGGCTGGAGACTATCTTTCCTCATAAACTTACCTTTTGTTACCTGTCTCCGATAAACATTCTGTTCATGTGGTTTAATTTTGATTAATGGATGGATCTTGTAATTTGCACATATTGACCGTCTTCAAATATTCAAGCTGTTTTTGGCTCAGTTCTTCAGACCGTCTATTGTCAAGTACACACCCCTTATCGGGAGTTCGAACTTGCTGGTGATTGATGAACTTATCAGAGCGAGAAAAATAACAAATTGGGTAATTTTGAAATTTGTTGGAGTACAGGTCACTTCCATAACGAACATCCTGGTGACAGTGACTATTGAAGTATATAGAGCTATACAACAGGAACTTTTACCCACTCCATCGAAGTCTCACTATCTTTACAACATGCGAGATATATCCAAGGTGTTTCAAGGTGTTTGTATGGTTGGAGTTACTGTTGGTAAAAAAGGACTAGTGCGACTATGGTGTCATGAATGTTTGCGGGTTTTCCACGACAGACTTGTTGATGATGAGGACCGATACTGGTTTCTAAACTACATGAGAAGTAAGATTGACAAGGACCTGACTCTAAGTTTAGATTATCTCTTCGGAGTCCAAGATGAAGGCACGAACATAGTCGAGGCACTCAAGAATTTGACCTTTGGAGATATAATGGATGCTACAGCAATTCCAAAGAGGTGGACTTCTTGTGTCAGTTACAGAAACTTATGAGTAACTCGAGGAGTCGTTTTCAGACCTGAAATAACAACGTGAACATGGAGGGCAGGATGAGTCAATCTTACTGGTTCAAGAAAGAAGTCAAAATAAGCCTTGGTGATGACTTTGATTGTATAAGATAACTGCATTTTTGCTAACAGATTTAGGCTTTACTTATGAATAAGTAAGATCTACAATAACCTATTCTTGATCCAATGCGTATATTAAGTAGGGAATGCTTCTCAACCTTTTTATGACGAGATATACGAGGCCTGAGAGATATCGGAACCTGACGCATAGATACTTCAGGTATGAAGATATCGAAGACCAAGAAAAGCTTCTATCGGTGATGGAGGAGGGACTGGAGGAGTACAATGCTCAAACTAGGAATACTATGTCTCTTGTCCTTTTTAGTTATGCAGCCCAACACGTTCTCCGTATAAGTCGTATAATCAGACAGCCTTATGGCAATGCTTTGCTGGTGGGCGTGGGAGGAGGCGGGAGACAATCCCTTACAAGGCTTGCAACCTTCATGGCAGGATTTGGCATTTTCCAGATCGAAATTACGAAACTATATGGCATCATGGAATGGAGAGAAGACCTCAAGGTGATTGCCATTCCAGGTTAGATTGCCTGTGGTACGTAGATAGACTGCATGATTGTGAATGTACCTGTACTGAAGATGCAAGTTCTTCCTACTGAGATAATCTGAACTGTGAGAAGACGCAATCAAAATCATCACATAACAGACAGAACTTGAACTGAAGGAGTTTTTCATTCTGGAACGTGAGATATGGATCTGAAAATGAGATGATTCTTTTTTGCTTGATCCTATCTATCAAGCTCGGTTCAAGTATTGACATAATCTTTCTCTCTGTTTACATAAACTCCTTGTCGAGTTTTCTTCTTTTAGTCTTTGATGCTTAATCTATGTTGCTTTCATAATGTTAGTATAAAGCCATCTTCGATGGGATGCTAACTTTCTAGGTCCTGGAGTGACCAAAGTATATACAGTAGAAGGTGACAGTACAGCGAGAATAACTAAGTCGAAATCTAACAGGAGACCACAGCTCATTACAAATCAGATCCTTCATACCTCTGTGAAGTAAAAACTTTGTGTCCCATCTTACTTGGGGATGACTGTTCTTGGTGCATGACTCAAATCAGCTGATCTCTGCAGACAGTATTGAAGCGAGCTGGAGGACAGAATGTGTCCACAGTTTTCTTGGTCAATGATACTCAACTGAAATTGGAGCAATTTCTTGAAGACATCAATAACATTCTGAACACAGGAGAGGTAATATTCATCCCCTAGACTTTGATATTGTACATATTTTTCTCATACACAAAATTTTCGAAATCCGAACTACTTTTGCTAAATTTGAAGCCTGATCTTCAACATCTAGCTAGGAGATACATAATTGGAAGTTTGGCTGATGTATAAAACTGAGGAGATATCAAATTTTACTGTTTATGTGCTGCAGGTTCCCAACCTTTATCCAAAAGACGAAATGATGACCATATTAGAGATACTAAAACCACGTGCAAAGAGGGCTGGCAGAGATAGCTCCATGCAAGAGTTGTACCTGTACTTCGTTGACCAGTGCCGCATTAATCTGCACTTAGTTATCTGCATGAGCCCTTTTGGAGGTGCATTTCGGACCAGGTTGCGGATGTTTCCATCCCTTGTGAATTGCTGTACAATTGATTGGTTCAGTGAGTGGCCTGAGGAGGCCCTTCGGTCTGTGGCTTCCAAATTTGTTTCGGAGGTGAGATTCAGGAGCTCTCTTCAGCTTTAGATTGACGAACTCTCAAAAGATCAAAGTAAAACTCTGATATAAACATGATTTTCTCTCATACTAGTGGAGAAACGAAGCTGATTTCTGTTGTTTATTTTGTGCGCTAAAGGTTTTGGTAGTTAAACATAAATGCTAATATCCCTTCTTTTAACAGTCCCTTCTTTCTGTATTCCAGATAGACATTGATGAAAGTCTTCACCAACATGTCAGAGATATGTGCATGATGTTTCATCAGCAATCAGCTGACTTGTCAAAATTGTATCTTCAAGAGCAGCAACGTCATTTCTATATCACGCCTACCTCGTATCTTCAACTCTTATCAACTTATAATCATCTCTTGACAGAGAGAAGATCGGAGGTTAACACTCTCAGAAATCGATACAAGGTATTTGGAGATAGAGCAGTCGACCTTGTTGGTCGTTGCTGGATGAATCGCTTTGGTTTATGCTTTGATCTCATTCCCAACTTTGATATTATCACTGCCACCATGTGTCAAGGATAAGAAGTGGCAGAAGGTAATCCACATCTGGAATCTATCTTCGGTGTGTTGTGATAATATTTATGATCGTAATTTGCGCTCTTCTAATTTATCATTTACTTCAACCCGGTCTTCAAGTCATGGGTCCTCTCTGCATTCAAATGCTTAGTTGCTCATCATCTTCTTGATATTCATATATTTAGAGTATTGAATTAAAAGCTTGCTGATAGAAAGGCATGACCTGAATGTAATCTAAACAGAAATGGTGACCATATTACAAAGTGTCTCAGATCCTCCTGCCCAACTGCTAGGGAGGCTTATGAGAATGGCATGGAACAGATTTTGGTACAATTACTTGGCACCAAGTGCGTCGTTTAAGTCGACGGTTTAGTTAACTCCATGACTAACCAGCTTACATTAGCAAACCTTGTAAAGCTCGCTTAACTTTGCACAACACATTGTACTGGTTTTCTGTTGTTCTTGCTTTCTTAATTTCTCCTCTGACTGCGAGGTATATTGTTCTGTCTACTGTACGTTTTCTCTGTGTATCATATTGCATCATCGAATTTTCATTTTTCATATCTCCACCGGGGTTTCACCTTGCTGTAAACTAGGCTTTCTTCCGTCAAATGCCACTACGGAAGAAAAGTTTGTTACATACACATGTTGCCCTCAATTTACTTTAGAGTGAAAAGTTCCCGCTGTTCAATATAGTCATTAAAATTCAAAACATGGTCTACTCTGATATATTTTCTGATCGTTATGTTGATATAAATTTGATCTTAATCTCTACCGTGGTATTTGTATCGTATCTCACCGGAGCTTATCTTTTATGCACCGACCTTGAAACAAGTTACAAAAGCAGGGGGTTTTAAACAGCCTCGTACCTTTTTATGACAGTACCTTGAAATATTTTATGGATTATAGGGGCGAAACATTACGGTTTTATAGAAACTACCCCTAATTTGAGTTGCAAGTGACATTTCCATGAAATCCTCACCTCCTCATTCTGGAAAAGTTCTTGGTTTGCCACTAGTTTAATAAAATTCCACCCTTTTTACTTTGTCATCGTATCAGCCCGTAATACGATTGTGATAGGGTGTGATGTAGAATATGGACGTGGAATTTTTATGGTTTGACGGAATGTCCGTCATTTTTTTCACAACAGTGTCTTCAAACACCATTACTTAGTCATAATTGAGAGTACCTCACCAGCCGTAGTTCATCAAAAGATCGACTCGGTTCATTCCAGCACCATCGTTAGTCGACCAGTGTGCATGGGCACTCACTAGCCGTTGGTAATTTAGCTTGAAAATAAACGTGAGGATGTGATCCACTTTGGATTACTTCTGGATGATATCTTTACCATAGTTCCTGTGGACTCCCTTGCCCTAGCTTGCCTACACTCAATCTACCCCCAAGTGGATTCTAAACCATTCTTTTGAGCTTAAGGTTTAGGGTTTAGGAATATAGCACTCCCCAACTGGATTGAGATGAGCATTGGGCTATAATCGTCACGACATCTCAGTAATCCAGCAACTCACAGGTATCTGAAGGATCTATAACAAGACGAACAGTTTGACATCATTGCTTTTTACGAACTAAAATACTATATTTACAAGTTTCAGCCTTAGCTTTAGCTTGGATACATAAACCCGAATGCTAAATCTATGGTAGCTGGCGACTCCGTATCTACAAATGTATTCCTAAATTAATTTAGGAAGAACACAAATCCAATTTATATCTTGCTGAGTTTCTCCTATGCTCTGGATCTTAGATTAGCTGACAATACTTTGTATATGCAGATGGGAATGAGCCAACTCATGGAAGCAGAAGGGCAAGTCAAGATTATGCAACATGAATTGGAAGCCTTGCAGCCTTCACTCTTAAAAACAGCAAAAGAAACAATCGAACTTTTGAAGGTGGTGGAACTGGACAGAGAAGAAGCTAAAAAAACACGCTCCCTTGTTGAATCTGAAGAAGCGGTTGCTAAGGTCAAAGCAGAGGAGGCAAATCTTATCAAGGAAGAGTGTGAAGCTGATCTCGCTGTTGTAAGATTTCGGAACCCATTCGGGGAGTTTTTCCTTTTGTCCTCGATTCAGTTTCCTGTATGTATTAAGGTCAATATCGTGGAGTGTATGTTAATTGACCTACTTTCAAAACAGCCTAATATCACTGCTATAAGAAATAGATAGAAACTGTACTACTTCAACAAGTTCCTAGTTTCACTGCAGAACCAAAGCCGCCCAATTTTCTTTTCTTTTGAGAACATCTGAAGTTTCTTACAATATTTAAATGCGAGCGGAGAGGACTATCAACAATAGTTAAATACGAGTAACTGTAATAATATGTGAACCGACTGATGCTTGTTTACGTCGATCGACTTTCATTTGTTCTATGCACACGTTTGCTTGTTGGTTTGGGTCCTATATTTTATTGCCGTTTGCTTCCCTAAAAGTATCAGCTTATTCATGCATATTTCTCAACCACAGGCTTTGCCGGCCTTGAATGCGGCTCTTGCTGCGTTGGATACGCTAACAAAAGCCGATATAACAGAAGTGAAAGCTATGAAAAATCCTCCTAAACCAGTGAAACTCGTGATGGAGGCAGTATGCATCATGAAAGAGGTGAGTTGACATAAAACCAACAGCAGACTATCGTCAAAGTCGTTGATCCAAGTTAGTGAGAGAAAGACACCTTAGTGAAACTCAAGGTTTCGCATGATTCGATGTCATCTAAGTCTTAGTCTACGGCATTGAGCATCTAATTGCAGTATATCAATAAACTATATGTGGCAATGTTTAGCTCGCAAAGACCCCACATGCCATATAGTATTGGGTGGGACAGGCTTAACATTGGCAATGTTGCAGATCAAGCCAAAGAGGATTCCAGATCCTAAGAAGCCAGGAGATAAGATCAATGACTACTGGGGACCAGCGCAAAATATGTTAACTGACACAGCGTTTCTACCTAGCCTGAAATCCTTTGATAAAGATCACATTCCAGAGCAGGTCATTAAAGTAATACAGCCATATCTTAAGCTTGATGAATTCGATCCACAAGTTGTCAAGAAAGCCTCCAAGGCAGCTTATGGTCTTTGCTGCTGGGTACGCGCCATGGACCAGTACGATAAAGTGATAAAGGTGTGTCCTGCATTGTCCTCGTATCATATCATCAAACAGTTCTTTACATACTATCTCCCTTCTGCTTCTCTGTTACAATGTTTATAAGACGATTTTCAGTTGTTGACAAATTATATTTTTGTTGATACAAATTGTCAGAACTCTCCAGAAGAATATTTGTCTTGCTCAGCTCCAGTGGATGTTACAGAATTTGTGCTTAAATACCCAGAAAATACACAGAGTTTCTATATTTTGTTTGATGTCTTGATTTTTTCACTGGATCCACTAAGTTGTCCTAGTCATCCTCTCTGATAACTACTTCGGCACTTGCATGTTGAAACTTTTTTCCAGGTCGTGGCTCCCAAGCAAGCAAAGCTAGAGGCAGCTAGTGCCGAATTCCAGACGCTTCAAGTTGCTCTCGCTAAGAAAAAGGAACTTCTCCAGAGTGTGGAACAAAAGGTGCAAAAGCTGGAAGAAAATCTCCAGCTGGTGGACAAGAAAAAAGCCCGACTTGAGGCAGAAGTACTGTATTGTCAACAGGTATCGAATTATGATCCTGTTGAAGTGCCGTGCTTAAGGCACATGAATATTGGCGAATTTTTGAAGAAGCAGAACTAGACACTAAGTGGGGGACATCAGATTGCTTTATCATGTTTTGCAATCTCTTTTGTAGGCTCTTGAAGATGAATTTTTGAAGAAACATACTTCTTGTTATTTATGATGATCTTTTTAAACAAGCTCAATCTTACAGACAAATGTCAATTTTTATTAAGAGACCACCACAGAGAGAAGCTATCGTGGAGAAGCAAAGCTGATCTCTGCTAATACGTACTTTACATCAAAGCGAAATCTTAAATAAATAACCTGTATATAGTTATAATTATCGGGTTTTTCATCTATTTGCGTCACTAGCATACACAATCTCTTACAACTTTCGTGTGGAAAGAACTACCGAGTTTGTCGGTCGTATCCTAGTGTTGGAGATACTCCGAAGATATATTTAGATGCGGTCAACGAAGTAGCCCGTCCTAACGGAAGCCGACATAAGGATACGGCCAGACTGGCCTCTTCCTCGTGTATAAACTTGTGGGCCTCAAGGATATAATTTTTTTGCTCGACTCCAACCTGCAGAAACTTGCTCGAGCGGAGAAGCTGATTGGAGGATTAGCAGGTGAGAAAGTGCGTTGGACGGATGTGATCGAGGAGTTGAGTGTAGTCTACCACAATTTAACTGGCGATACTCTCCTGGCGTCTGGTTACATTGCATACCTCGGCCCTGTCACTTTGAATTACCGAGAAAAGTTACTGAAAGGATGGTCAACAGTGTGCAAGGAATATTTTATACCCTGCTCTGAGGAATTTGTACTTTCCAAAATTCTTGGAAATCCAGTAACGATACGTGACTGGGTTATTGCTGGACTACCCAACGATGGCTTCTCTATTGACAATGCAATAGTAATGAACTTGGCGAGAAGGTGGCCGTTGTTAATTGATCCTCAAGGCCAAGCAAACAAGTTCATTAAGGTACTCCAGCTCAGAAACGCAGCTAATCCTCTGAAGCTAGCCCACTTGGAGAATTGTCCTTTTGTCAGTTCAGAAAAATATGGCTAATGACATCGGAAACAATGTGTTGACGTGTGACAACACTGTGACAACATGACTCGTGTGTTGTTGTTGTTGCTGGCTATGAGCTCTACCTATTTCAATAGTAGAGATTAGTAGAGGCGTATGTTCCACGGATCTTCTTTTAGTGCATGAAAATATGTGGGGCAGTTAAATTAATACAACTACTTTTAGAAGCTATACCACCTTTCTCCCGTTGCAAAAAAGGGACAGACCAGAAAGGAAAGAAAGATAACCGAACTTCTGGCAATTTTCATCCACAAGTGAGTAAGTAATGTTTTTCCTATTTGTGATAACCGCTGCAGAATAAGGAGAAGGAGAATAATCTACAGGTTATGAAACTTAGTGACCTGGATTTTGCAAGAAAGCTAGAAATGTGCATTTCGTTCGGGTTCCCTCTTCTCATTGAGAACATTGGGGAGGAACTGGATCCAACTCTTGAACCCTTACTGGTAAGGGCTGTCTTCAAGAGTGGTGGTCAGCTTCAAATTAGACTCGGTGACAATACAATCATTTACAACGAGAAGTTCAGACTTTACATCACTACAAAGTTGCGCAACCCTCACTATGCACCAGAGGTAAGCATCTCACGCATAGAGCAAACTTTGGCATTGTGGGGAAACTGATATGTACCAACCAGGAATATTAGCATCTATTCACTACAAAGGAGTCTAAGTCCAACTCTGGTTTTAGAAGGAGCGCATAGGGTCTAGATCCGACGTCCCTCCTCAGTATCCTGCTCAGTGTGAGCTAACGTAATTCAAATCCTGATGTCCACGACAGATTGCGGTGAAGGTCACATTGCTGAACTTCGCGATCACGCCGGAGGGTCTAGAAGATCAACTTTTGGGGGAAGCAGTGAAAAACGAGCGGCCAGATTTGGAAGAGCAGAAGACTCACCTTGTGGTGCAGGGTGCGGAAAATCAGAAACAACTAAAAAATATTGAGGACCGTATCATTGAGGTGCCTCTTTTTGCCTCATCTCTCGTTACATATGCCCCAAGATGACAGATCACCTGATCTGGGTGACGATATCATAGTCTGCGAATTAGCCCGCGCAATAATGACTTTTTACTGCTGCTGAGAGTACATGATTTCGGTTTGGAAGTTCAGTCCATTAACTCTCTCCGGTCGAGTCGTGTACAACATTGGACTCATATATGAGCCTACCTTTCCAGCTGAATGCTAGAGAACAAAAACATGTGCAGGTTCTTACAGACCAAGAAAGCAATATCTTAGAAAGCGAGAAGGCGATCGAAATCGTTTCGTCATCGAAAATTTTATCAACAGAAATAGCAGAGAAACAGAGAAGTGCAGTAAAAACCGAAGCTAAAATAGATGAAGCCCGTAAGGGCTACATTCCTGTTGCACGGCATGTCGGAGCGTTGTTTTTCACCATCTCCAGTTTGGCCTTTATTGATCCTATGTACCAGTATTCTTTGACATGGTAAGGTTCCGACCCAGATAGTCCAGCTCACTGCAAGAATGCCATTCATTCAACAACTCACTCTCAGTCCAATGTCGACTCATTAACGAAGAGTTTCAGAGAAATAGGCAACAAGGCTGCTTGTCCAAGAACTTATGGTTTTCCCCATGAAGTTGAACTGACCAAGGTTTCACTCCCTATATCGAAGTAAATTTCTAGCGAGCTTTGTGATGTACAGGTACCTGCAGCTCTTTGTGGTGGCAATGAGTGAATCTCCGAAATCCACCCAGTTGGAAGCGCGCATTGAGAGCTTGAACGACTACTTTACTTTCTTGCTATACTCTAACGTATGCCGGAGCCTTTTTGAGAAAGACAAGATGCTTCTCTCGTTTCTTATTGGGACGACTCTAGCACTGATGCAAGGGAAGATGACTGCAGAAGAACTGAGATTTTTGTCGGCTGGTCCTTTGACAGTGGACAAGAATATACCAAAAAATCCCGTACCTTGGTTTGCGAGCAAACAATGGGCAGAAATGGTTGAGGCCTCGAAAATGGAATCGTTTCAGGTGAATAGATAAGTTACTTGTATAGCTCAGTTGGAAGAGCGTTAATCTGAATATTTGAGAGTCCAGTGTTCTGTCCACGCTCTCAGCATGTCTCCTGTTTTTACTCCTTTCACACTTTTCCAACTGTTCCTAGTTAAGGCGAGCTTTAATGGAATTGGATTGATTGTTGCATCAGGGTCTGAGTGCTGATTTCATTTCAAACCCCCAAAAGTGGAAGCACATATACGACAGCCAGCAACCGTACGAGGAAGATCTTCCAGACGAATGGGGCACAAAACTCACTCCTTTTCAAAGACTTATTATAATCCGGTTGATCAGGCCAGATAAAATCGTGATGAGTACGAGCAGCTTCATACTGGAAACCATGGGTCAACGTTATGGAGAACCTCCGGGCTTTGACCTTGCTAAGGCCTATCACGACTCGAACGCACTATCTCCCCTCATCTTTCTGCTTTCCCCTGGATCAGATCCAATGGCAGCTCTCTTGAACTTTTCAGAGGAATTCGGTAGAACGGTAATAAAAATATTTGTCTCAATGATTGACATTGTTTATTGCGAAAGTTTCCTGCTGATTGTGCATTGCCTACAGACCTGAACTTGCTCCAAAGGTCGCTCCGGGGTCATTGGCTTTATCTTTTCTAGGCAGTAAAGGCTCGACTTGAATGTATACTTGGTGTGGATGTCTCGAAATGCGATGCAAAAAAACTATGCCAGATTGCCGTAGCCTTCTTTCATTTTCATTAAGTAGATTCCAGCCCACGTCTCTATTGGGTTCCCTCGGAGCTTCGGCAGGCACTAAAGTTCAAAAGATCTATGGAGTTGTTATGTTCGTGCACTCTTTTTACGGGAGCCTAGCAAATATCGGAACGTAACTGCGGAGCCGCGATTTATTCATATATATCATCCTCTTTCACATGAACAGTCTGGATCTGACAGGAGCTTTGGACACCCCTCATATCTTCTTATTGTTCAAAAAACTAAATAGATTTAAACACTAACCCAAATTGACTGAATTCGGAGTTGTGCGGTACGCTGATATTTCATTATGTCTTTCCCAGTGAAAAGACAGCTGTTCTGACTTGGTGATCTTCTAGAGTAAGAAACCTCAGTAGTATATCAAGAGCTAATTGATCATTGCAGAGTGGGGGATATGCTATCAGTCGATTTTTCAGTGAAACTGAATCCTGCATTCAGGGTCTTCTATCTCCCATCCATTGCTCTTGACAATCCGATTGTTCAGAGGTCAGGAATGCATACATGATTTGTGAGGAATCTGATCCTTCTTGTGCCTTGCTTACAGGTAAACACAATCTCTCTTGGTCAAGGACAAGGACCAAAAGCGGCAGCTCTCATCGCTGCAGCAGTTCACAGGGGCGACTGGGTCGTTCTGCAAAACTGCCATTTATCAGCGTCATGGATGCCTCATCTCGAGAGAATATGTGAGGAAATTACTCGGGAAACCACGAATGCTGCCTTCCGACTTTGGCTTACAAGCTATCCTTCAGATCAATTTCCCGTATCTCTTTTGCAGAATGGCGTTAAGATGACCAACGAAGCTCCCAAAGGGCTCCGAGCCAACATGCTGCAGGTAATGAAGAGACCTTCCAACCATACTGGAGATTGCTTGCTGATGTACCGTAACACTTATATTCCAAGTACAAGACATCACCTAGAAGCGGTGATATCGAACAGTGAAACAGTGAATCGACGACAGTGAACAGCTGCTCCTACATTCATGTCATTTTGCTCGTGTTTTTTTTGCATCCAGAGCTACCAAAGCTACCCACTGAACGACCCGAAATTCTTCAACATGGCGGGTGACAAGGGACCTGTTTGGCGAAAGATGTTATTTGGCTTATGTTTCTTCCACGCCGCAGTTCAAGAACGAGTCAAATTTGGTCCTCTTGGATGGAACATTCCTTATCAGTTCAGTGATCCGGATCTCAAAATCAGCATGCGACAACTGCAATCCTTTCTCATTGAGTTTCCAGAAAGCGTGCCCTTTAAGGTAAATGTTGGCGCCTCGTTGATGATACACACTGACACTCTTCCTCGCCCGGTAGAATACCTATTTTGTCAACATTTGATCCTAGAATTCCATCTCTCGTATGACGTTTACATATCTGCGTCTCAGACAAAGCCATGAAACTTACCGTATGGATGAAGGCTTGCGAGGGCCTTTCCGTAGGTGGATTAGAGTTGACTTACTGTTGCCATAGCCGGAACTTTGCAGGCTCTTTTGTACTTAACTGGTGAATGTAACTATGGTGGTCGAGTGACCGATGCACACGACCGAAGAACACTGAACAGCATACTCTCTATCATCTACACACCTCGAATTTTGAATGAAGACTACTGGTTGTCTCCCTCGGGAACATATTTTGCACCATCAGATGGGGAGTATTCTCATTACCTTGAGCATATCAAAGCTTTCCCTCTTATTGCGATGCCCGAGGTCTTCGGACTGCACGAGAATGCAGATATTACCAAGGATCAACAGGAATCAAACATGTTCTGTTCCGCAGTTCTATCTACTCAGGTTCGCAATTTTTCTCCTCGCCTCTAGATCTCTCCAGTGTGGAATAACCTTCACACAAATCTTTCTACAGTCCAAAGTTGTCAGTTTGGAATAACCACCCAAACAATTATTTCTATCGTCTAAGATTGTCAAATTGACGACCATCAAATTTTCTCAAGGAACTGTACCTTATTCTTGTGTGCACCAGAGTGCTACAAAAGCAGGCGCTGGTAAGAGCAGGGATCAGGTGATACTTCAATTGGCAGAGGAAATGTCATCGACTCTACCAGCAGATTTTGATGTTGAGCTGACTCGTTACAAGTACCCAGTATTGTATAAGGAGAGCATGAATTCAGTTCTTGTCCAAGAGATGGTTCGGTTCAACAGACTAACTTCGGTAACTGACACCACGCTTACTCTTGAAATATGCAATGGACAATTACTTCTTTGATGCTGGCAATAGCGAGAGAGACAAGACTAGAAGTTTCGAGATCCAAGCTTTTTTTGTGATTCGTGGGGAGCAGTAGAGTGTACCCCAGAGTGTAGTCTCCGTTATTTTAACAAACTGACGAATTTCTAAAGTTTTCAGATAGTTAAACACCCCAGTCCAGAATGGCTGTACTCCATTGTAACTCACCGTGTGGTGACCTTCGAACTTTCGTACTGGCAAGACATACCTTCCTCCGGGATCAGACCCAAAAACATTCACACAAAGACCACTAGAACAGATAACAATTGAAATAGCCACTGATACTGGCTGTCAAGACTAGCAGAATGAAATGCTATTTTTTCTTAATTGATAGCGGTCCTATGAGCACTGTAAACGGCAAGAAATGCAGTTTAGGGAAGCAAGACAGATTCTGGTCGCAATCCCAGTTTAAAACTGAACAATAGTTGGAGCCGGTGGCCTGTAGGCCAAGGTTCCACTGAACTGGATCAGTTGTCTCCCAACTCAGTATTTAATTCAACAAACGATCGAACAAACAAAACTGTTCTAATTTGCAGGTGATTCGTTCGAGCCTAATCACCCTGCAAAAGGCGTTAAAAGGTTTGGTGGTCATGTCAGCGGACATAGAAGCACTGGCTCACAGCATTTACATTGGGAAAATGCCAGCCATGTGGGCAGCAGTGTCCTATCCAACGACCAAGCCTCTGAAGAGTTACCACAAAGAACTTTTGCAAAGGCTACAGATGCTCACGGATTGGATGGACAATGGAGCGCCCACTCGATTCTGGCTCAGTGGGTTTTTCTTCACTCATGCTTTCTTGACCGGAGTGCTTCAAAACTTTGCCCGCAAGTACACTATCCCAATCGACACAGTAAGCTTTGAGTTCAGATGCCTACCCGCAGAGGGAAAATACGACACAAAACCAGAAGATGGAGTTTATGTCGAAGGGATGTTCATTGAAGGTGCACGATGGGACAAAGACAATATGCAGCTGGCTGAAAGTTTGCCAAAAGTTCTCTACTCGCCTGCCCCCATGCTCTGGTTGATGCCTGTAGAGCAGGGCAAGAAGAAGGACAAAAAATGCTACCACTGCCCTCTCTACAGGACAACCGAGAGACGAGGCGTTTTGGCCACAACCGGCCACTCCTCCAATTTTGTCTTCAACGTCGACTTGCCCACAGATACCGACCCTGAGCACTGGGTACGGCGAGGAGTGGCCATGCTGCTCTCGCTAGGCGACTAGAGAGCAACTTCATGGACGAGATGCACCCACCATGATGCATTCATGTCCAGGAATTAACGTTCGACAAGTCCCAAGGAGAGATTTCAGGTCTTCTAGCATAGCAAGACACCAATCGAGATTTAGTTTCGTTGAGGCAATTGCTTACAGAAGCCACTTGAGTCGCCAATATGAGCGCACATGTAACGATGATCTTCAGGAAATTTTGATTTTGACTGATATTTTCTCATGCAATAGAATACATTGACTAAAGGATTGAGTCTACGAATCTACAGTTTCGAGCAAGAAGAACACGGGATCTGGCCTCGTCCGTTACAAGCTCCACAAGCCGGAGCAGCCTCGGATTTGGCCCATGGAGAAGAAAAGGCCACCCGCTCTTGACCTCTCCCTCGGCATTTCTTGCACGGCAGCCTCTGCACTCCACCGCACTCTTCGCAAAGTCTCAGCGATCTGCAATCACGGTGCACCTCTCTCCAGCTGAGCTTGCCACTCACTCATGGCCCCTAGGACCGGCCAACACTCCCTAAGCTGACGTGAGCCTAAATGCAACTAAAGCAAAGCTTGGCAAAGACGAGAACCAAAACTGGCAGGCATGAGCTCGACAACGTCCAACCGACACACAGACCTGCGTTGAGCTCGAGCTATGAATGCGTCAATCCTAGGAGCAGCGATGGAGGCCGCCAGCAGAAGAGCCCCGACTCCGAACCCGGCAATCTCGCTCTCGGTAATGCTCATTTCCACTCGTACAGGTGGACACAACACAACACTCCACTCCACTGCACTGCACTGCACTGCACTGCACTACACTACACGCACGAATCTCCGGACTATGAATTCCAGATTCTCCGAAACGACCAAACGATGGAAACGTCCATGGCACAAAATTCAATTCGTCCCAGAATGCCGGCGGACGTCCACTACTGATGAATCCTTCTGGCAAGGCTGCACGCTGCTGCCAGCCGAATCACGTCGCGCGGACGAGTTCGTGAATTGCCTTCGTGAATTCTTCGGCTGAAAGTACTCGAGCATCGACGAGCTGCACGAAGTTGGATTCTCGGTGCTGATTTTCGGTGCCGGGACTTCCTTGGATGAGACGGCGGGCCCACCATCACCGTCGCCGTCGCCGTCGAAGCGTCCGGAACGAAGTTGTGTGCGTCAGTAATACTGTGCGACTTGTGATCAAGGCAGCCAAAAGGGTCAGTCCACGATCCACGTCCTTTATCCCTCGACCACGACGATGTAGTCTCCACGTGTCGGAAGGCCCTCGTGGATGTCCCTGTGACTGCGTAGCAGGAGTTGCACCGAGCACGACAGACGGAGCCGCCATTCTGGCGTGGAGTATACGCTCAGAAACCAACCATGTATCTGTCTTCCGAGCCACCAGACGAGGAATGGCCCGGCGATCATTGCAACACCCTTAATCAGAGATCCGATGTTCATATTCCGTTCACCAATCGCCAACAGAGAACTATAAGCCTCTCGGCTATTCCACATAATCCCGGTTGGAGAAGAATTCTGATGGTGATTGTCCGAACTGGGTGTGGAATTGCTCGCACTCAATCTCATGGCCAACCGTAGACCGATGAGAACTGCGATCGTTAGCTCTTAGCGTGCTGCTTGATAATATGATATACTCTACTATACGTCATTATCGATTGGTCGAACATCCTATAGTTATTACTGCATGGTACAATAAGAAAATTGTATACAGTAGAGTTATTATCGATTGGTTATATAATAAGAAAATTGTATATAATAGAGTGAAGATTAATTAACCCTAATTGAATGATAACTAACCGCTCCCTAAAATTATGGGAAATGGTAGCCGCTACCATTTACCTAAAAAGAGCTACGCGCTTGGAAATCATATTATATAGGAGGGAGCCAAACGCAAGGCCAAGAAACAAGGTGATAGAGTGAGTCTCTGGTGTGATAGATTACTATGTCTTCAGCCGCCTCTCATTTGTCCTACACGCAGAGTCGATGGTGGTGACAAGACGAGATTAGAACAAACTACTGCTACCACCACAAAATTCTTCACACGTCACAATATTATTACGTGTATAGTACGGGTAGACCGACTGGAAAATTCTGAATCTTGGAGCTTTTTCCTCTCGGAAAGTGGCGGCACCTGAGAACAAGAATTTCACACGGTGCAGAAAAGATTCATACCAGGATTACGAGCAGAACAGTATAGTGCAGTACAGTACATGTACTGTTTTTGGTATAATGGGAGGAAGAGTACTGTAGAAGGAAGTACAGTACAGAGAGATGAAGAAGGGAGGTTCTCAGGTTCGCCAACTGCACGCGAAGCTCCCCAGTCTGCAAGGTGGAGGACGCCGAGAAGCGTATGTGCCGAAGACGAGTGCTATACGGTATATCCCGGCGTCCTGAGCCCTCTACAGTCGTCTGCACGGTACTCCGACCGGTGATCGAGGTCTTCCCGGCGGTTCCCGGCATCTGCGGTACTGGGCAGGACCGACCGACCGACAGGAAGGATGGAAGGAAGAGGAAGGTCGACACGCAGATGGAATGCGGAGAGGATTGCCAGTGTGCTCTAGATCCACCCCCAAAAGTGGCGACGATCCTGGTCACGCGACGCTGGAGCTCCGGAGGGGAGACCGCGTCGTCAGGGGAGCTCCCAAGAGACTCAACTTAGAGGCCCCGCTATCTTGGAACGGAAGTGCGACACCGACCGACCGGCAGGGGCAGGAGCTAAAGCGTCTCGAAGCGGGCACAAGCTCTCGAGGGTTCTTCGCATTGTGTGCCCCGATCACTTATTTCTGTCAGCCTGCGATCGAGTCGGACGAGAGTGGGGCCTTCGCACGTCGGCGATTTGGCGCAGGAATTTGCAATTTGCGCTCCGGGAGCGAGAGTGAGAGTGAGAGAGCGAGAGCGAGAGCGAGAGAGCGATATGGGACTGACGGAGCCTTCCGATTCCGAGGCCTTGACGCCCTCCGGGCATGGGCCGGACGAGGCGAGTGAGGTGAGGTCGAGTGCTAGTTCCACGCTGATGTTCGCTCCATGGCAAAGTGCAGTGGACGAGGGCTTCTGGCACCGAATGGCATCTTTCAAGCTCGAAACTCAGCGCCTGGATGAGCATCCAGTTCCCGTTTCTGGTCAGGATTCGGTGCCTCCTTCTCCCATCCTCACTATGTTTTTGAACAGGTTCTTGGTGTTTCTGAACCGTAGGTTCCCTACGTCCAGCCTTTCTGATCCTTCCGATTGCTAGAAGATGCTCCGAGGGGTCGAATGCCCATAGTGATGACTGGATTTGATTTTATCCCGAACTCTGTTGTCAACTATGATGCAATGCCATTCTCTTGCGTGCAAGCCCATCGCCACAGTTTTTGCTCTGGCTCCCGACAGCATCCTAGATTATATCAAATTCACGAATTATTATGAATGAATCCGGCGATTGCGACTTGCAATTTTCGACCCTCTCTCTGTTGGCAACTTAAATTTCAATGTGAAAGATCGGTAGATTTTTGAAGAATTTTTTCCTCTTTCGAGGAAGTACTATGTACCAATTCTGAGCTGCCCATCAATTTTGTCGGGAGAGGCCAAACGTAAGAAATCCTTATATACATGAAGTGTCGGTCTTGGGAACTCTAGGCCCTGTTGCTAATCTTTATGTTTAAGCATAGGGAAGGTGCTGAGTCGAGCCAATGAACAATATCCTAAGTATGAAAGGGAAATTGCTAATTAGCAGCCTGCACAGGCATCCGAAATTTAACTCTCGATAGGTAACGACTGACCACTTGAAAACGATGCATTCCAAATTACCTCTAGGTGACATTTTCTACGCTGGCCTTTTGGAAGATGAAATGTTTATTGGACTAACCGACTGTTTGTGCTTTCTTGTAGGATTCTTTGCCCCATGCAGCCATCCACAAATACCTTCTCACCTCCAGCTTTTGGAAGAATCCTTGCCTCCTGATCCTGGCGGATCGAGCAGTACAAGCCATTCGGCAGTCATAGGCAATAGAAATAAATGTCCTGCACCAGGGACCCTGTACAATACCAATACATTAGAAAGCTTCACGGGAATGGACCGACCATCTTTGCTGAAAAGTGCAGCACTGCAGGTAACGACGCTTATCAGATGCTTTGCTCGAATTGCTGGGTGGTTTATGCTTTTAACCACCTCAAAGATCAAAATAGTGGAGCTTGACATCTTGCTTGTTATCAAATTGAAGACCAGGGTGATCCCTCCTCTGATTACTTTTCTGGTCTACCTGGTAGCAATCATTTATATGTAATTTTAGGCTTGTCCTCAAGTGTAAAAGGTCTAAGCCACATAGTGGAGTCCGAATCTCCTGCGACAAAGGGGTCAACCACTGGCGGTCTTTGTCATGGAGGGGATGTTGTTTGTAAAGCAAATTCTTTGGATTGTGCAGATATGGGAGGACATCCATTCCGGAAAGGCTGAAGAGGACAGCAATGTGTTGAACCGGTTTTTGTTGATATCATTCGCAGATCTAAAGAAGTGGAGTTTTCTCTATTGGTTTGCTTTTCCTGCGATCGTCCTCACACCTTCGGCCACAGTCTCCTCCTGCACACCAGTATCAATGGCTTTTTCCGAGGAGGAGGTATGCTAAATGTATGTGTGTACCATAATTACGCAACCCGTCTGTACTCCATATGGACTGTCACTTAGGAGCTTTACCTTAATCTGACATGGACAAAATATCACATGCCAGTCTACAGGTATCCGAGGAGCTTGCTCAGAGTGGCGGAGCACAGAAACAACTGCAAGTAATCTACTAGTCTTCTTCTTAATTTCCTCATCACATCCTTCTTACCATTTATATTGCTCCACTAACTTTCGATCTTATTGCTCACTGTAAAGCGGCACCCGAGGATACTTCACGGTTGTACTTTGGTTCTATATTATTCCAAGCCTTCCAGCTAACCCGTAGGTCTAGCCATGCTGTGAGGGTCTGTCGTAGATGTCAATTACGCTTTTCCTACATTTTGGTTATTTCGAGTTTATTGCCTTGTTTTGATTACATTGTTTTATGAATTGTCAGGTTCCCCTTTCTTTCTTCTGCACTTCACCTCCGATGGAGCCGTCAATGCAAGACCCATCAGAGATTGGAAAGTTGCTAATGAAGAAGGCGGAAAGGTTGGGTTCTCACCAATAGTTTGTCCGGCCGAATTGCTTTTATGATGCATATAGAAATTAGTTTAAAAGTGAAGGAGTTTTTGGCAAAACTCCTCGAATTCCTGCACAGGATAGAATCATGCTTCCCGCCCTTATGCTGTGCTCGTATCCATGTCTTTCTACTCGTCGACTTATGTCCTTACGCCCGATGACTGATTTAGCCTAGTGCTATGCGTTTTGCAAAGTCCATGATCGTTCTGCTCTGTGAGTTACATCCACTAACACCGTGGTCTCGGCTTGAGAGGTCACAAGCAGAGTGGAGTGCTTCAATGACACTCTTCTGGCTGTAATGTAAATGTTAGAGATTTTGGTCACATATTTCACGTACTAATGTGTTTGTTGCTGTTCGAACTAATGCGTATAGGAGTCACAACTGGACCTGTTCATTCTTTGAATGCTTTCTTCATAAAAAATGGTGTTCCAAGTACCATGTTCAAATACAATCAGGGCAATATCTTAAAGGCTTAAATCCTGTTGACGCCAGGTGATTTCGGCGTACTATGACCCGTACAACCGCACTTATCCAGGATGGCCTCTCCGTAACTTTCTCGCTTTGGCAGTAGTTCGTTGGGAAGTTACAGAACTTCGAGTTTTGTGTTATCGAGAAAAACGTGGTTTCCTTGATCCAGAACTTTCTCTAGTTGTGGATGTTGAGCTTCCTAAAATTCCAGGTGCAGCCCTTGCATATGGCCGATTGTGTGATTACTGATATTTTTCAATGTCGAGCAAGAAAGTGCTGTAGTTTACTACTGTTGATCTGTTCTTGTTTCAACCAGCAAATAATTCATTGCTAGACAGCCATCAAAACTGCTGCGTATTATGAGATAATACTCATCCTAGAAAGAGAGTGCGGAAGAGAACGAAGTTATACAGTCTACGAGAACCTTGTTGAGTTATGACTCTTAGGGGATCTAACGAATGTTTTCCAGAATGGAAAGTTCAAGGCTTCATACCAAAAGGTGTCGGTTGGGAACTCAACAGCCGTGGAAAGGCTCGACCTCGAATTGTTCATCTGGCCGCCTCTATGGACCCGGAGAGGCAAGTCTTGTTTTTAAAACCAATTTTGTGTCCTTATTAGTCTGGATTTGCGTGCTGAGCATCAAATTTCTGAGGTTCAAGTACTACACCTCAGATCTCTGGGTTTACCACGTATCCTTTTCACATCTTCAAAAACATCGCAATCTGATAAGAAGAAATAGAAACTTGTAAGATGTGGGTGATACGCAGCTTTGAAACTCTGTGACGGTTTGTGTACTGCGTTCAGGGCAGCCAATCAAGCTGCAGACTTAAATTTAAAATTGATGAGGTGGCGACTGCTTCCATCTCTAAATATACCTCTTCTGTCCAGTACAAAGTGTCTTCTTTTAGGGGCTGGCACACTCGGTTGTCATGTGGCAAGAAATTTACTGGTAAGGATTAATGACCTTTTTAACGTCACTACGTCAATTGCCACACTTCCGGCTTGATTTAAGCTCAACGTTCAAAATTGGGTCTTATCGACATATATTCCAGCAGCTAACTTGATTTCCTGACGTCATTGATGGCAGCCTTGGGGTATACGACATATTACCTTTGTAGACTACGGTAAAGTAGCAATGTCAAATCCCTGTCGTCAATCTCTCTACAACTTGGAGGACTGTCTTAATGGCGGAAAGCCGAAGGCGGAAGCTGCTGTTGCTAGCTTGAAGCGAATCGGTCCAGTGGTAGGCGACGATACCATCTGCTTCAAATTTTGATGTTCTTGCCTCTTCACCTTCTAAGTAGTATGAAGTGCGAAAACACCTCACGCTTGCTTACTATGAATACACAGTTTACTTAAGTGGAATACAGGGACATTGACACAGTGAGTGTCTACATCATCGCGACAGGCAAAAAAGCTTGTTAGAATGTGCCTCAAATAAAGATCATCAGTTAAAGTGATTTTGCCTAGAATGTGCATTTGTAAGTTCAGGGAGTATTACCTTGATTCGAGTCACTTCAAGGACCTTGATTAGAGTGAACTTAAGACTGATCAAATCTTTTCTATATACAGGAAGCTAGAGGACTGTGCATGTCTATACCCATGCCTGGTCACAGTGTGGGACCTGCGGAGGTGGACTCAGTGCTAGCTGACTGTTCCCGTCTCAAGGAGCTTGTTGATGAGCATGACATAGTTTTCTTGTTGACGGATACCCGTGAGAGCCGCTGGTTGCCTACGCTTCTCTGTGCTGCGGCTAACAAGGTACTGCCACACTGGAAGTCGGGAAGCATGTATAAAAGAACGTTTTGAAAAGGGGAGACACCATGATAAGCGTAAAACAAGTCTCTTGATTGTTAAGGAGGTGCGATGAAGACTTTTCATCAATTTTTAGACTTTCTCATCAATCATTTAAAGAGGTCTATCTCGTCATCTTCTTGAACGGTGAAAATTTCGCAGGTAGCGATAAATGCAGCCCTAGGATTTGACTCATTCCTTGTTATGCGGCACGGGGCTGGTCCTGCCTTTCTAGAACCAGAAATTTCGAATTCAACTGAGGACGAAATTTCCGCGCCAACTTACGATGGTCGCTTGGGCTGCTACTTCTGCAACGATATTGTGGCTCCATTGGATGTGAGTTTTGTTAAGCACCTGGATTGCAAATGACTCTTCAAAATCTACAAGAGCTGCTGTCAGCCGTAGAGGATAGAATCTATACATCTCGTGCGTCCTCTACTCAAAATAACCAGCGGATATGCTTTTGAAATAGGGTGACTTACCACCGAGTGGATTTATATTCGTAGCAGAGGAACTTTTTTGTTTTCGAGCTAGCAACAGTTGACACATTTCGTGTGAGACGTTAGATTACCGCTTATTTCTGTGTGTTCATACTTGTTTGGACTGAACAATATCGAACTCTTGTTGTCCAGTCTACAGCAAATCGGACTTTAGACCAGCAGTGCACAGTCACACGACCTGGTCTGGCTCCCCTTGGAGCTGCCCTGGCCGTTGAGATGGCAGTGAGCCTGCTTCACCATCCTCGAAGGTAAAATTTTATTCGTTTCTCATTGTCTTTACTTTCCTAAGTTTAAAGCATCACATGGATTCTAAGATGGGGCATGTTACAGGATATTTGCTCCAGCAGCTCAAGCAGTGGCAATAACAGATGCAACTGTTGAAGCCCTCGGAATCTTGCCTCATCAAGTCAGGGGCTTTCTGGCACATTATACCCAACTGGTTGTTACGGGAGCAGCTTTTGACAAGTGCACGGCCTGCTCGTCAATTGTAAGCTATCTTTCTGAATTACCTCCTGCAAGTTGGCAACCTCCAGTGTGAAGTTTTCCTCCTTTTTTATCAAATGGATACTCATAAAGCTTGTATCGATTGCAGGTGGTCGATGAGTTTAAGAAAAGGGGTATGGAATTTGTTCTCGAGGTGCTAAATCGTCCAAATTATTTGGAAGATTTGACGGGCCTGACAGAGATGTTGGCTGCAACTCAGGGCTTGACCCTCGATTGGGACGATGAGGATGATGAGATGTAGAAAGTCTAGAGGAATGCACAGTTTGAAGATTCTATTGTAGAAAGGAAATCTCGGAGAAAATGCAGGGAGTTGTACAGATTTTTGCAGAGGGTTGTTCATACCTTTGCCTGTTAAGTTTACTGATGATCAGTTGGATTGTAGGTCAAATCATTGCTCCCCTCATATTGTCAAAGGCAGAAAAGATTGAGGCCTTGAGATGTATTCTACATGCAGCTTGTACCTATAAGAGTCTGAAATGTATTCTCAAACCCCTCTTAGCTCAGAGTTGGTGACCGTGCAGATCAATTGAAGTTTGTCTATAGCTTGAACAAACTTGCACAAACTTCAATCCAACCTTTGTCCTGCACTTTCAACGGTTGTCAGTTGTAAGTATCTGAAGACGCAAAACATTCACCAACGCTAGCATCTGTGTGCGACACTATGGAGCTTGTTAATCTGCTCACCCGTAACAAGATCTATTATGAACATAGTGTCTGCTGCAAGCGCAGTTGTGAGATCAATGGAGGGTCATTATGGTGGTTCATCCATTCATTCATTCATTAGAGTATGTTTTTATCGTGTGTGCACGGTGACGTGTTTTTCTCAATATACACTTGGTTTTCTAAATCATTTTCCTTGACATGTAAAGCATTCCTCATCACGTCTCGTTACTGACCTTTCCATCCTTCTAGCACAACCTTGTGGTCCCCATAGTGTTGTTAAAAGATTAGGGGTGATCAGCACCGAGGATACTGCTATTACAAGAAAGCTCACAATTATTCCTTTAAAACGGTTGAGTTGAGGTGACGACGACTTTATCAATAGAGATGAGTAGCAATTGACATCTTCATACGATGGCAACCATTTATATCAGGATCTAGACACATGTGATTAAAAATGACTTCTGCAAAACACTTCGAGAATATATTTTGGATGACACCAACCACACATTTTTCATTGGTTTGATATCCAGTGTTGTAGATGTATTATTGATTAATACCCCTCTTATATACGTAGTCAGATCTTGAGAACCATGAAGTACTAGTGTGGTTTGTGAAATATTCTAGTTTTTTACTTAACACTTGTCTAATATAATAATCTTCTCCATCACTCATAATGTCCATATTGTATGTCCATTTGGGAACACATTGTTCGTAGGCCACGTTAAGACATTGATTGAGACTACAAAATTTCCAACTTTGTCGTATGAGTCGCCCTGATCCCACCAAAAGTGTCGCAGTAAAAAATGGTTTAAATGTTCAATTGTGATTATTGTAAAAACTGCTCGTACAAATAGGGTTGAAGTGTTACAAATAGGGTTACAAAGATGTTCAAATCAATGTAAAGTTGCCAGTACAAATAGAATTTTTGCGAAAAAAGTTTGCGAAGAGTACGATGAGAATAGTGACAACAATTTAATAAGAAGATAAAAGTGTTGGAAAAATACAATTACTAAGATGTTTTATTTGGTGGAAAAAAATTGTAATGAAAAATAATTTAAAACACTTGGTTGAATAAACACTTTGTTCAATATTTACTACAATTAAACTTTAGATTATTTCAATTCTTTAGGAACTAAATGATATGGAATTTTCTATGTTGATGTTATGTGAATATTGTGATCTATACGACTTAGTGATAATCTTGTTAGATCATATGGAAATATATCTATATATAAAAATGTCATTCTAAAAACTTGAAATGTACTGTTTTTTTTTTACCTTATATTCATGATGGATATTTGAAGATTACATAATTCTTCAATGTAATCGTGGATACGTGTTTTATCCATGAGATAAGATCTCATGAACATTTATGCAATAAAATAAAACATAAAAATGCTACAAATGTATATTCATTCTTAAGATCCAATACTCAAAAACCTCCATTACCAATTCCCAATATATACTTTTCATTTCAAAGCAATAGATTGATTTGATCTTCAATCTCTTTAATTTGTATCCTATTTGTGTCTAAAATGTCAATAGACTTTAGTTACTTTTGAACTTGAGTATTTGGTACTGAAATTTCAACCTTTATCTTTCTAATTCATTTTCAGTACATTTTTTTCAATTTCCAGCACAAAATTTTTATCTTTCATGATTTATTTTTTCTATGTTTCTCTACTATTTGCTTTCATCAACTACTTCATCTCAGGTCATAATATTTAGGATCTCACCCATGTCAAGTGACGTTTTCATGCTTCCTTTCATTTATTCTAATACAAAGTAAGTATGATGATTATCAAATCTGTCACCAAAAGAGTCATAAAAGGTAAAATCACTTTTATATCAATTCTATAATAATTTTTTACTATGATTTGTCACAAAACAATATTTACACATTTTTTTTCTACTAATATATTATTGTAATTTCTACATACATATCAAATCAAACTAAAACGAATGTAGATGATTACATTCATTGAATGTAGATGATATTTTGATCTACGGGCTAATTTTATTTCAAGTTTAACTCAAATGACTTTGTGAAAACTCATCATGATCTAGAAGTTAAAAATTTCATCAACTTTTCACTCAAGTATACTTCAAATGACTTTGTGAAAATTCATCATGATTCTAGAAGGTAAAAATTCATCAACTTGTCCCGGTTTCAAATACATTTTCACACAAGCTTTTCACTCATCATTCAATTACAAACACTTATCAATTTTTCAAAAATAATATTGTAATTCAAGATTTATATTGATGAAACAAGTACTCACACAATAAAATTTTCAAATTTGTTTAAAATGTTCTCTAACTCTCTACTTAGTATTATTTGAGATTTTATTATTTTAACAAATGATAATTATAATCTAATTTACTTTTACAAAAACAAACATAGATTTTTTTTACTAATTCACAATACGTGACAACATGTCATTGACCTACCAAAATCTTCTAGAAATTATCATATACTTAAATTGAGTTATCAATTTACCATTTGAGACATTCAAAGTTCTAGAGCCTACACTTATCACTACAATTTTAGATTTAATGTAATCAATGAAATTTTCTTTACTTGATCAAACCAATCAAAACAAATGATGAAGACAAAATATTTTTTCTTGTAATCTAAACCTTTATAAGAAATAAAAGAATGACGTTCATTCAAATCTTTTAAAATTCTCTTAATTATTTTGCCAAATATAAAATAGCTAAAATTAGTCATAATTAGCTAGATTTAATTATACCTAAACTAACCATGATCAATTTCCTAGCTATTTCTAATATTATTTCGCACAAACAATAACCTATCTTACAATTAATCCCATATTCATGTGTAACCAACAATTGACAATATGAATGAAACTCTTGACTCCATCACTCTAATTATAAAATCTTCATCTCAATATGTTACCATGTATATTTAAAAATGATAATTTCATAAAATAAAGATGAATATGAAATAGATTGGAGATCTATCATTGCGATATTGGATTTGCATATATGCAACTGTCTAGTATAAATTTTAAATATTATCATAGATCTTGAGTAATATCATGAGTTTTTAACAGCTAGCAAAAATCATTGATCTGTATATAAAGAAAATTGAAAAGATAAACTTGTGGTTTTCCACATTCATTTTTGTTATTTTTGTTGGAATTTAGGTAGCTTGTAGTCAATGTTGAAATTCAGGTAGCTCGTAGTTAAGCCATTGTAAATAGTGTTTGCAATAAGGTAGAATTAGAAGGAGTAGATAAAGGAGAAAAAAAGGTAGAGAGTTGAATTATCACATGATGCACCCTAAACCCTAAACCCTAAACCTAACAACTCATTTCATTCATTATGTGAACTACTCTGTGCTCTACACTTTTTAGAACAACCTTCTCTCTATTTCTTTCAATCTCAATGATTTTTAATCTTTTCTCCTCTCTTTACATGCAGATCATTGATCTTTGCTAGCTGTTATATATTCTCAAGAATTAAAAAGTATCATCATATTCTTCCTATTCTATGAGGGTTTAATCCACACTTTGGTTTGATGTTACTCCACACTTTAATGTTACAATGATAGTAGAGCTACTTTGCTTTGATTGTTGGGGTTAATTCAAGTTTTTGGATTTAATCTGGTTGGTAACCTATACTTAGTCACATGTTGGTTTGAGCTGAAATATATAAATCCTCATTTCAGAGTTGTAATGCTCCCTGTGTGATTATTATACAGCTATACTTTATTATCACGTGAATTTAGTCCTTGACAAGGTAAACCATGTACATCATTGTGTATTGTCTTGTGTGTTGTTGCAACTGTCATTGCACTATGATTTTTTATGATCTACTTTTATTGATGATAAATCTTCAAAAATACATGAAATTAATCCATTGGTATTCAAGAGATTAATTCATTTGAAGATGCAACACAACTTTGAAGATCAAAGATACGTATAATGTTTTTCCTTATCCCTTTTATAGATATTATCAACAAGTAAAATGAGATAAGATCTCTCTACCATTCATTTCACTTCTTGCAAATTAATGACAAACATACGGATTGTTGACATGTCACTCTCAACTAACACAAGCATACAAATTATTGAAATAAGAATTATTTCAATAATTCAAAAATCTGATCCAACCTCAAACACCTCAACAAATTGGAGTTGAAGAACTTCGTAACAGAATAATAATAAAAAAGTCTTGAACAATGAGACTCGAAGCTCATCTAGCCTGGTATGTAGTGAAGCAGTTAATATAGCAACTCTTCTTGTGAACATCGATCCAACCAAAGCAAATCATGAAAAGACACCGTTCAAAATATTTCATGGTAAGAAATCCGAAGTGTCTCATCTTAAAATATTTGGAAGCATAGCTCATGTTCATATTCCAAAGGAATAACGTAGAAAAATGGACAATAAATCAATATCATGTATGTTGGTTGGGTATGACAGTGAGTCAAAACCTTATAGAGTATGTTGTCCAAAACGCAAAAAAATTATTACCACCAGAAACGTTGTTATTGATGAAAGTAGAATTGGTTTTCATGAACTGAAAATTGCTCAGACACGTGAAGACAAATTTTTTTGGCATTTACTAGAATTGATAGTGAGCAGGTTGAAGTTGAGGAAGTAATACCAAGGGCTAATTTATCTGATGAACAAGTTGAAATTGAGGATACGATGCTAAGCTCAAGTTCAACATCATGTTTGATTTTAGACGTGTTCGAAGTTCCAAACTCAAGCGACAATGATGACGAGTCTATTGATGAAGAGACTACACAGTCCGAAGCAACGGACCATGAAGTTAAATGTTCTCCAACTTTACGAGTTTATGAACAACAACATAGAAGTTTTGTACCTACAAAACATATCCTGATGAGAAAAAGTGCTCCAAACTCCGGATACAAAAATTACTTATGAACGTTGTCAACACATGAAGATCCAGTTATATTTAAACAAGCAGTGGCACATGCAGGTTGGAGACTTGTAATGAAATAGGAGGTTGAATCAATTAACAATAATCAAAGATGGGAAATAGTTCACAAAGTCCCTTTTGTATTCACTCCAATTACTGCAAAATGGGTTTATAAAACCAAAGTTGGAGCATCAAGAGAAGTTTTGAGGCTTAAAGCCAGGGTAGATGCTAGATGCAACGAACAAATAGAAAGTATAGACTTCTATGATATCTTTGCTTTGGTGATAAAGTGTTCCACAAACAATATTGTCATTAGTTGTAAATGTAAGATGGAAGATACGTCAACTTGATGTTAAAACAACCTTCATAAATGACAAGCTAGATGAGGATGTATACATGTATGTGCTAGATGGCTTTGAGGGATCTCAAGAAAACAAAGTATGTAAACTTTTGAAAGCTCTGTATGACTTTCGACAAGGACTAAAGTCTTGGTATGAGAGTATTGATACTTACTTGACACAGCATGGAGTCCAAAAGAGCACAGTCAATAGTAATATGTTTTACTCAATCGTTGATAGCAAGTATGCAATTGTAGTATTCTATGTTGATGATCTGTTGCTTGTTGGGGATAATCATGACGAACACAATAGGATCAAAAGTATTCTTACAAGGAAATTTGATATGACAATCTTGGGTGATGCAAAGTTGTATCTAGGTGCAGAATTGAAGCAAACAAATATTGGAATCTACTTGCATCAACGAAGATTTATACTAAAACTTTTAGCAAAATTTAATGTAGATACTTGTAATGCAGTTCTTCCTTCCATGGCTCTTGGATACATTGGGTTGCCGCAAAATCAATTCTGCGATATCTGAAGGGAAAGATGAATTGGGGCCTTCACTTCAAGCAACATGGAGGGTGAGATATCATACCTTTGCTGACTCTAATTATGGGAGGGATGTTGACACTAGGAGATCTACAACTGGAATAGTTCACAAACATGGAAGTACTACAATTGATTGGAATAGCAGTTGCAGTCTATGGTGACAATGTCAACTACTGAGGCTGAATATTGTGCACTTTCTGAGGTTGCAAAGAAATTATTTTTTCTTGTGCGGATTATTAGCAAAGTTAGGATTATGCGAAAACGTACCAACGTTACTTTTTAGCGACAACCATTCATGTATTAAGCTAGTAGAAAATCCTGTTCTACATGCCAGAACAAAGCCTATACAAATTGAACACCATTTTGCACGAAAAAGAGCTCAAGCAGGAGATATTGCAGCTACCTCAATATTGCATAATCTCAGAGGCTGCATAATTGAGGTTGCTCTCACTTGCAAGCCGTGACTGTGTAGATGAATGTCTGAAGCGAGCGCATCATCGGGTTCAGAACGCGATCGTACCCCGTGCGTTCGCAGGACATGCGATACGAGAGAGAGACGTTTTGAGGCTCACAAGTGCATCATAATGCATGCGAAGCTTCTCTACATGGGCGGATTTAGTATCTTCCGTATTTCAACAAAATAAGGATGATTCTCAAAACAAAATACGAAGGTTAACCCAAATATTCTTTACACAGTAACGAAGCGATTTCAGTGTTAGGAAATGAGTTGAGTAAATTTTTTCTCAATATCTGGAATAGTCTAGCTTCGCCAAAATTAGAATGAATCGACTTAAAGCAGTACGAAGAGTATGTTTTAATTTTAAAAAACCAAAAGTTGTTTGTATTTTTCTATTAATTTGTCTATCTCCTTTTATCACCAAAAATCCCAATAATATTAATATTTTAACAACTTATTGTGTTCACTATGTTAATGTTCACTTTTTCCTACGTGATATTCACTATTTCAACAACTTCTTGTGTTCACTATATGTTCACTATATTAATGTTCACTATTCACTACGTGACATTCACTACGAGCTTCAGGCAAGCTCTGGCGTGAATACCAGCGTCGAACGTAACCATCAGTCCGACCTCCTTGCCCTCCTTTCCGCTGCCGCATCGTCGAGCAGTCAGATGAATTTACACTCTCGAGATGCTCAAATTGCACACGATATAAAAGAATGTGAGTCTCGTAGCAAGCTTCGAAGTGCTGAGATGAGCTGAGCAAAGTTGGAGGGGAGCTTCTGATGCACGAGGCGTTGTCGGACAAATGGCGGCGCAGGCTTCCGGAGAGAGCAACGGTCGCACCTCGGCTTCGGCGGATGGAGAACAGAAATGGACGCACGGGACCCGAATGGACGAGGAGCTGAAGCGGGTCGCCGAGAAGATGGCGGACTCGGGAGCGGGAGGAAGGGCGGCCGTGGAGGCGACGATCATGCGAGCACCTCACGAGTTTCGGAATTTCATGCCCACAGAGATCAGATACGATCCCGTGTGCATGCACCTGGGGCTCTACAACAGGGGCGCATAGCTTGCGCCCACCGCAGCCGAGACTCGCCGAATGGCGGCGGCGATCGCCTTCGTGAACAGACTGAACGCGCGCAGACTCGAGCTCAGACTGAGCCCGATCAGCTGGCACGAGAGGTGCGCCAGAGTCCTCCCGAGTCCTGCCCGAGTGCGCTGGCTGTGGAAGGACGCGCCGTCCGACATGACGGACGACGACGTGCGGCACTTGCTGGCGATCGACGCCGTGTTCATGCTCTGCTTTTTCCAGAGTCTGGGGTGCAAGTTCCCGCAGATCCAGGCCCTGGATCCGGACGAGGCCGTGATCTGGAGACTGGAAGGTATTATGCACGACTTTCTGCTGATGGAGAACCAGATTCCTCTCGTGCTGATACAGAACGCGCTCGCTCTGGCCCTGGAGGGCGAACACAGAAAGCACGCGAAGCTCGATCGGGTGGTTGTCATAAACCCGAGCCCTGACGACGATTCATCGTCAGTGGACTCCGATGTCGATGAGAGGGTGGATCTCGTATGCGCAGAAGCTTTCCATCCGGAGGTAGATGAGCTTCTGTCCTCGGTATTAGGAACTGTTCTGGTGGATGCTGGGCTGCAGGGGTTCAGTGACAACGTCGTGCCGAGATCTCAGACCGTGAGCTCTGATCACTTGTTGGATTTGGTGTACAGAGTGGTGGCGTTCAAATTTATAACACCAGACGTGGATGGTGATGACAATCCTCGGCCTGGTAGGAATAGCACGCGCTTGGTCGGTGCATTGATCAAACAGGATAGGAGAGAAAAGTCTCTGTACTTCTTTCTGAACCTGATGATTTACCTGGGCCACCTGCAATCCATTTTCCCGAGGCGCTTTGTAGCTGCATTCCATTCCAGGTTGCAGAATTTTCGAGAAGATCGCTGGCGCAACTCTCACTTCATTCCGACAGCCTCGAAGCTGAGAAAGGCTGGCATTGCAGTCAAAGGCTTAAAGGATGCGAAGATTTGGGACTACAAAATGGAGCAGGGTCTATTCACGGACACTTTGTGCATCCCGAAGCTCGACCTCTGGTTCCAAACTGCGAACTCGCTGAGGAATTTGCTCCTAATAGAAATGAGGCACCAGTCGTTGATGAACCGTGAGTGGCAGCCGCTGATGGAGTATTTGATTCTCCTGGACCAGCTGGTGGACACGAGGGAAGACGCCGTGATTTTGTGTGATAACACAGACGACTATGTGATCTTCAACACCCTGGGCGATGCTGGCGTTGCGGCAACAAAGATCAATGATCCTTGCCAAGGCTGTCTTATAACGGGAAACTCTCCTAGATTCGTTAAGTTCTGCAGGGATGTGCAGCAGTGGTATAAACGGAGGAGGAAGCGAATATTGCGGGAGTTTGTGGAGACCCATTTGAATAAGCCCTGGAAAATAGCTTCACTCCTCGCCGCCATATTGCTGCTCGTGCTGACTGCCCTCCAGACTTTATATTCCATACTCTCCTTCTACGGCATTTAGATGCTGTCGGACTGACTCCATTTATCAAAACTGCTGCGCACCGAAGTCCGTCAGCTGTACATAATCTGCGAATTTCCACCTCTTTTCAAAATGATGTCCATGCTTCGTCATCAAATTTTGCTCCAATTCTTCAGCTCCAGCTCGTGGTCCTTCTTCCTCCAATCCATCATCTCCATCGTCTAGTCCACCTTCGGGTCCATCTCAGTTTCTACCGCCGTCTTCTTCCAATTCTTCAGCCCCAGCTCCTGGTCCTTCTTCCTCCACTCCATCATCTCCATCGTCAAGTCCACCTTCGGGTCCATCTCAGTCTCCATTGCCTTCTTCTTCCAATTCTTCAGCCCCAGCTCCGGATCCTTCTTCCTCCACTCTATCATCTCCATCATCTAGTCCACCTTCGGGTCCATCTCAGTTCCATCGCCTTCTTCTTCCAATTTTTCAGCCACAGCTCCTGGTCCTTCAACCTCACCATCAGGCTCTCCTCCATCATCGTCTAGTCCAGGTGGTTCCCCAAGTTCGAGCCCTTCAAATTCTACTCTAGCAGGCTCTCCGGGAAGCCCATCTTCGAATTCCTCAGGTTCTCTTTTTCCACCCACCCCAGGGTCTTCGGGAGCTGGAGGATCAGGGCCCGGTACAAATTCTTCCAGCCCTGGATCGCTACCATCACCGTCGCCATCTCATAACAACACGGCGAAGATCGTAGCTCCCAATTGCAGGACTGGGAAAACTTCTACTTTGCTGCGTGGGTCTCTTTTGCTTCAGAAAACGAAGGCTTCGTGACAACCAGGCGGCTGCCATTACCACGGCTCCCACATCTGCTTGATGACATGGTGAGAATTTCATTGGTGATCACTCTCATGTGTCGAGCCGAAAGTGTGACATATATATTATGTAGGAGATAGAGAGGGATTTACTTGATGGGACCCGGAGTAAAGAAAATCGCTTACTGACCCGAGGGGACCCCACTGACGGTGTGCCGTCGGGCCATGTTCTAATCAAGTTCTTCTAACTATAGTTGATGGATATAGTGCGGGGGATTTTCTGTCAGTTGAGATAGATGTATAAAGAAAGATGGGAGTACAGTTTTGCAGGTACCTGATCACATTAAAGAACCAGCTTCGGAATGTCATGACGAGGTTGGAAGTCGGATGAGCTTCTGTAAATACATGATCCTGCTCATTTGTACATTTTCAGGGACTGCTCGCCCCGCACCGCAAGTCAATCACTACTGTCTTGAATCGATGTCTCGTTAAGATTTGTAGATTGGCAGTGCTTTACATTAGAGCATATGCTTGATTTATACATAGTGTATACTAGCAAGTCTTAGATCTTCATAGAGGATCATGTATTTTTAGATTCCTTGAGAGATGAGAGGGACGGATGACGAATCCGAAGAACGTGTGAAATAACGCTTCTCCTGTGAAGATTGTACCTCCTTGTGTTGGATATACCATGATTGTTGAGTGGCCTTTATCATAATTTAGGTTAATTGAGTGGCCTTTATCATTATAAGAGTAAAGAATAGCAATTATGGTTTTGATGCATTTTCCGCGCTGGGCATTTTCAACTATTATGGGTTCTACATATCCGAAAAGATGCGTAAGTCTCTGATTTTATGCCGGAGTCAACTTGAAAATAAAGTGGAAGAATGCTTCCTCACACAAAAAGTAATTTCTGAACCTGTTTTATAACATATTTGTAAAGAAAAGGGTGATTCATTATCAGACATTTTAAAGTGGATGATCTCATCAAGTTGCACATGCATGAAACCAATGGAAGAAGATTGAACTAGGGGTGAAATCCAACAACATATCAAACATGTCGTTTGTAACTAAGATATATCAATTTCCTAGATTGACCATTCGAGCAGAAGCATCGATAAGCGTGATTGTGATCATATGAATTGCACTATCCTGTGCAATTTATGCAAAAATGAACATACTATGTATTTTGTGTGATTTAAAATAAAATAAAAAGCAATCCCTGATTTAGAAATTAGATCTTGTTGAAGAATATGGAATTTGTAAAAGAAGATATTGATTTGTTTGTAGGTTGTGAGATTTTGACAAGGAACACTTCCGTTGATGAGTAGAATGTGACTAGGTTTTTTATTGCAAGTGAGAGGGATCCAAAATAGAAAGTAAAGTATTTAGTTTATTTATTTTATGTCTTTTAAGGTACTTTGCACTGATTCATTTTTTATCGGTCTCGTCTTAAGCGAAATCAATCATGTATGATTATCAATCAATCAATCATCAATCAATCATCGAATGATTAATGAAATGGATTAAGATTCAGTGAGTTTCTACTGAGAAGAGTTTTGAAAAAAGTTCGTCAAATAGCCTCTCTGGATGAGGTTCTCGAACCTTTTTATGAGGTCATGCAAGTTGTTTTTCCTAGATGTGATCTGTCGGCACAAAATCTGTTAGAAGTATTACTATCCACTTCTTGTTCCTCTCTACACTCTGTTAAAGAACGTGTGTACTTTGTACTATAGTCATTGATTGCGACACTTAGTCACGACCACTATCATGACCCGTCGCTGTCCATTAGGGTTTAGGTCCTGTATCTTTCGGATGACCACTTTCACGAATGTGTATATTACCCCCATCCGAGTTCACTCCTAAATAACAACTTAGATATTCTCTCTAGGATTCAGTACTTGTGTCTCGACACTTTCATGCATTGCTTTACTTCATGATATGGTATCAGAGCTTGAGGGTTATGGTATAAGCTTTAGGGTTTCGAGTTCAAAGTTCGAAGACTTTCAAAGACTTACTTTGTCAAAACATGAAGCACAGAGGATAGTTCTAGTTCTGGAAGATGACTTTTCCAGGGGCTTCAACCCGAATTGCATGGAAAGATCTCGCCAAATTCAATGGGGAGCATTTCCATGTCTAGAAAAGCAAGATTAGTTTGATCCTTCGACTAGAAGGATTGATGGACATGATGGAAGGGTTGAAGTTCGGCCAACCATTCCACCGGGTTCTACAACCAGAACTCCAGAGCTAGGCGCAGGGAGCAAGCAAGAATGGGATGTTAAAAATCTCATGTCCTTAGCGGTGTTGAGTAACTCATTGGAAGACCATCAACATCCATTGATTGCTCGCCATTCTACATCAGCAAAGGCCTGGGCTGAACTAAATACACTTTTTGAATCCCATGATGTACCAATGCAGATGCACTTAAGAGATGCATTGCTTTCTTTCAAAATGAAATCACGCGAGTCCGTAGCGAAACATATCTCCAAGTTTTGTCTACTTCTTCATCAGTTGGCATCTATAGGGCAGACTATTCCATAAGGAGAAGCTTATACCTGTCTCCTTCAAAGTCTTCCTATCGAATATAGATCCTTTGTGCATTCCATGCGGACACATCAAACGTTGATCACTCAATCTGTTATTGCTAGTGTTCTTCTTGAAGAATCACACCTCCAAGAAGAAGAAGAGTTGACAGACGGAATGGCAACACTCTACACAGCAAAGAAATGAGGGTGTAGCCAAAGATGATGCATCCAAGACACTCCACTGAGGCAGTTCCTTCATCTCGACCAGAATGTCTTGCAAAACCATCTTTTCCCAGACAAAAGATGAAATACTTCTACTGCAAGAAGAAAGGTCACCTTGCCAGCGAGTGCCGGAAGAAGAAACACGACAGCGCTGCTTCACATTCTACACCAAACGATCACTAGTGGTCACTACTCTAACATCAATCGGGATGGATCCGTCTTGGTACGTGGATCTGGTGCTACTCAACACATGGCATACAACAAAAATGCCTTTGTGACATATATTAAACTACCATCAAAGGAGTTCGTATATCTAGGCGACGACAGTCGCCAACCCATTCAGGAAAAAGGTAATGTACTCATTTTGTTGAATGATGAACAAGAACGAATAATACCTAAAGTGTTACACGTTCCTGGTCTCCACAAGAATCTCTTCTCAATACATTAGCTTGTTCAGCAAAGAGGAAGTGGTCTCCACAAGAATCTCTTCTCATTACATTAGCTTGTTCAGCAAAGAGGTAATGTACTGGTTGAACCTGATTGATGCATCTTGAAGGACAAGAAGGGCAATGTCATTGCTCAGTGCATCAATGACAACAACCTGTTTAGGCTGGGAACGATTTCTTTCATGCATTGCTTTACTTCTTGATAAAATTTCATGAAGAAGTTTGTGTCACTTTTTAAATCTTAGTTGCAGTAGGACACAAGTCACATTCCGAGGCGGTAGATTTTTCCCTTTTTTGTCTGATAGTTCTTTTTTCTGGGAACATAGTCAACCAATGTGAAAAACTAACGCAGAGCAGCTAAAAACTAGGATCAAAGAAAAGATGTCACGCAAATAATTCATTAGTGCGACGACAAGCGATGTCTCATCGCCCCAAGCCTCAGGGAATGCGAGGGGGTCTGCCCACATGTATACTCAAGACCTCAGTAATGAAAAGAGTAGGCTGCATGCGTCCCTTTAGCTAATCACTGAAAAATTATTTTCTTTGCGTTTTGGGCCAGCTTTACAATTTCCGGCCTATGATAGAGGACCCTTCTTCCCTTAGGGTTCGAGCGGGTCCTTCGCGAAGTGACTAAAAGCTCTGCTTTTTTGTTCCTGCCTGATACAGGTATGATTCCCCTGTGTCTCTCGGACCCGGACTACGCGCATGGCCTCAGATAAGAAAATAATTCTCTCCCAGAACGACTCAGAGCGCAAATAAAATATATATTTTATTTGGCTGGGCAAAGCGCGATTCAATAAGTATTGGAATCAGTAAAAAAAAAAAAAGGAAAAAAAATGCCTCAACTAGATCAATTTACGTATTTGACACAATTCGTTTGGTTATGAGTGTTTTATATGACTTTTTATGTATTATTATATAATGATGGATTACCCAAAATAAGTCAAATTATCAAACTAAGAAAAAGACTGGTATCGCAGGAAAAAGTAGGCGCGGAGCAGAGCAATGACCGTGTAGAACAGGATGTGGTTTTCAAAGAATGTTTTCAAGCCAGTGCAAACTATCTGTACTCAAGTGTATCCGGAGCATCCAAGTGGTGTTAAGGAATGGTCCAACTCGCAAATACTCATAAATTGCAACGAATGAATACAGATTATGTATGTTCTTTGGGAGAGATTGGTGTATCACAAGTGATAAAAAAGAAAAGATCCAACTTACTCTTTTGATTTTCTTCATGTCAGGTATGTAGGGGTGCATCCAATATATTTGATGTTGATGTATACGGAAGGGATGGATCAAGCATAAAAATCAGTTGCTCTTCAACGATGATGGGGACGAATTTCTCGTCTTCACAGCAACATGAGCCATGTTCAATGAACGCTGTCCGAAATGATGACGATCATCGATCAAAGAATGTATTACAAAGTACAAAGTCATACAAATTTCTGCATTTCATCCAAGTTCTTAGACACTCGTGTCTAAGAACTTGGAATCCTGTAAAATTCGTGATTCACATTCGACTAAATCTGGATTTTTTTTAGTAGAAAGAAAGATAAGATACATAAGTTTGACTTTTTTTACATCATGGATTAAAATAGAAGCATGACCATGTGAGAAATACTTGACATTATTTTCAACCAAGATAGATGGATGGGAATAGGAGAGAAAACTCAGTTGTCCAATAAGTATTAGCATCAGATTCATTGTCTACCATAATGTATTACCAGCTCAATGTTATACCGATATCATTAAAAAGAAAAAAACGCTATCAATTTTCTATAACAAAACCATGAACAGCCTCATATATTTAATAATGTGCATAAAATGTAATATTGCTCTAACTATGAACAAGATAAATAGGTATATATAAAATCCAAGAAAAATGCATTAAAAAGTAATGAAATGAATTTTTGGGAGATATATGAAGATTACTAAGGATTATAGTATATTGTTTAATGGTTTATTGGAGAATACCAAAACCTTGTTAGGTTCCGTTGATGCTCACTAGAGCCAGTATTTGGACAAGAGAAAATTTAAGACTAGGTATGTGTTTACAATTTATTGATGAATGCATTAGTTGATATTTTCTATTTTGCAAAAGTACATGACGTAACTAAATATAAGGTGACAATAAATAAAATTATTTGATTATATATATTTAACACTTATAAGAGATTGAAACAAAAGGTTGTCAATTTTTATTGTGATAATCAAAATGTGTTTACATCTTGTTGCAAATCAAGTGATTGACAATATTTGTTATCAATATGTGAAACATTGACAAAAACTATCATTTATTAGATATGCAGCATGTGATAAGAGTATTGAGCTAGTCAACATTGATGATGAATTTAATCCATTTGATGCGCAGGCCAAAGTTATTTCTTTCAACAGTTTTTTTGAACATTGTGCTACCAAGCAAATTTTGCCTCAAGACTACAAGAATATTTTACTACCAACTTTTGTCAACTTTATATATTTTTACTTTATTTTATTTTGGCTACAGCCTAGTTTAAATTACATTTGAGGGTAAAAAACAACCTATGTTTAATTCTAGAATTCCTTGCAAAGTAATTATTGAGGGTATGGAGATTATATTATATGAGTTAAGGCGGGTTGGTTTGTAATGATTCAAGTCTTGGATTAAAACTTTATTTAAACCCTAACATTCATTTGAATTTAAGTTATATTTAGACTTAATAATAATTAGGATTAGATTTAGGATTTCTGCTATATTGAATAAATAAATGGACGAGACACAACTAGCACTAATCATTGTGCATATTTTAAGTAAAGATCTTGTTGTTTATGTGAAAAAAGCCGAGAGTGGTAAAATGCATGATTTACAATTCTCAATAAATCAAGTTTTTTTTAACCAGCATTGTTTTCTATTTTTGTTAATGGAAAAACATAGTTTTTGGTAACATAATGTTAAAGTTAAGATGAAAAATTTGAGATGAATGTTTATACACATTTTAAGATTATATGGCTTAATAAGTTAAAACAACTGCATTGAGTGCATGATTGACATATTGAATTTCTAATCTTTAAAAAAGATTAAACTACTATTGTAACACATTTCAAGCTTTTTTAACTTAGTGTTCAAACGAAGTTGATAAAAAAATATATATGTTATCAATTTTCTATGATAAAGATCTGGATTACCTCATGTAAGTGATAAAATACATTAAATTTTATATTTCATAAATTATGAGCAAGGTAAGGAAGTACTTGTAAAATCTAGTATAAATGCATTAGAAAACTATGAAATTGATCTTTAAGTATACTAAGGATTATAATACTTTGATGATTTATTTTAACTATTGTGAATAATAGTGAGGATCAATCAATTGTTGAAACATTAAGTTTGAATTGATTGAATTGAATTGAATAATGATTGATATTTAGAGTAATATTACTCTTTTCTATACAAATTATTTTTTAATCTTTCAAAAGTTTCAAGTATACAAGATCTCATACTTATCATCCATTTCACTCTCAATTTATTCATGACATGGCACATATAAGCACACAGATCTTATCTAACATAATGGATCTTTATTTGCCAAATTTTTCATTGCCGACATGACAATTATAGATAATTCATTATATGTTGATCTTTATTTTCAATGATATCTACTTTAGTTTTTTAGTAAGTTTAGATGATTATTTAACTTGACATCATCAAATACTTCATAGACTACCTTGATGCATTCTATGAAAAAACTTTAGAGAAAAAATATAGAACTAACTATGTTTTTTTGCACTAGACAGCTGATGCAATAGTTGGAGATCTATTTTATAGAAATGCATAACTTAGTTAATAATGAAACCAAATTTATAATAGCAAAACAAGCAGCAAAGAAAATGATTTGGTTCAAACAAATTATCAATGAGATAAAACTGATGAATGAAATAAGTAACATTGATTTCAGACTTCATCTTCATGTACTTTCAATTTTTAAATAGAAGGTTGCGCCGGTAAAGATTGACAATAAACTCAATCAGCTGAGACATTGATCAAAGTTATTCATTTGAAAACTTTTAGCAAACATTGTGATACTTTGCAAATTTCATATGAAAAAACACAAGAAAATTTTACAACCGTATATTATATATATATATATATATATATATTAGTAACTTGTGATTTTTTGGCCACAATGTAATTTTAGAGAGCTCTAGTTTAGAGATAAGTTTATTTTGAATTTGTTTACAAAATGTTTTGCAGTTAAATTACATAAATTATGAAGGCTTCAATTTTGAAAACTTGAATCAAATTCTGTTGAAGTTACATTTGATTAAGCAGTTAACTGAGGTTAATTGCATATATAGCTATTTATAGCAGAAAGTGGTTGACTACCTTGGATATATATACCCAAGGGTGGTAAGAAGTTACTTCACTTCAACCAATAAACTCTTTCGAGTGTATTCCTCTGTGGACGTAGCCCTGAGGCTGAATCTCGTTATACGTGTGTCTTCTATGTTTATTTTGTTGTTGGTTTGCTCAGTCTTACGATTACTGCAAGAATTGGTAGCAGAATAGATTCCGGTTCGGTGTATGTGTCAGACTGTTTTTTGTGAACGGCTTTCTAACACGTGACGCTTTTCTGTGACAGTTTTCTGATATGTGACAATGTTTGACGGGTTTTGCAAAGTGTAGGGTTTTCACCGCTGACGGAGCTTTTTCTGTTGCTGACGGGTTCTTTGACACTCGTGAACTCAGAAGAGAGTTCAGCTGATATATGATAGTGTTTGACGGGTTTTGCAAAGTGTAGGGTTTTCACCACAGATTGTAGAGAGATTTGTCACAAGGTGACAGGGAGAGAAGTTCAAACTCTACGTCAGAAGGTCGAGGTTGAGTTTTCTGGTAGTGAACGGTGACGATATCAGTCTTGGAGTTTGGTCAAAGAGCTAGCACTCGGGTTGACAATGTTCGTAGGAGTGTCCGATGTGAAAGCGATCTAGGTGAGCAAAGAACGGAGGCAGGTAGGAGCAGGAGGAGTATTTGCCTCCTCCAGGATCGCGCAGGAGAGAAGCGGCCGGAGTAACACTACCCCTAGCAATAGAGGAGGAGGAGCGGCAAAGGGAGCAGGAGTTGAGTATTTTTTTCGGAGCGGTCGGAGTAAGAAGTTACTTCACTTCAAGTAGTAAACTCTCTCAAGTGTATTACTCTGTGGACGTGACCCCTGAGTGTGAACTACGTTATACCTGTGTTTTTTGTGTTTATCGTGTTGTTGGTTTGCTTAGTCTGAGGTTTACTTTAAGAAATTCAAGATTGTTAATAAATAACTTAGATTTTGGTTAACTTTGATTAGCTTAATATTAGTTACTTAAGTTAGTTTGACTGTCATCATATTAAGAGAGTTTATTAAAGCTCTTACTGACAATGATTGAGATTTCTTGTTATAAAGAGACTCTCCCTACGCTCTTGTGTCCGGTCAGTTCTTTTATTTTTTATCCGGGCAGTTTTTTTTCCTTTTTTCCCTCTTATGATGTAGCCCAAAGTGATAAATCATGTATATTTTGATTTGTTTCTCAAATTTGTGTGTCTTTTTTTTCAGGTGTGTTTAAATTTCCTATGAAAAAATTATTTTATTTTGTGTGTGGTATTCTCTAGGCTGCGTTTATATTTTTTATGATATAACTGTGTTTATGAATTTATCTAGTGGTCTTGAAAATTAATTGGTCTAAATGTAAATTGTGCTTTACTTTTAGCAATTTCCATTATTTCTAGCCTTCAATGATTTAAATGACATAAAAAAAATTCTTATCTACACACTGAGTGCGTAAGGATCTGAGAATATGCTTTTATTCCATAGAGATAATACTTATTGTGTATATATTGCATGTAAATGATCATTTTGTAAGAAGGTAAGCTAAAGTAAATTTCATGTATGTTTAGAGTGACAACATGGTCCAGGATATTTAAATCATTACAGGTACACACTTAGCATGATAGTAATCCATGTAAAGTAACGTATTCAAAACAGATCAAACATAGTTTATATATTTTATGGATCACATATACATGTTTCTACTTTGCTAAGATTTTCACTTATGATGTTTGATAAAATATTTTTTGTTGTTGTTGCTAGTTGGTATGGCTATATGTTTTATTTAGTTATTTCTTCTTAATAATATTTCTCATATTAAATTGCAAATGTTAAAATGAATATTTACGTTTTTAGTTTCATCCTTGAATTACATAATTTTGATAATTCTGTATTATAGATTTATACTAATTTATGTCCTACAAACCAAATATGCATAATGTTTTTACTACTTGGACATTTTGTCTATTCAAATTATTTGTCATCGTGGATAGATCAATCCATGAGGATATGATATGGAGGGGGTTAACTTATTGTAATGTTGCGTTGGTTGAGATTTGATTTGTATTGAATTCATGAAAGATGGGAAATAACTTCTCCCATCCTTTATCCCATATTAATAGAGCAATGTCCCGGTCATCTACGCAACTTGAACCTAGAAACAATATGCATACTTAGCCGCACTTGAGAAGAATTAATCCCAAAGCTCATAAAGAAAGAAGCCTTGTCTAGAATGCGTAATTTAAAAGGAGATCAATAGTCAACCGGGAGGTTACTGTACTTGGATATAGAAAGAGATGAGAGATGAATTGTTTTGGAATCATGACCTCCCATCCCATGTTAACACCTTCTAGGATTGAGCTGGAACGTGACATCTTCACTGTTGATGTTGAAGGTTACAGTTGTCGGGTGGAGAGCAGATTTGCTGACATCGAATGTTCCAGACGAGCGCATGGGCACCTCTGATACAAGAGTATGAATAACAGAGGAACAAGGGTCCAAGAAGGCGAGAAGCAGAGCGAGCGCACACTATTACGGACTCTTCGCAATGCTGTGTCTCCAGAGTGCACTTTTGCCTCTGTTTCCGCCAATTTCTAATCGAGTCCGGACGAGGCCCAGATGGATTTCCCGAGCATCCACTCGGTGCCGTTCGTACAGCGACGTACATGATGCAGTTCCCAGCACGTATGGCGCGGAAAATGCCCAGTGGTTGTCAACTGAGCTCCAGCGTCTACGTACCAATCAGGTCCGTGGATAGGAATGTCTGCCTTGCTTTGCCTGTATACTGAATGGCACTGCGGCACGGTGTATGAGTTCATGCAAATTTGAAATCTTTGAGTTCTGTTCTGAGAGGCACGATAAGAGTGACATTCGTCAGCTCATTAGCTTTAAAATCTTCCGTTCGACGTCTATCCAGAGTCTGTTGAGAAATCGCAGTCTTTAGAATGAGTGCAGAGTAGAATAGCAAGATGTCTACTCAAAATTTTTTAATGTCTTTCCGACTGCTAGAATAAATGCACACACACGTACCTTTTACACCTGTTCTGTATTTCGTTGCATCGTGCAGATGTCTGCATTGCAGCTTAGTTTCAGCTGTACAGAGTGATCGCTGTACCAGTTTCAGGCTGCTTTACATCTGAATTTTGATCACGAGGACAGTTTTCCTTCTCTACTTCGATAGTCATCTATGACCCGAGTGGTACCATGTATATAGACGAGGTATCTTGAGTGGAATTCGGTAAAGCTAACAACCTGGTCCATGTCTTTTGTAATTGCCGGGTTAATCAGAAAAGCGAAGGAGATGGGCTTCTTTTAACTCGTGGACAGTGGTGCTGGGTTTTGCAAGACCATGACCATTATCAATTTAAAGGAGAAATGAAGTGAGTAAGAATTGTACCTAGTGTACTGTCGCTTCTCTAGGTTTCAGTTTATAGTTTCTTCGTTATAACTCGAGAGTGTTGGTAATTCAGGTTTCACAACACTACGAAGCGGTTTGAACTGTTCATACCGGAGGTTTCTGCTAAGCTGCAGCTATTGGCGAACGTATCGCTCGACTCAGTCACTTCTTCAGTCAAGGTTACCGTCCTTTATCCATCCCTGAATCCTTCATCAGTCGGACTTGCAGCCAGTGTCCAACGCTTCCAGCTTCTTTCGTCTTTACTTGAATCAAAGCATCACTCCAATGCCCACGATATTGAGGAGTAGCTATGATTTCAGAACAGTCTTTTTTTAGCTGCAGCGAAGCGCGTTCTTTAAATTTTGCAGAAACCGTCTCATCAGAACTTATTTACATATACTTGTGTTATTGTATGAATTTTATCGTATTTATGTATTCTCCGTTCTTTCCAGATCCTGCCTCGACATAAAGGTGGAAATCCCCCTCCTAGGCCAGATGGCAACTGGACTGCCTACATCACCAGGGCTGGAGAGAGTACCACTATTGAGGTAATGCTCTAACTATTTGGCTATCAGATGCGGTTGCTATTTTGTACTCATCACATCGGGTACATCCTGAATGTTCTCTTTGGTCATGAAACCACGGACCCCGTGAACACGTGATTACTTACTGAGTGTTTACCTATTCATAGTGTTCTGGTTGATTTGCTAATTATGTGTGCTAAGTCCAACATGATCTCCGGCGGTAAGGCACAGGGTGAGGCGTTCTTTGTTTAAGCGACATAGCTAAGCCATTTTCCCTTCTTTCCTTGTTACAAGTCGAAAGTTTCTTTTCCTTTACTAGTTACAATTTGCCCACCCTTTACAGGTGTTGGTGGATATAGTATCAAATAATGGCGATTCACTTACAGGTCTTCAGGTATTTACATGTGCATTTTCTTCCATATATTGACATTCTCAATTTAAACTGTAACAGAACAGCAAACTGGGTGCTTCTCTTTTATTTTTTGATGTCGGAAGAATATAATTCTAGACTCTGGTGGATATAGTATAAAATTATGTGGTTTGCCTGACAGGTCCTCAGGATGTTCATTGCGTCGTCTTTGCATTTTAGTTGAAAAAAATTGGACATGTTGGAAGATTCACAATTCTTCGTATTCATGGTACTAAAACGATGGTCATGATCTACGGTTGGAGCGTCACAGCCTACTATAAGCTGACAAAGTCGTTAGAGTTCTGTAGACAGGTGTGGTGGAAGTTGAGTACATCTCATATGGTCCACATGGCCGAACAAGACATATGCAGCATGCAGTTCTACCCCTGCATTATCCAGAGGTGTCCAGCAATAAGTTAATTTGGCGCAAGTGGGTGTTAAAACTCGTCTGAAACACAGATTTGTTTCTGAATGGTATTTCGTCATGATCAGAAGATTTTACAGCTAAAACCTCAGTTACGGCGAAGATGAACTTACCTCAACTGGTTTCGTTGGTCCGCAGAGCCGAAGGAGGAGCATTTGTTTTGCCCATCCACACACATATCCTATCACACTTGGATGATCCTTTGCAAGTTCTCCGTAAGTACGTGTGATCTCTCACCTATGTGCCTGACTTAAACTTCTTTCCTGATGTGACACCTGTTGATTCCAGATGGCATATATACATAGAATATGATTCTACATATATATATATATAATCAGTAAGGTTTCCAGTGTATATCACTCTTCTGTTTGCACAGATCGGTCTTATCGACAGCTGGACTTTTTCTCCCACTTACGTCTCTCAATCGCTTCTATGGATACTTCGTTTTCATCTGCATGTTTGCATTTATTCGTTTCCAGTCAGTTGCCACGGGTTCCGGTTCTTCGGTTTTTGTCTTCACGTTTCCCTTAGTTCTCCTCCTTCGGCCTTCGGCTCCAACTAAGTGATCTCGAATGACTAGTTTCGTTAGTTTTCACGTTTGACTTAGTTGGCTCCCGTAAGATGTACCAACTTAGTCCGAGATTCTTTGGTTCCCTTTTTTTGTGAAAGCCCCTGCGGTTGATCATGTACTATGATATGCGTAGCACTCCAGTGCAAGCATATATCTTTGAAAGCACTCGCTACAGTAGGTCACTCAGATGCAAGACGAGGGGACAAAATTAGAATATCTTTAGGCATTAATTCTGTTTCAGTAGAGAAAAACAAATCAAGCCACGTTGCCGAATTCAACCGAGATGCTGAATTAAATTTTTGGCATAGATTATCTTCTGTTCCTTTGTTTTCCAGAGGAAAACCTGGATTTAGTATTACAAACATGTTTCCTGTTGCTTTTCTGTTACCACTTTCTGAATTCTGATACCAATGTCTGGTGACGGGTGTTCTTTGTCTGCAAATGTCCCTCTGCCTGTAATTTTCAAATCTTGAAATCATTCTCGTTGACACACGTAGTCCGTTTGAATGAAATGTTCACATAGATGGCCTTAGTGAAAACACGTGAAACGTGAAATAACAGAAACATCAGTTGCAGCGGAGGTTTTCCCCATAAGTCCATTATCACGTATATTTCAGCCATGCAAGTAATACGGTGTTTCGAACAGTCAACTCTACAGGATCAGTATGCGCTGAAAGTTACTGCAATTCATACTTCTTTTGGAGTACCTCCGGTTATGACTACTCTTTATCCAGGATTACAATTGATAGTACCTGGAGATTATATGATGTTGCTAACAGGCGCTAAGTACAGGTACGTTCTGCCCCATGCTAAGGCTGGTGATGTGATTGCCATCGGTGAAACACCCCTAGCCATTATGCAAGGTACCTCATCTTCTGGTTCTGTCTTATTTCTGTTTTTTAAGAAAACGATTTTGGGCATTATAAGCACTTGTTGTTGTTGTTGTTTTTCGCCTTGGATGTTGTTTGACTAGTAATGCTCCGCAGTGTCATCTTGGTCAGTACATTTTACTGCAATACCGGTATCTGAATTAGTATGCCTGTTCCGCTCTTGCTGTGATAGGTCGGTTTAGGCATCCACAAGGTGTTCGTCCTGGAGTTCTGGCTCGCCTAGCTTGTCGCCTTTTCCATCCAACCTCTTCTCTTGCTACTGCTTGTGGGTTGCAGGTAGCAGTTAACATATGAGCGAAGTTACGACTATCTGCGGGTTTTGTCTCTTCCGTTGAGTTTGCAGTGACTAAAAAAGTTTCTATATTTCATCACAAAGTATGTGTTGAGCCTTCATAACGAAATAAAATACTTTTGTGATTCAGGTCCTAATTGACATAGCTGGACGACTCAGGGTAGTTGTCGCAGTGGTCCTCGCAGTGATCGCAAGGTGCCTCACCAGAATCCTTTTCCAGGTTTTCCATAGGGTTTTATGAGGAGGAATCTGCTTCTAATCAGTTTTTTCCTGATTCTTTTGCAGAGTGCTGGGTTCAAGGGGTATGTTCTATCGTGTTGCTGGAGATCAAGTGAGTACTAGCTACCTTTGTAGATATGAGTGATGGGTTTGTCTGTACTTTTGCAAGAAAACTGTTCACATTTTTTACGGAAGTCTTACGACTCAGTTGACTGGTTGCAGGCCAGACTTATTGACGATGTTACTGGCACGCTTCCTCCCTACGACCAGTTCATCACTCTTGGACCAGTAATTTCTCTTCAAAACTTTGATATCCCTCAGGAACAAATATATATGGATAGTAACTTATCGCGAAGTCGGTAGGCTATTTTTCTAAGTAATGCGGCTAGCTGCTCACCTGTCTTAATGAATGCTTGTGCCTGCCGTTTCAGAGTGCTTGTTTTTCCTGTACTAATTCCCGAACCTGAGGAAGATTGGTATGCCTTCCTTCTTTGTTTCCTTTCTTTGTTTCCTTTCTTTGTTTTGATGTTGAAAACTGGCTCCCAAACAACTGGATCGAACCCCAGCTCTACAACTTCCTTGAAGTGTCATGGATCGTTCCAAGGGTGGTGACGAGATACTGCAAAAATGTTTGCTAACGAGTGCAAGCTTAACGGGAAACTAATTGTATTGGCACACCGCCGCGCGTATTGCCTGCTTTTGCTTGATCCTGCTGCGTATACATATATCCAAAGGGATCATTACAAAACAATATTCGTTTCACTTGTAGTAATAGAAAGTTTCTACCTGCATAGTGCTTCCTCCTTTTCTACCAACAAGAGTCATCGAAACTGGATTGGTTTGTTTCTCGCAGGTCCGTGTCCAAGCTACTGTGGACGCCTTGAGTAGAAAAACCGGTATTTGGTCCTATGAGCTCAAGATTTACCCAAGATATCACGAATTGATGCACAAGCGATCTTGCATTCTGCAAAATCGAGTGATAAGATGGCTGATTTCTGACTAGAAGCATTTGCTTTTTTGTTTCATGAAGGTTTCGAAGTCGCTGTTGTGGATGTCAATGACTTGAAACGTGTCCAAGTGTTGGGGGTAGGGATCTAAACTCTACCTTCGCTTGATGGTTTGGCAGAGACATCTGAGTTTGTACCGGTATATTGTTTGTACCTCCTTAGATACTACTTCAAAATTATCCATGTCTCCTGTTCAAGGGCACAATTCCTGAAATCCTAAAACGTATACCCTGCTTAATGGATGCTTTGTTCGTTTGTGTAAATCGAGTGGTTTCTTTTTTCATGTAGGCCTCACAAGGTGTAAGCCACAGATGGCTGGAAGCAGCACTTCGACACAATCCTGCAGGTGAGAGCGACAGTCCGGTCTGCTGAGAGATGTGTTCACGTTACTCTTGCACTTGTTAAGGCGCAGTTTTACTTAGTGGACACAATTCGAGCTTCTTTTCAAGACTCAGGTCAACTTGGACTTTTGTTACAGGAAATGCCGATGAACAAACGCCAATTGTTCTTATACGGAAATCAGCGTAAGCTGTATATCCAGTTATCCTCATTAGTGAGGTAAACGTTCACTTCAAAATCATTCATGAGAGATATCTTTCGTGGGTCTCTATGTGCGGGTGTTTTTTCGCAAAATCTATGTGTTTGTTAGTCTGCAGTCTCCGAAAGGCACATACTAAAGAGTATTTGTTTTTGCAGTGGAAGAATGCTATCTCTGGACTTGGCGAGGTCAATCAGGAAGATCACGTTGTAGGTGATGCTGAAGAAGTTGAACTCATGAGTTTTCTGTGAAGTTTGCAATCTGGTAAATAAATGTAAGACCCGCTTGGGTTTCATCTGCATTTCTATGGCGAGGGCGTCGTATATACTGGACTTCCATGTCTGGGCTCATGGATGTTAAATGAAGCCAGCAGTCTAAACTCCAAGACAGAACGTCTGTTTCAGATTCAATACGACTATCGTCTTCAGCCTCAGCAAATTGAACGTTTTTGGAAATACTGTCAGGATTGAAAAATAGTTTAGGCAGTAATGTTCACGAGCGGTTTTAGCTAGTCAGTTGTGACATATTCGGGAGTAAAAAGTACTGTTCTTGGCTTTCCTTGCAGGAGATCACATTCACTTCTGTCCCATATATGTAATCTCCTGAAGGAAAGGTTCCCCCTAAAGAATAGACTACCTTGAGGCACAAATTTCAAAGAAATTTACACCTCTACAAAACATAAGAAACAAGAAAGCGAAATTTTTCTTCACAGGTTCTTGTGATTCATTTGAAAATGATAAGTTCAACTCCAAATAGAAAAGAAATAAATTTGTATCTTACGAAAATGATTTCACCTCAGATACAATGCCACGTGTTTGGAACATCTGTTAATTTGGATCTCAACAAAATACAATCCACATTAAATGACTTCTACTCTGCTTTCTTATACAAGTTTTGAATTATTTGCTTTTTTTTTTCCATTCTAGCTAAAATAAATACTGACTGATGAAAAATCAATAAAGATACTAATGATGTAAATGTAAGATTGGAACCATTATAAAAGCACGAAAGATTTTTATTTTATGCGTACACAAAACACATGGAAAGCTGAAAAACTTATCATGGGAAGCTGGGGATCAAGAGATATGTGGAAAATTGATAACAAGTACAATCAAGATTAACATTCAAATTGATGAGATGACATGAAATTTAGAATTGAGAATCAAAATCTTATAAAATATATCCAATGCACACATAGTACCCAATAATTCAAACTTAGCCTTTTACTGATACTTTGTAATTTCTTTCAATTATGTTTGATAAAAGTTTTAAATCAATTATTGGTGATGACATAGTATTATGAAAAATATGCAGGGTTTATGTTATAGTAACTTCTTTCCTATTACTACTATTGTTAGTCTTCTAATAGTAGTGATAGAAGACAACTATTAGAAGTAGTATTCTATTAGTAGAAGACTACTAATAAAAGTCTAATTTAGATTTCAATGTTCAAAATGACTTGACAGTTTTTTGGGAATCTTAATAGAGAGATTAAATATGAAGTTTAATATTAACATTTCATGAACATTGAGTTCTAAGGTACAAATAAACAATTTACGGTTGACATCATCTTCTACATAGATTTTATTAAATTGATATTTGTAAATATAATATCTGTTTTATACTTTCTTTACAATCGAAGTATGAAAGTATATGTTGTGGTGTTCAAGTTTTATAGATGGTAAGATAATGAACAAAATATGTTTCTAGTAATTTTCAAACAGAAAGAAACAAATATCGTACTATGAACTCATTAGAAAAAGTAAATAAAATTTCGATCTTATGTAAAATGTAAAATGAAATGAAGGCACGAGGACAGTAAACCCTGAACTTGTTTCATGATTGCTTTGTGCAAATGTATGTTTCAAAAACTTATACCAAAGTATAGAACAGTGTGGACATGTCAACGAGGGACTCTTAGTGACCGAAGTGTCATGGCCTCCGTGCGAGGTCACAAGTCGCTGTGATGGCTTCCCTCCTTGGCATGTCCCTGGATGCTCTTACAGCCGTGGAACTGATTGTTGCAGTCGGATTGGAAGAATGCTGAATTTGACGTCACAGTGTTGGGATAGGAAAGTTGGAACCGACTCCTGGGCTCGAGCGAGTGCTATTGGCTCCGAAGCAAAGGAAGAATATGCCCGTGACGGCTTTGCATAGTTCCGTACCTATCAAAGGCCTGGGGACCAGGATTTGCGGTATCCGTTGGTCTTCGGTCGGTCCTGGACGCAAGATATCTCAATTTCCCAGAATCTGGTACTTGTATAGCAAGATCCATGAGAATCCTGACCAAAGTCGATGTTGCATTCAGGATCCAAGCCACTCTGGAACAGTTGATTGCGCGTTGATTGGTCGCAGAAGCACAGCCAGACAGACGAATGTTGGCATTGTTTATGTATGCTGATGATGAGCCGGTGGGCACAGGGCACAAAGCAAGGACGAGTTTGGCATTTGCTCGCTGTGAATGGGACCTGACAGCCAGGCCGCTTTGACTCCAGCCCTCCAGCATGGAACTGAAAGTCAAAAGACTTATTCCTCGCAATGCTTCACGCTGTGCAGAATCGTACGGTCTATATATGCAACTTGGAACTAGCTCCGTCCGAAATCCTCCAACTTGAAGATATTTCTCGCCGGCAGCCGGAGCTGAACTTACTTGTCTCGATGTTACAGCAATGCAAACAGTTGTGAATGGACGAAGATCACCCTTGCAGATCTGTGAGTTTGAGTTGGTCCGATCGGCGGCTGCAGTTCTCGAGCCACAAGCTGTGCGCAAGGCGAGCACCTCACCCCCGTTAGCGTTACAGCACGCGGGGTTGAGCTCATTTTTGGAGCAACACACGTGCCTCGACTTGTCCAGGGGGCAAGTTATTTTGCTGGCTTTGCAACCGGAGGAGGCAGGTTGGAAGGCAAGGGACTGATCGTGACAGCATTCCGGTTATTCCTGCCGAGCTGCTACGAAAGACATGTTCTGTACAGCGTTACAAACATAGACATGACCAATCCTGTACTCGACTAAGTGACCTTGCAACTGACCAGCATTCTGATGAACTTGACAGATGCAGACTTTTCAGCTGCCGGTCCATTGAATTGGACGTCCCCCGAAAGTCCTTTATGAGGCATAGCCAACGGGCTTGTGGGTGGGACTCATGCCATTCGCAAGTCACGATCCTCCAGATTCTCTGACTGGGAAAGCCTGAAGCCAGTGGATTCGGATAGCTAGAAGCCAGTCAATGGACCTTGAATGTTCAGCACCTTTCGTACGAGTCTTACGTGTGATGCTATCTTATCTACGACGTTACTGGCTGGAAGGGTGATACGAGATCTTCCGCTTTCGAGTGTATGTATTCATCGGGGATTCTATCAAGACAACGTTGCAATTCCATCATACGGTTGGCAAAACCTTTAATGTAAGATCTCAAAGTTTTCAGCAAACCTCGGCGCACGTTCCATGCTTTGGCAGCCTGAACATGTGTATTGCTGCGAACATCCTCAGAATCATGACAGAACTTGCTACACCCATGCTATGACAGGATAGATTTCTACCAACGAGAACTGCGAGTCACAAGTAACACTCAGCACCCAATTGATGCAAGCAACGTCGTTGTTCATCTGCGTGGCGCGTAAACTGCGGATTGAAAACTCCTGTGCTTTCCATGTCTGGACCGAGCCCAGTTAAAGTTTCTGGCGTCGCGGACTCAAAAGCAAATGATCTCTGTTAACTATATTGGACCAGATGTAGGAGTGCCATTTTAAGAATAAAGTGCACTGACCACGGGGAATAGAGTATACATCGGGGAAGGAACCACAAATACACTGCACTGTCATTTTGGAGAACATAATTAGTCAGATGGTGTGCAGATGTCGACAGAACTTCAGCAAAGTTGCTGAGTCCTCCCACTTGTCGAAGGAGCTCATAGGATGAGAATTGGCTCGGGAAACCGAAAGGTTTCCAAGTGCAGAACATCCATTTGATATTACTGACTGGAATCAACTGAGCACGGTGAGCAAATTACATTTCAACCGTGACTGTTGCTGACCGAGCCATTGCCAAGATACATTGGGTTTGAATCTGACGGTGGCCACCGACGTGAAGGTATGAAGGCAGGAAATGTTGTATGTAAATTTTTCATGTATGTAACTGCTGCGGAGGCTGCCTGGCTTGCTCAGGTATGATTCGCGTGAGGAGGACGAGGATGTGTCTGGATTCTGAACCTCTTCTGATACACAAACTTTGTGTGTGCTCATCACTTCCAAGAGCTAGTAAAGAAATAGTCTAATATACTCTCTCATGCTGACTACTCAATAAACCAGCTGGGCAGTTTGATCATGATGCCTCGCTTTCCTGACTTGCCAGATTAGATACTGTTTTGATCCGATTTTCCGCTATCCCAAAAAATTTTGTATGTTGTCAAGTTACTCGATAGCAACTCTTCATCTCGGATGGATATTGTACTAATGCCTAAAAGACGTAGTCCCTGGAAGCAATTTTTGCCTCCCTTCCACCGTCAGTCACCGTACAGAATATCATACCAATTTCCGTGTTCTAAGGCTTGGGATGCAGTCTGCTTCTTTTTGGATCACGTGCTACAAAAGTCGGATTGTCTGTTTGGTGTTTTCCCTCGCTCAAAATCCGCTTGGATCCGTTATGAATTGGCGATGCATCTCGGACATTATCTCACGTAAACCACATCTGATCAATTGGGCTGATATTGACCATATTTTTGGTTCCATTGCATATCTAAACAATCTAGAAGATTGTCATAGGACTTTCGTTCGATTACTATCTCGCTCTCTAGTTTTTTGAGCACCTAGCACTTCATCATTTCGTGTGTATAAAATAATATTTGTTATAGAGCTATTGAAGCATGGAAGAAAACACGCATCAAATTCTTTATGTAACCTTTTTATATTCAATAAGAAAAAAAATTCCTACTCTACTGAAGGAAAAAATATATGACAGCAAACACCTACTTTCATATGAATACGTTCAAACATATTGCTCAAATTTAAGTATAATCTAACTTATATGAAGCCATTTAAAAAAAATTGTGATATTGAAAAAATAATCATATCTTTATTCAACTATTAATATTCTTCAATGGCAATCGATTTAACCAGAAGTTGCAAATAAATTTAACTATAATCAATATCACTTTGAAAACATAGGGAGTACCAGGATATCAAAGGGTCGGTAAGGCCATATGAAGAACATTTTCTAACCCTCATATTTAAACTCAATGCAGCCATTTTTTGGCTTGCTTCTTAGAATTACTTTCTCACTTAAAATTCCTTAAAAATCTATTTTTGCGTAATAAAATCATCTCATTTACTTTTACGTGTTTATGTTCATCATTACAAACTCTAAAGTATGCAACAGTCTTGGAATGTTCATGTATTGAAAGATTTTGCCAAATGTGTAAGTAACGAATTTCAATTCAAGAAAATGAAACAAAGATGTACATTGAAAAATTCTGTAAAATTGCTGGAGAAATTTGAAATGCAATTATTTTTTTTATGAAAATTTTGAACCCAAATTACTTGAAAAATCTAATTGATTGAAGTAGAGATAAAATGAAAGGAAATTAAAAAAAAAAACGCATAGATCATTATATTGTTGGTAAAATATTACCATTTGTTGAATTTTAGATTAGTTGTGTTAGATTATGTACAGATAAAAAAAACATGCATTTGAAAAACAGAATACAACATAGTCAACACAAAAAATACATAAGTAATCACTGTGGATTAAATCAACAAAATAAACTCAGCTTTACTTGTAAAAATTCTTATTGTGTCACCAATAGCTTTGATGAATCATCTTATAGATTCAAAGATTAGAAAACGGAATGAAGCTAATTTCATCAAGACCAAAGTTGATTTCTAACAATCACCCTTTAATTTATGTTTTTAAATTTTGTAAGTCATATATAAGTACTCTACAAAAAATTAGACGAAAGCTATACATATGACAATTTACAAAATAAAACTTACCAGAATTCATTCATAACCATAACAAATTATAGACATAAAAATATGTTTTAGAGCTGATAAAATTGCTACAAAGTATTAAAAAATTTCCAAAACTTTTCAAAATAAATATTTGGATCAATGCATTAGTCAGATTAAGTTTACTATCAATCTTGATTTGCTCAACCTTCTTATAAAAAATAAATTTGTTGATGTGTTTTATTGGCTATCTATCATTTGATCTGATGCAAGATGTAAGTCAAAGATGAAACACAACTCTGAAGATAAAAAATATCTAGAATGATTTTGCTTGCACTTTCTAACAAGTAAAAAACATAAAATCTTGCCTTCATCTTACATTTCACTCCTAGTGAATCAATGACATTACGGATTATCCTAATAAGTACACAGATTTCTGATGTATCATTCTCAACTAATATATACACTAACTAATAAAATGTGTTGCTATCAATTAGCACATTTATTTTTATCTAACAAATACATTTATAGCTAACTCACAAAAATAAATAATTTACTATAATATAATTATATTTCATCTTCATTAATCTTAACTTTAATTAGCTAAACATTGTTACAAAAATTATTCCGTACAAAACGCAACATCTTTGTTGTACATCAGATCAAAACTGTGAACTTTCATAAATGTATTCACTGAACTTTTAACTGGTTATCAAGTTGATTCATATGATGAATATTTATTTCATTGAATCAAATATTAAATTTTTTTAATATTTATGATCTCAAATTTTTCTTTTGAATATTTTTATTATTTCAAATTGCTCATGATCAACTATCAAGGTTGCTACATGAGTTGATGAGTTGTTCATACTAGTATATAAATACAAAGAAAATTCTAGAATTAGCTAATTGTATTAGTAATCCTATTAGTGATTAAGACTTTGGTTAATTCCTGATTTTAAAAAACTGCATGTAGATACAATTGAGAAATTTATGAAGTCATAATTATAATTGGCCTCATGTGAATCGTCTTGCTTATCATCTTAATATATAAGTTATCAAACACTTTGATAGATCATATATCAGATCCATGATGACATGTGTTCATTACTGTTTTTGAATGATAATAGATTGTAATAAACCACTTGCACTTGACTTGTTTTGTTGACAAGTTACATAACTTTGAAGTTAAGTCTTCACATACTCTTATATTTTGTATAAAGCCTTTCTTTAGTTGGTTGTATGACCTTATGTTCAAGTCACAAAGTAGCTACTAACCAAAAGTATGCATAAAAGAGTTTGTATCCAAGAATACAAGAGATACAAATAGACTTCCATACAAGAAATAGACAAATTTCAGACATCATAATCTAGGAGCAATAAATAGAGGTCTTCTAACACCATTTTGTTTCATCATTTTTATCATATATATACGAGTAAAATCAAAATCCAAAAAAATTAACCCTTTATTGATATAAATATCTATCTATTACAAGCCAAAGCAATCAAAGAAGTGTCGGTAGATCAGGCAAAAATCATGTCCATGAACAATATTTGACTATCATTGTGAGTCTTTGCAGATGTCAAGGTCAACTGTTTTTTGCACACTCCAATTCTTGGTGCTCACTCCATAAGTGTTAGTTTGATCTTGAATACTTATGCAGTTTGAAATGTTTTCCATCTAAAAATTCAGATTGGATCTCATACTTCGGATCATCACATAGCCTTCAAGTATTACATGCGATAAGTTAAAAATTATTATTATTAGTACTGTAAACGATATGTGAGTATGTATAAGACAAGTAAACAATCCTGTTACATCTTGCGGCTGTCGAGCAGCAATTTTTCCAGGAAGAAAGCAATTTTTTTTGATTAATTTTGCCTTGTGAATACTCACACATGTAGTGATAGGAGACGAAAGGAGTCGATTCAGAGTCATAGTCAACTTATATCAAAATGGGTTGTGGATGAGGTTACAATTGTAGCAATTGATAGGCTTCCGCTTTTGTATCAAAGTTGAATCATGCATGCATGGTTCATGCTTCCCAATCAACCCTAACCTTCTCTTCTTTATATTTCTGGTAAAACAATTTTAAGCACACCATTGCATCGCACTTCATAAAT